GAGCCAGAGAGCGCGAGAAGTCTCGAGGAGGAGCCGAGGAGGAGGTTGACGGCTATACCTGCTGCAGGTTGACACAGGCTGCCGGCGTCCATCCCGGAGGCGCAAAGTGGCAGGCCGCAGCGGGGACGACGGTGACGCCGAGGCCGAGGGCGAGGATGAGGGGAGCTCCCGCTTCTGCCCTCCCTGGGGCGACGACTCCCCGGCGCACACCCGACCGACGAGGGAGTCAAGTAACCCATGCATATGAATCTGATGGGTACCAGTCAAGTATTAAGATTTTATAATCCAACCCAATTAACAGTAGCTCAACTTGTACATATACATACGTATCATCATGGAGTACCATGAAATAACTCTTAAGTATCGATAATGTTGTATTATTCAGCTAACAAGTTGTAGTAGTAGCTATAGCTATTTCCAACAAATCCAGAACCATTTATAGCTATCACATACGTACCGGTGACACGTAACTGTGCTTTTGCACAGCCCAAATCCAACAGATGGCCAAACCATGCTATGATACCTTGCTAGGTAACCTCATGCTGGTGCGGAGAGCAGAGCTGCGGTCTGCAGAGCGTGAAGAGAAACTTTGTGGACGGCGTCGGAGAGCACAACTGCTTCGGTTAGTTGCAGCGAGTCACCGCCGGCGAGGTATCAAGTACCTTCCTGCGGGGGGAGCTAGGGGTGGGGAGAGCAAGCTGCTTCGGGCCAGATGCTGCCGCAAGGACTCGTCGCCGGTGAGGTCGCGCGCTCCGCGCGCGATACAGAGCTCGATCTTGCCGGCGCCGACGAGGTATCGCGATACCGAGGAGGAAGATCTTGGACGGAGTGGGAAATCAGCACCTTGTGAAGAGAGACATTAATCTCTGGCTCATTTAATCTATCCCGTGACATCTATATCCAACGGAATCCCGTGCGCTAGCTGTCTAATTCCCGGACGTGCACGGCAGCATCCCAAGACCTAATATAACACCGGCAGTGCATCGATGTACCTCTTGTGTTCGGTTGCTCCCTCCATCTGTATACTGTGCGTCGACCATGCTAGGGCTGATGGATGGTAGAGAACAGCAAGTATGCCCTGTGTAGATTCCGAGTAGAGGGGTTCTCATTCCCGGTGTCTTCCATGCCCATGATCTAGAAAGTTAGGCTGTGCTTGCGTGTTTAATTTGGTGCTCTGCCTTGCTCTCTTTCGCCTGTGAATGTGACTACTCTCTGATCTTCCTTCTGCTTAGAGCAAGTTTAAAAGTATAGCCAACTACTAGCTCCAATTCATCTATAGCCAATCTAATAGCTCATTCATACAATAGTTACATACTACATTATTAATACCTGGTCCCACCTGTCATACACACATAGTGTCTTGGAGTCCGTGCTGCAGCTGGCTACAAATCTGTAGCCCGCTGCCCTTCTCTCTTTTTATTTATCTCCTTAAAATATGTTTGCAGCTGACTTATAGCCTGCTATTGTACCTGCTCTTATCTCACAGACTCTCTTTGGTTCGTGCTCTGATTTCTTTCGTTCCATGTTTTTCTTCTGCTGTGTCCTTCTTAAAGCCATGTTAGCCTGGTTGTGTCAGCATTCACTAGTAATAGCTTGCTCTAATTATCAGTGGCATTTCATCACATTGATGGTTTGATTAAAGGCCACTAATTTCGGTTTGGAACCAACATAATTAGATCAATTTTCAGTTACTGACGACGCATATATCATACTCCCCCGTTTCAGATTATAAGACGTTTTGATTTTGGTCAAAGTCAAACTATTTTAACTGGTCAAAGTCAAACTGTTTTAACTTTCACTATGCTTTGGACATTAACAAATATTTTCATCCAAACACGTAAATCAGCTTGAGGGTTTTTGAAGGGATAAAAAACTACAATGCTTTTCCGTGCTTATTTTAGTAACTTTGGAATTATTCCTGGTACCCTGACATTAAGAAGGTACGGACTATGGAGAGGCACCAACAATTACACCAGAAAAACTTGATACATTCTCGATGAAAAGAAACCTTCGTATACACTCAAATAATTTGACAAAGGCTGCTGCTGTGCTGCAAACTGTTGATTACAGTGATACTCAAAATAAGTCGCCTTCGTACAATTAAAATGACCTGTTTTGATACCCTGCGGAGCTTTCAGCTGATGAGGATGGCAGCACGGACTGCTAAGAAGCCTTGGATATCCTGGATCGGTCCAAAAATTTCCAAAATTTTGAACAAAATTTAGTTGAATTTTAACAAATATTACTAAAATTCACGAAAAAAATTAAAAAATTCCGACCGAAATAATATCGTACCGGAGGGGTCCAAAATGACCGAAATTTCAAAAATTTCGTTCCTGAATTTCCAACCCTGGATATCCAGCATGCTGTAGAGATCACTTGTCAAGTGCTTAGGCTCTCGTTGGTTTGCAAGGCAAAGACAAAATGTACTGATTTAGCTTGTCTTGTATGTAGAAAGATATACTCTGAATCAATGAACAAGCAACCCCGACACTAACTATTTCCCGAGTACTCTCAATCCCACAGTCCAAATCCCCATCAATTAAAAAGAACCCAGCCAATGATTTTCCAGAAAATAAAATAAGTTCCAACTTCGGTCTTAGCTAGAGATTCTATATGATTAGCAGAACGACAACAAATGAAAAATGTGTTTTTTTTTTGCCCGTGGACCTTTTCTAAAATTGCAGCGATCGAACCACGAACGTCGGTATGTATGGGATGTGCAAATTCTAGTTAGGGGTTAAATGCAACTCAAACTTAAGAATGTTGTGCTGTAGATGCGTTGAGGTGTGAGTTGACTACTGTCAACTCAAGACCAATTGTGGGGCATGAACTCCTGGTGTTTCCCAAACCCACCGACTATTTATACTCATCTGATCGGGGAATAGGCAAACCGAAGACATCGTATATATATGTTTCCCTACATCACCTAGAGAAATCGTATGTTCTGCTATCTGAGACTGAGACAACTCGAGGTTGTATAACAATGTCAGCTATATACAGCTCCTTTCATGGGGTCTGATTGGTTATCTCAAGCTCTCCCACGCTGTAGTATACTGCTATTTATCATCGCAGATTTATAGGCCTTATAATTGTTGATATGTGCCATTTCACTCCTCACATGACATAAATTGTATTTGTACCCATTTGCCTTCAATTTACTCATATTTGTCAGGGGTTGGTGCATAGTGTGCTACTCGGTGCTATTGGTACACAAAAGATTTTCCTAAACAAGGAGCTCCCATTTTCCCAGACGAACCGTTTTCGTGTGCGTCTGCAAAAATTGGCCTCCTATTTTCGCGTGCGGACCTTTAAGAGGCCCGTACGCAAAAATTGATTTTCGCATGCGGGACTCTTAACGGTCCGCGCACAAAAATAAGCCTCACGTGCGGGCCTCTTAAGTGGACCGCACACAAAAATACCTCTTCCTCTTTTCCCTCTCACTCACTTCAAAATTTTCATCTTCTCTCTTTCTTTTCCCTTTTATTCTCCCTCAATCACTCCTCCCTCTCTCTCCCTTTCCTCTCCTCTCCTCTAGCTCCTCCCCTTCCCACCGAGCGCACAGGACGCGGCAGGCGCCCGGCTCGCCACCGCTGCCACCGACGAGGCGATGGCCGGGAGCGAGCGGATACTGGCGGAGGCGGCGCGGCGGGCGACTGGCCGGATCCACGTCGCGCCGACAACGAGGAGGAGGAGGAGCCCGGGAGTGGTGATGGCGGCCAGTTGCGACGGAGGCGGGCTCAGGAGCAGCGGCTGTCGAGATAGGCGGGCTCGGGAGCGGCGGTGGTGGCCGGGAGCGGCGGGCTCAGAAGCGGCGGTGGCGGCGCGACCAAGGCGACAACACGAGGACATTGGCGACCACGAGCAGCGGCGTCGGGCGATTCTAGGGTTAGGGTTAGGGTTTTCGATTTTTTTTCATTTTTTTTGTGTGAGGACGGTATAATTTGACCGCACAGGATAATTGATTATCCCATGCGGTGTGCGGTCCCCTTAATCGGACCGCATGGGAAGATGAATTATCCCGTGCGGTTGGCCACCCGCACGCGAAAATATGGATTTTCGTTGACACATGGGTGCAGATGGACCGGACCTCTGCACGGAAAAATGCATTTTGACCGTTTGGAAAAATCTTGTGTGTACTAGTGTGCTCTCACCTTCTGCTAGTTCACAACCCATTCTATACTATGTAATCCATATTTTGCTGTCATTAAGGACAAGAGTTTTTCTCTCCACCGAGTGATTAGTGAAAGTGTGAAACAGCTAGCTAGTTGAAAGATTATTCATATACCCTGCCCGCTCGCTTAGAACACGTGCCATTGACGCACACACTCCTGAATGCATGGCTGGCTGCACGCAGTGATCGCAGGAAGAAGAAGGACCGATTCGATTCTTGGCACGTTGCGTGTGCCGGCTAGCTAGGTACGTTAATGTTCAGCAGCCTCTCGACCCGACACAGCTTTTCACTAGATTTCACCCCTGTCGATCGATCGCATATATGCTCCCACCCCTCAGCGCGCACAGCATTGTTTCTCTTGCGAGCAAAGTATTTTAAGGTCTTTCCATGCAAAAACTTTTCACCCCGTCACATCGAATGTTTGGATATGATTATAGTATTAAATATAAAAAAAATTAATTATACATATTGCGTGTAAATTACGAAACAAATCTTTTAAGTCCAGTTGCTACATGATTTGATAATGTGGTACTAAACATTTGCTAATAATGACTGGATTAATTAAGCTTAATAAATTCATCTCAGAATTTACATGCAAAATATATAATTTATTTTATTATTAGTCTATATTTAATACATTTAAAATGTGTGTCCGTATATCCGATGTGACATGAAAAACTTTCAACCCCTGATCTTAAACACCGCCTAATTTCTTCACCACCCTGTCCTGACAAGCTCTCCGGTACGCATGCATACGATACGATCGAGCCGCCTACAAATACTGCGCTCTGCATGCATTGGCAAGACACTACTGCAAGAGAGATGGAGCACTACTCGAGAGGCGGCGGCGGCGGCGAGGGGAGGTGGGTAGTGATGCGGGACATCGTCATCAACAACAAGACGGTGTGCACGACGCCGGGGCCGATGCTGGTGGCGACGTTCGCGGTGTCGCCCGACCTGCGCACGACGGAGAAGTTCATGGTGACGACGACGGTGCTCATGACCTTCCTCGGCGCGGCGCTGTTCGCCGTCGGCGTCCTCGGCCGCTTCTCCGGCAGGCACAGGGGCCACTCGTCGGCGACGCGCATCTTCTTCAGGGCCTCCTTCGCGCTCTTCCTCCCCTTCATGTCCTTCATGTTCTCCCAGGCCAAGGGCAGGGACCTCCCCTTCCGCGCCTACCTCATCCTCCTCTGGATGCTCCTCGTCGAGCTCCTCCGCAAGAAGGTCTTCGCCATGGTCGCCCCCGCCGGCGACGCCTTCTCCCGCGGCGTCGGCAGGTACAGCCTCTTCGACGCCGTCGAGGACGCCGCCCGCATGATCTGGATCGGCTACCTCGTCTACTCCTACGTACACGGCTTCGCCGTCAAGTCCCTGTTCGTCATCCTCTGGATCTTCAGCGTCGCCAAGCTCTGCAAGCGCGCCGCCTGCATCCACCTCGCCAAGGGCTCCTTCGACCTCGCCAAGAACGCCACGCTCGTCTCCGGCTACATGGCGCAGCTCGTCGGGGAGCACCGCCAGCTGGACCTGCAGGTTGTCGACGACGGAGGCGACGTCCGCGGCAACCGCACCATGAGAGCATGCAACTACACGGTGATGGGTGAGAGCGAGCTCAAGATCAACCGGACGCCGCACGGCTTCGAGATCGACGGCCTCGAGGACATCCTCGCCGCCGGCGGGACGAGCGGCGATGGCGATGGCAATGGCAAGACGGAGGAGCAGCTGGTCCGAGTGAGCACCATCTGGAAGCTCGCCGAGAGCGACCCGCTGTTCAAGTACAACGTGCGGAGGAGGCAGAAGCTGGAGGACATCTGCCTGGGCATAGCGCTCTACAAGCTGCTCCGGCGGAGGATAGAGCGGTGCCACATGGCGGAGAGAGGCACACCGGAGGCGCGGGCGTTCGTCCTCAGGGGCCTCCTCGCCCTCGGCGGCGGCGACCGGGGCGGCGAGGCCGCCGACGCCGAGAGGGCGTTCGACGTGGTGGAGATGGAGCTGAGGTTCTTGGTGGAGTACTACCAGGCGATCATCCCGCTGGCGCTGCCGAAGCCGGGGATCTTCATCGCCAACTTCGCCTTCTCCGTCGTCTTCATCCTCCTCTACTGCATCGCCGTGCTGCTCGTCACCGGCAACGGCAACATGTTCAGGGTGCTGGGCTCCCTGTTCCGGGGATTCATCGGCATCTCCATCGACACGGTGGTGCAGTTCAGGTGCTTCCGCCACCAGGTGTCGGCGCTCGTCGGCATGGTGTGCTCCTCCTCCGACCTCATCGTCACCTTCCTCCTCACGCTCACCCTCTTCTCCGTCGAGACCTACGAGCTCGCGCTGTACCTGCTCTCCGACTGGTTCGCCGCCTCCATGCTCTGCAACTACGCCCGGATGCGGATCAACCGCGACCACCAGCGCAGGCAGGCGGCGCAGCAGCGCCACGCCCAGCGCGCCATCCGGAGCGGCCTCTGGGTGAGGCACCGGTCGCGCCCCGTCATCAAGGCGCACCAGGTCACCATGCTCAAGCTCCACCAGCTGCACCCGCGCCGCGTGTGGATGCTCGCGTCGCGCATCCTCTCGCGCCGCCTCGCCGGCCTCCGCCCCGCCGTCGTCACCGCCGAGGCCAAGGTGGCCATCGTCGCGGCCCTCAAGGCCTTCCTCGAGAGCGACGGCGGCGACGGCGGCGACCTCCAGTTCACCAGCTGCGTGGCCGTCCTGCGCAGGCACGGGTTCTTCCACCACGGGCCCGAGTGGGCGTGCGACAGCAGCAAGGGCGCCGCCACGGTGATCCTGGCGTGGCACCTCGCCACGGCGCTGCTCGAGGCCCGCTGCGACGGCGAGCCGCTGCCGCGCAAGGGCGAGGCGGCGGTGACGCTGTCGAGGTACTGCGCCTACCTGGTATCCTACGAGCCCGGGCTGCTTCCCGACGACCCGGAGTGGACGGAGAAGGCGTACAACGACGTGAAGTCGGGCCTCGGCAGCTTCTTCCGTAGCTGCAGCTGCGCCACCGCGGGCCGGCGGGAGAAGCTGGTGCGGTTCGGCGACGACTGGGAGGCGGAGGCGCCGTCCGCCATGGCCAGGGGGGTCAAGCTCGGGAAGCTGCTCGAGGACCGCGCCTCCGAGTCGACCGAGGGCTTCGAGGAGGTGTGGACGATGCTTCTCGAGTTCTGGGCGGCGTTGCTCGTCGTCGTCGCGCAGAGGCCGTCGGCGGGTCCGGAGGGGCACGCGCTGGCGCTGGCCAACGGCGGCGAGTTCATCACCCACATCTGGGCAATGATCACGCACGCCGGCGTGCGTGTGCACAGGCACCACGACTATCAGAGCTTTCCTGTCACTCATGTGGTATAGATAACCACGCTTAATTAAGCTCACAATAATGGAGTAGTAGCTCAATTAGAGTTGCTTGACTTCTAATATAGTACTCCCTCCATCTAGTTTTAATAGGCATTGTTTACACCCAAATTTGACACCTATGGACGAAATAGGGGAAAATTGTCAAAGTTTGGAAAGTACCGGGTTTCCTTCGCAGGGCCGGTCAGACCGCAGGTATATGGGCGGTCTGACCGGCTAGTAGGGCCGGTCTGACCGCAGGTATGTGGGCGGTCAGACTGTCAGGGTCCGAGTCCGAGTCTGTTTTCGTCGGGTCTCGGGTTTCCTTGCTTGGGAAGGCATGTTTCGTGTTTCTATTGGTTTCTATCCCGAGTTGGATGTGGAGAAGGGCTTGTAAAGGGCAAGACCAACCCTCATTTAAGGGAAAAGGCCGGTTTATTGTAAAACCCCTAATACAATTTACTTGAATCGTTCTTTTACTATGTTTTTCTATTTTACCCTAGTTTAGTCCATCTTTATCGGTTTGCGCCGTAAACCGTCTGCCGCCGCTGCGAGAGTGCGACACCTCTTTGTAGGTTTGTCCTGAAAACCTTCCATTTTGCCCACGAGACGGGTAGTTATCCTCATATCGATCTAAATCGGCCTAGAGGCTGATTTTGATCTCTAAATCGGCTCCACTAGCCGGTTTAGCTGTTTTTCCTCAAAACCCATCTTGATTTGGCCGTTTAGCTAGATTGAGGTGGTTAGCGACTCCATACCACCGCAAGGCGTTTAGGTGTTGCGATCATGCTTGTCGACTTGTCAAAAAAGTTGGCAACACGATTTTTAGCGACTCCGCTGGGGAACGATCTAATCGGCCATATCACGGCCGAATTTCGTTTAATCTAGTCGTCTCGTCGAATAGTTTGTTTCGGCCAAACGGCCGAAATTAATCTATACCTTAATTAGTCGCTGCACTGTTCTTATCGCTGGATTAATCTATTCGGCGGCGAAGCTATTTGGTCGTTCATCAAATTCATATAAGCACTTGCCATGTCGTGTGTATCGAAAATCATTATCAGGAAGCAGCAGACGGCTTGGCAACGTTTCCTTTTTGTTTCACACGGCAACAGAGAAAAAGATCAGGCTCCTAGAGCCGATCTACCGGGTCACAAGCAGCAGAAGCAACATCAATCTGTTAGTACATACATTAGCACATCTACTGAGGAGAATTAAAAAAAAATCAAAGCCGATTCATATTGTTTCGGCTGTTATTGTGAGATCGATTTTCTGAATTTTTGCTTACACACGAGGAGACAGAAGCAATTCTGTTTTACTTGCACACACGCTTGTTATATTCAAAGGAAAAATCAAGACCGGATATTAATTTATTCGGTCAAATATTTCGGCTATGAGCTATATGGCTGGAATTAATCAAGGAATTTCTTCATCAACCATGATGAGCGGGAACGAGATCATGCCGATCTCATTGGATGATTTCGAAGGAGAAGACCGCAAGTCCATGTAGGAGTATATCAAGGAGATCACACAGGAGGCGTTGATAAGGGCGTGCACTAGGACTCGTCAAGGTGTGATCATTAAGCCCGGGCCACTTCCTAAGCTCGCTCCCGATTTGGTACGCAATGGAGAGGTAACACAATCTATCCAACAACAAGTAGCATCTACAATAGATTCATCCATGATTGTTTTTAAAGATAGATTAGATGCAACTTTTGGAGGTAAATTTGATGAGATTTTAAGATTTAAAGTTGGCCCTCTCTTGGCCGATTTTATTTGTAAAGATAAAGCCTCTACCACTGCTAGCCAAGCTCCTATAGATCAAACAAGCAGTGGAACCGATGGAGCGGCGCATATAGACGGTCCGACCAGGCCTGATGGCCGGTCAGACCGCGACTTCGCCGTCGGTCCAACCGGCCAAACGGCCGGTCTGACCGGGTATTACCCCGGCAGTCAGATCGGGACTCAGGCCGGTCCGACCGCGCCTCTGGATGTCGGTCAGACCAGGCTCTGGACCGGTCAGACCGGCGCAATCATACCGATTCAGGGGATAGATCCAATGACCAATGCTAGTTATTTGTATCATCTTAGAACATTTGATCCTCCTGTATCTACTGCTGCAACTAATCCCCAAGTTCCCCCACATGTTTCTAATGCTTATAATGATGTTGCTAGGGGTATCCTCCCGATACTAGGCAAGGCCAATATAACCATATTGCGCCGCAAACACAACCTATTAGGCCACCAAATCCACCACCAAATCAACATAGGCCTGATAATATGGAGGAAATAATTAGTGGGATTATTAGGGATAAATTCGGGATTAAAACTAGGAATCGTGCTAAGGTTTACCAAAGGCCGTATCCTGATTATTATGATAATGTACTATATCCTCGTGGTTACAGAATTCCCGAATTTACCAAATTTAGTGGTGAGGATAGTAGGACCACATGGGAGCTTGTAGGTCAATTTTTAGCGCAATGTGGTGAGGCTAATAGTGATACTTTTAAATTGCGCTTGTTTTCTTTATCTTTGTCCGGTACTGCTTTTATATGGTTTACTTCTTTACTGGCAAATTCTATTAGTACTTGGGCTCAATTAGAACAAAAATTTCATGATTATTTTTACACTAATGAAGCTGAGTTTAAGTTGTCTGATTTAACATCGGTTAGGCATAAATACAATGAATCTGTTGCTGATTATATTAAAAGGTTTAGAGATATTAAAATCCGATGTTTTAGTTTGAAAATAACTGATAAAGATTTGGCCAACATTGCATATGATGGATTGCTTGATTCTAATAAAGAGAAATTGAATGGCCAAATATTTCTTGATGTTGATCATGTGTTGCATGAAGCTCTGGCTCAGGAAAGCCGAGTGGATGACAATAGCTTAAATGCTAGTTTAGATGATAGTGCAATATCATGTATAGCCGAACCAAGCGATGATTCGGATTGTGTTAATAATTTGTGCAATGATGCCATAACGATTATAGCCGAACCAAGTGTTGGTTCGGATTGTCTTACTAGCTTGGATGATTATGCAATAACCATTATAGCCGAACCAAGTGTTGGTTCGGATTGTGTTACTAGTTTAGACAATGATGGAATAGCCGAACCAAGTGGTGGTTCGGATTGTGTTGCTAGCTTGGACAATAGCATCATTGAAGATATAGCCGAACTAAATGACGGTTCGGATTGCATCACAAGTGAAAGTGAAATAGCATTATCACCTAAGACCGAATCACAAATCAGTCATGTGGATGTTGGAAAAGATGATGATAATGTCTTGCGGGATAGTAGTGAAATAAAATCCAATGTAGCTATGCATACATATCAAATGCCGTATCCTGAGCACGTAGATTCGATCTCATATCCGCAAGGATTTGAGGTGCCCAACTTCACGAAATTCATATGTGAGGATGCTAGAACAACAATGGAGCATATCGGCCAATTTATTGATCAATGTGGTAAGGCCAGTAATGATGATTTGCTTAAGTTAAAATTGTTTCCTCTTTCGTTGTCAAACTTTGCATCTACATGGTATAGTTTACTTGCTCCTAATTCAATTTCTACATGGTCACAAATGGAGCATGAGTTTCATGGTTATTTCAAAGATGCAAGCTTGATGGAGCAAAGACCGATTGATACTTCATCGGTCACTTGTGAAACTATTTCGGTTACATCTATGCCTAAGACCGGAATCGTTAGTGATCATCTCCCTGTTAGTTCTATTGATGTTGGCAAAAAGAAAGGGAAATGTGTTATTATTGGGGATCCTCGGCCCAAGAATAGGACAAAAAATGCGAAGGCCGAAGATCATAAAGTTACAAAAGATGACTCATCTAGTTCCCAAAAGACTAAAAAGCCGAAACTCACTTTTGAGATGCTTATGGCTAAGTACAAGAAAGGATTAGCCGGTCAACGTTTTGATAACCAAACTAGTGATTCGAAAAGACCAAGATCATCTCGTAGGAAGAGATTTGGTCAAACATCAAAGCAATCGGAGCCATCAACTATACCAACTCCATATAAACCTCCGGTTGTGATGCCATGGTATCCATATCCAATGTCACTATATGGTTATCCTTTTATGTATTATATGCCATGGATGCCTCAACCACCTATGCCGTGTCATCAAGGATGGAAGCAATCACCTAGGACGGTACCAACTCATTTTAACTCAAGACAAGACCGTTTCCCACGAAAAGAATCGGTCCGGTGGATCAAAGGTGTCACGTCCTGATAAATTCATCCCGAAATAAAATTTATTTTCTAAAAGAAATAATAGAATTAATTAAAATTCGAAAAGAAATTGGCAAACACTAAAATACATACAAGAAAAATTCGAATGTGGCCCGGAGAATTTTTGTTAAATTCTCCTTGGTCTAAAATGAGCCCTCAAATTTTACTTGAATTTTCAGAGCACCGGAAATATTTATTAAGCAACAAAAACAATTATCAAAGTTTACTAAAAAGAAAAACTAAAAATAAATCCTCCTTCCTCCTTTGGGCCGAGCCCAGCCCAAAGTCCTTCCCTCCTCCCTCTCTTTTTCCTTCCCCCTCTCTCCCTTGGGCCGCCCTCCCTCCTTCCCCGGCCCACTCCCTCCTCCTCCCTCTCTCCCCGGGCCACCTCTCCCTCCTCTCCTCCTGGGCCGGCCGCCCGGCCCAAGCCTCGTCTCCACGCCGTCCTCGTCTCCGTGCAGCCGCTACCGGCTGCCCTCGTCGCCTCCTCGCCCGCCCCGGTCGTCGTCGTCGTCGTCCTCTCGTCGTTCCCGGTTGTCGTGGCGTTCGTCCCTCCGTCGAGCCGTTCTCGTCCGTCGTCCGTGTCCGTCAAGCGAGCCGCGGCAGCCCCGTCGTCGTCTTCGTCCTCGGCTCCGCGTCGTCAAGCCTCGTGCCGGCCGCGTCTCGACTTCGTCCAAGGATCGCCGCCGAAGTCGTTCCCTCGCCGTTCGCCTCCGTCGTCCCCGAGCCGTCTCCGCCGCGCTCGTTCGTCGTTGTCGTTCCCACGCCTCGTCGCGTGGTGGTAAGGATCTCTCCTTTCGCTGCCCCGTCCTCGTCCTTTCGGTGTCGCCCGTGCCCGTTGTGCGGTTGTCGACCCCGGTACCCGCGTACCGGTGTCGGTAGTCGTTCACGTGTGCGGGTGGTGACCGTGTAGTGTCCGTGTTAGTGTGCCCGCTCGGTAGCCGCGTGGTTTCCACGTGTGCAGCCCGTGTGGTGTCTAGTGGAGTCCGTTTGTCGGCCACTCGCCTCGGTTGACACACGGGGTCCGCTTCCGTCGACCCGTGGACCGTCTCTGTGTACTCGGTCTACCGCGGTCCTTTAGGTTGACATGTGGGGTCCGCATGTCAACGGCGCAGCCTTCCTGTCTTTTCCAGGCTAGCGCTTACACATGTTTTATAGTTGCAAAACCTAATTATAATAATCCGCAAATCTCCATATAACAGCATTAAACTTCGGATGATCATATCTTGATCATACGAACCTCGAATCGACCCGTTCAAGTCTCCTAATGTTTGTTATAACCTAAAGAACCCTGTGCTTTCTTTTTATGTATTGTTATTGCTTCTTTATAGGCTTGTAGCTTTGCTTGTGTGCTTCGCGTAGCTTCTGTCGTTCCGGAGGTTCCCGAAGCGTGGTTCGCGGTCGTCGCCGAAGGTTCGGAAGGCCGTTCTCTCTGAGCAAGGCAAGTCACATCATCCTTGAGCATATTGAATCCCAGTTTATAAAATTATTTTGATTTAAATTAATGCATTATCGCTTTATTTAAATTCCCGCGTTATCACTGTTTTATTTAGCCATGCCTATTTACCTTTGTTATGACATTATTATTGCTATTGTTATTATTACCTTGTTCACCCTAGAATAAATAAAACCCCAACTAATGGGTACTCTATTCATGGTTCCACTAATATGAATTTAGGTAGATGCTTCGTTGATTAATTAGGCAACATTATGTGGTTTTATAACTCTAGACATTAGGTAAGGCTTAGTTTGTGGCTCAGTCTGGTTATAAACAAAAGTACACGGATGGAGATGGACGAAGTCGGGGGCCGAAGGACATCTCTAGGACAAATGAAGGCTACACGAGCTGCGGCCCGGTAGTCGAGATGTCATGGCACAGGGCTGGTGTCCTGCTGCCAGGGGCTCAGTCCTGCCTACCTGTCCCGGAGGTTCCGGCCGTAGGTGGGGTTGGGTCGGTACTCTTGTCTATGGCTAGGATGGGTTGGGAACTATGTCACGTCTTTCGTCCGTATGCCGTGGTGGTATGTGGCACGTGGTTACACGTGAGGAAGATGTGTCTTGTGGGTAAAGATGTACACATCTGATCAGAGTATAATCTATTCGAATAGCCGCGCCCTCGGTTATGGGCAAGCCTAGCAATATACCCAACTTAGTGTTTTAAATTCTTAAAACCTGCTTAATAACTAAAATGTGGAATGGTTGGCCTGGGTTGGCTTGGGACGAGCTGGGACCCAGGGTCGGGTTGCCAGTTCGGTCTGAATCATCGTAGGCCTTGGGTTAAGGCAGGTTCGTGTGGGTCCACGGCCTTGATTAATAATATTGTATAGCTCTAGGATCGTGTTTACAAAATAGCTTTGGGCAACTAAGTGACTTTTAAATGCTGTTTACTGCAAAACTTAACCCCTATATTATTACCCCTTGTACTCCCTTGCATTAATCATGCATCTCCCGGTGTGACTTGCTGAGTACGGTGGTTGTACTCATTCTTACTCAATCTTTCCCCCCTTCAGTAAGAGAAGCTTTGGAGAAGAAGTCTTAGGTGGAGTCCTGGCTTATATCCCAGTTGAGCGCCTGTGAAGATGGAGCCGTAGGCCCGCTAGTCCGCTGCTGTTTATTTTTGATTGTCAGGCCTAAAGTGCCTTTGTAATAATGTAAATATAATCGATATAATAAAGATGTGCCTTTTGTATCATGTTTGTTTGGTGTACCCCGGCTTTTCCTGGGACGGGGATTAATACAGTAGCGTTCGGGAAAAGGTAATTTTCTCGGTCGCGACAAAAGGTGAAAAAGGTGAAGAAGGTGTGGGTGAGAAAAGAAGCCAAAGCTCCGGAGGTCGTTGTTGTCAAGGAGGAGTCTCAAGATGTTCATGTACCTACTGGAGATGCCGTGGAAACCATGCAAGCAAAGGACATCGAAGCTGACGCCATAACTGTCAACATTGGCGGTCTAACCGAGACAGCTGGCCGATCTAACCGCCTGTCTACAGCCAGTCTGACCGACCCTCCTGGCCGGTCTGACCGACGGCTTGCAACCGGTTTGACCGGGCCCAGAGGCCGATCAGACCAAGGGGCATTAAAGGTGAGCGGGAAAATCGAGAGCAACACAGGAGCTTCTATTTCGACCAAAAATATTAAGAATCATTATTTAGCTCCTGGAAAACAACCACAGCCGAAGTGGATACCTTCTGGCTTATCTCGCTCTCAAAAGAAGAGGCTACAACGTCTTCGGGCCATAGGTAAAAAAGAAAAAGAGGCCGAAGATGTGGAGAACAAAACATGTAATAATTTAGAGCCTCGAATGACACCTAAGCGAGTGTGTAGGCCTAAAGAAGTAAAAGTTAAAAGATCGGTGCTTTCACAGAGTAGTGATGGATTCAATTTGGTGAGAGAAGAATCATCGGTCATTAAAGATAAGTCTCCTTCACATGATGCTATGGGTGTTAGTGCGGTATTCATCTTGCCTTCGAAATCGTGCAATCAAGAAAGCCGATTTTGCTTGGGGGGCAAGACATTAATATGCTCATGAGGGAACCAAGAGAAGAAGAATGGCAATGGATACAACATCACATCTTCGAGCCGCCGTTCGTTGGATGCTAAGGCAAGGTATGGGTTTATGGTGTTCATCGTTATATTATATGCCTATGTCATGTTAGAACATTGCTTGCTATCTAGCACATGTGTGTTTTTGCTTATCAAATTGATATTATACATACATGTTGCAAATGCCAGTTCTAAGTAGTAGAATTAGTAGGTTGGCATATAATTTGTTTCAAGTATGATTTGGCTCGTGACTCTTTGATATTTATTTAAAGCCAAATCGTATGTGTTTTTATGGATCACTATATAAGATATAGATTTCATATTTATTGCACCATGAAAGTTTTGCTTATTAGTAATTCGGCTAATGTCAATGGTCAATGTGATGATTTATTCTACAGTTGTTTTCTTTAGAAACATTGGCATTGTTAATATTTTGCATACATGCTCAAGCCGATTATTTACATTTGTAGTTTATTGGAATTCATGTGTGTGAGGCATATGACTTTGGTGATTCATTATTGATCATACTTCAATTGGCTAAGTGTTTTGATGCCATGATGATTATTGTTTCAAAAGCCATTTGAATTAGTATTCATCTAGATATGTTAGTTGGATGTTATAGTTTTTTATATGTCTAGAGAGAAGAAATTTTGGTCCAATAATTTGATACACCAAGCATCTGGCTATTATGTGAAGAAAAATTATATACTGAAGGCCGATGCTTGATTTCAAAACTTTGGACGAAATTGGTAAAACCATAGACCAGGGGCGGTCTGACTGGCATTGCATGGCTGGTCTGACCGGTGGTACCGGCGGTCTGACCGGCTTTGCATGGCCGGTCTGACCGTGCAGACAGGGCGGTCTGACCGGCATTGCGTGGCTGGTCTGACCGATCCCAGACAGGAGGCTGGGGGCACGTTACGATTGATTAAAAGGCCGAATTAATTGTGAATTCGGACGTTTGTGCCCATGAGGTAGAAATAGCTTGGAGAATTCCTTTGATTAGATATTTGAAAGATCCTACACTTAAGGTTGATCGGGAGATTCGACGGCAAGCGTTCAAATATTATATCGCCGAAAAATAGATGAAGTATTGTTGAAGTACTTAGATAATGATCAATCTAAAGTTGCTAGGAGAGTAGTACATGAAGAGATTTGTGGAATTCATCAATCGGCCCGTAAGATAAATTGGTTGCTTAGGAGAGTGGGGTTTCATTGGCCGAAAATAATTGATGATTGTTTCAAATGCTATAGAGGGAATGAAGCTTGATAACGGATCGGCAATGTTCAATTAGCGGGTACCGCTGTGTTGAATCCTATCATTAAACTATGGCCGTTCCGAGATTGGGCTTTGGATTTCATTGGTCAAATTTATCCTTCGTTATCAAAAGGGTATTGGTTCGTGCTAGTAGCAATGGATTACTTCACTAAGTGGGCCGAAGCCGTGCCGCTCGAGAATATTACTTGTGCGGAGGTAATTGACTTTATTTTGGAGTATATTGTTCATAGATTCGGTATTCCTCAAACGCTAAAGGAGCTTCTTTTATGTCCAAAGAAGTGAGAAGTTTTGCCAAATCTTATGATATTAAGTTGTTGAATTCTTCTCTTTACTACGCTCAGGCTAATGGATAAGCCGAGTCGAGTAATAAAACATTGTTGAAATTGCCGTTTTGCCAATTGAGGTAAATCTTGGCTCTCTTCAGTATTTCAAGCAAGACGACTTGTCGGTTGAAGATTATGGGAAGCAATTTTGAAGACGTCATCGACAATACGAAAAGAACTAAGTTAAATTTTTTTTAGAGGAAAAGAACTAAGTTATTTATGACCAAAAGAGCCGTATTATATCATCATCAATCTCAGGTTAAAAATTACCCGTAGGTGACCGTAGTAACAAATGGGTACACTCGTTCCAGATCGTAAAGTTCCAAACGGATACTCAGTTCGACTGGTCCAGTTCTCACGATTGAACTAGCTGTAATGGCCATGGTACATCGGCAGACTGTATTTCACATGTCGGAGCTTGCTGCGCAGAAGACTTAGCTTGGTGGATATAGTTCATCCTCACTAGCAAATTGCTGCCTTGACCGTGTCCAGAACTACTGCCAAGTAGCACAATCTTATCTTAACACCCAGCTCCTTGGTTCCAGTTAGGGTTGAACTTGCGAACATCTATCCTTTTCAATCCTCTCTGCTTCAAAAATAGATGAATTGGAGAATAATGCCACATAAGCAATGTTGTCAGGATATGAGTCCAGCACAACAGCAATTCCCACTTTTAGGTCCAAACACGAATGGTGCCATCAACAGATGAAGTTAGCATGCAAGCCCTTGTTGGGTGATAACTGACGCTAGTGACCTGCCATAAGAAAAATATATATATATAGTATATGACATGGTTAAAAGCAAAAATGACAGAAAACAAGAGAAAATGTCATTTAATCAGTAATAATGGTTTGGCCAGATTTAAGCAAAACAAGGAAATACCACAGAACTATGAGCTCGAAAGCTTGAAACAACAGGTGCATCCACTAACTCCCAGAAGAAAATGTAACCATCCTCGGATCCACCAACAACAAATGCATCATCGTTGGTTAGGCAGCAATCCATCTTGAAGGACTGGAAATATGAAAGTTAAAAGTTTTAAAAACTGATAATGATGAGATGCATAGTTTTGATCTCGCTTAAGTATTTCATTCACGAACATTAATTGCAAGAAAAAGTTGAACAGACTGGTAATGTACATATGAAAATCCAGAAATTATGACTACAGAATCACCAATGCAATGGAAGCTTATTTGAGAGATACCTTGCATATATGCCCTTTGTACTCTTGTAACAGTTCCCCAGTGGACCTAATCAATGCAACAAAAGATAAATGGATCAATCACCAAAAGAAACAATTTAATGATGAAGGTGCACTTGCAGTGGGTTAGGGCCCTCCACATAGCATTTTGTAAAAACAACACCCACGAATTCTACAAAATAACATGGTCAGAGTCACAACATCCCCTGTTCAGTCAGTTTTCATAATGGAAACATGGTAGAGTTTTTTTTTTCTTTTGGTCTGAGTCAGAGTTGAATTTTGTGGCAGCATGTACCACAAGTCCACGGCATTAAAGTTAGTGATGCACTCTAAGGACTTGCTAGGAAATAATTAAAGGATAGAAAAAACCACCCTTTACAACCATAGCCTCTCCCTTCAAAAAACAAAACAACCATAACCTCTTACATTCCATATTGTACTATAACAGAAGCAGGTCTAACCTATGAATGACAGACAGACAATCATAATGCAGACACTGTAAGTAGTTAAGCACAAGTGCACAACAAAATCATCCAAAGTAGCCAGGTCACGTGGACCACAAGCAAACTATGGCTCCTAAACCATGCTGTTGGTATGGATTTGTTCACTAATACATGGTGTGGCACAACAATGGCACATTAACTTCACTTGGCTTGACATTTGTTGCAAAGACCAAGGACAGTGGTCCATTTGACATTAAAAAGGTAAACAGTTCCATAACACAAGTTAACTTGAAGCTTTCTTTTCCACAAAACAAAAGTAGTGTCTAACCAGATTTTGCAATACAAACTCCCAAATTGTTTCTTTAAAGGAAACTGCAGATGCAAAAATGAAGTAGCTCCACAGGCAACAACACCAACAATGTTCAGCACAGATGCAAAATATAGTTGTTGGACTCATTCTACTTGCTCTTGGAAAGCAAATTTTGCTAGCATGTTTAAGAGGAAGATGGCAGATGAGATCACTGTTGTATCAGAGCCGAGCAAGAAAGCCCCCACGGATTGACTAATTTAATAAGGGAAACAGCATGTTATCCAGTAAAGGAATGGAGTGAGCTCCCTAACTGGTGAGAAAAGTAACTAATATGTGAAATTAGTGTTAGCAGAAAATGCTGTTATGTCGTCTTCCAAATTAAAAATTGACAGAAGGGTGTTGTTTTGTCACTCTTGAAATAGAGGAGGGACTGCCGATGTTGAAGTATAAAGTCAGCTTGCAGAGAATACTTACTTGTCTAGAAGCCTCACAGTAGAATCCAAACAATTAGCTAATAGGCAATTGCGGTCATTTGACAAAGATATACAGTTGACAGGATGCCCCAAGTTGTCGACAGTCTCCCTGTTATCAGCAAGAGGGTAACAGAAGCATCAGACACAGTGGATAATCTGTTGAAGCATGGATAAGCATCTGAATACTTCTATTCAAAAAGAGAAGCACCCAAAGTTCCATTTAGGAAAGCTAAGATAACAAATGAGAATTGGTTGAATATTGATTGTGAAATAAGAAAAGTACTTACCTACCCATGCGAATGTCAAATGTGCGGATAGTACCATCAACACTGCCAGCAATTATTTCTGTGTTGGTTAAATTAACTGACATTACACTATCTTGAAAAGTATCAATTGTCTGCACCAAGTGAAAAAAATCACCAGAAACCCAGTTACCCAAGTATATGAGAAACAAAGGGGAAATAATACTACTAAAATCAATGGGTCCATGTTCTTCAACAATAATAAGAATACCTGAATAGGGTCACTGCTCTGTGATCTGCAATCAAATGCACGCACTGTGCGATCATAGCCAGCTGAGACTACAACTGTGTTAAACTCATTAAACTTCACTGAATTGATCTATGGAAGACAGAATTGAGGTATGTAAGCAATATTATCAAGGATCAAAAACCTGTCACCGAGGTTGTTCTTGATCTGTTTTCAGTATCCCAATAATCATATTGACGATGTGCAGTGCTAGATTTAAAAGGAAGTACAACAACACCATTACAGAGGTATCATTACAGCACACTCATTTTCACACAATTCACCCTGCAATTGACTAGTTGTGACTAGATCGATAATGCTAGAGTGCTGATTTCGTGGTGTTCTCCACATAGCACAATGGAACAGACGTTGTTTGATTATAAACAGTGCCAACTGCTCTATTCCACTACAATCTCAGGCTACTGCTAATCCTATCATAAACAACCGTGCTCTCTCTGTATAGATAAAATCAATACTAGTATTGAAATAGCAGCGGCGCTTAACACACTGATAGTATGGTGCTGAAACTGCTTAATAGTACAATTTTTCATGAGCACTTCTCACTTGCTCAATCCAACCGCGATCACCAAACAATTACAACAGCGCGGTCATCATCACAGTGAGAATTGGGGTCCATACCTCGCTGTTGTGGCCGCGGAACTTGCGGATGACACGGGCAGATGCGACATCCCAGTAGAAGACCTGCCTGTCCCCGCCGCACGACACCAGCTTGGCATTGTCCCTGCAAGCAAAGGATCCTCAAATTCCCCACTGGTGCTCAGCTCCTCCAAATCAGACAGGGGAAGTTGGTGTTGGGGGGACGGAATCGCAGCGAGGAAGAGGAAGCGAAGTGGCTTACGAGGAGGAGTTCACGTCGCGGACCTCGCGGCCGTGGGACTTGTAGGGCTTGACGAGGGCGCCGGTGTGGGGGTTCCAGAGGCGGATGATCCGGTCCTTGCCGCAGCTCAGGCAGTAGTTCCCGTCCCGATTGAATCGCACCGCCAGCACCGCCCCCTCGTGCCCCGACAGCACCCTGGCCTCCGTCCGCGGCAGCCGCGCCGCCGCCGCCGCCGCCATCTCCCCGCTTCCTCCTCCTTCCCGGCGTCGGTGACGGTGACGAACTAGGTTTCTTTTTTTTCTTTTTTCTTTTTTCTTTTTTTTCTTTTGAGATATAAACGGCGACGGGTTCCCAACTTGGGCTGGCCCATGGGCCGTGTACCGTGTACGAGTCGGATTCCCCCGAGGCCCAGACTACTACTATCCATCCGTATATCCGTACGCCGGAGAGCCCCGCCGACGTAGACGAAACCGGCCAAAACTAATCCAATGGCGGCGGCGGCGGCGGCGGCGGAGGGGAGAGGGCCACGGCGCGTGCGCAACACCTGCATCTTGGCGCACGTCGACCACGGCAAGACCAGCCTGGCCGACCACCTCATCGCGGCGTACGGCAGCGAGCGCCGGGTGAGCGAGAGGATGGCCGGGAGCGCCCGCGTGATGGACCACCTGGAGGAGGAGCAGCGGCGGGCCATCACCATGAAGTCGGCCTCGATCGCGCTCCGCCGCGGCGGGGAGGACGGCGGCGGCCACCGCGTCCACCTGATCGACTCCCCGGGCCACATCGACTTCTGCTCCGAGGTCTCCGCCGCCGCGCGGCTCGCCGACTCGGCGCTCGTCCTCGTCGACGCCGCCGAGGGGGTCCGGGTCCAGACCCACGCCGCGCTGCGCCAGGCGTTCGTCGAGCGCCTCCGCCCCTGCCTCGTCCTCAACAAGGTGGACCGCCTCGTCGCCGAGCTCCGCCTCACCCCCGCCGAGGCGCACGCGCGCCTCCGCCGCATCGTGTCCGAGGTCAACTCCATCTACTCCGCGCTGCGCTCGCGCTCCTACTTCTCCACCCTCGACGCCGCCTGCGCCCTCTCGCAAGAACTCCCCGACAACGGCGACGCCGCCGACGAGGAGGAGGACGCGTTCCAGCCGCAGAACGGCAACGTCGTCTTCGCCTGCGCGCGCGAGGGCTGGGGCTTCCGCCTCGTCACGCTGGCCAAGCTACTAGCCCCCAAGCTCAGAGCCGACCCCGCGGAGCTTCTCAAAGGCCTATGGGGGCAGAAGTACTTCGACGAGAGGAGCAGGACGGTGGTGGGGAAGGAGGCCATGGCGGCGGCGACGGCCAACCCGAACCCGAAGCCGATGTTCGTCAAGTACGTCCTCGAGCCGCTCTGGGGTCAGTACCACAAGATGAAGCGGAAGCTGCGGCTCGCGGAGGCGGTGTTCGACATGGTCGTGGAGTGCACTCCCAACCCCATCGCCGCGCAGGCCACCAGGGTGGCAAGGCTCATGCCGGCCGCCAAGACGGAGCAGCTAACGGCGGCCGCGCCGTGCCCCGCCGCTGTCGCCGCGGAGGTGGAGAAGGTGAGGAGGTGCGTGGCGACGTGCAACGCGAGCACCAGCGCGCCGGTGGTGGTGTTCGTGTCCAAGATGTTCGCCGTGCCATACAGGTTCCTGCCATCCAGGGGCGTCAATGGCGAGCCCCTGAACCACAGGGGATCATCATCCAGCGCCGAATCAGGGGAGTGTTTCTTGGCGTTCGCGAGGGTGTTCAGCGGCGTCCTCCGTGCTGGCCACAAGGTGTTCGTCCTGTCCCCCATGTATGATCCACTGAGAGGAGGGGACGACGCAATGCAGCAGAAGCATCTGCAGGAGGTGGAGCTGCAGCACCTGTACCAGATGATGGGGCCTGACCTGGAGATCGTCTCCGCCGTGCGCGCCGGCGACGTGCTCGCGATCGAAGGGCTCGGGCATCACGTGCTGAAGAACGCCACGCTGTCGTCGACCAAGAACTGCCAGCCGTTCTCGGGCATGATGTTCCAGGTGTCCCCGATGCTCAAGGTCGCAATTGAGCCCTCCAATCCGTCAGATTTGGGCGCCCTTGTCAAGGGGCTCAAGCTTCTCAACCAGGCTGACCCGTTCATCGAGTACACCGTCTCGGAACGCGGCGAGCATGTCCTCGCTGCAGCTGGCGAGATACATTTGGAGCATTGCATCAAGAATCTGCAGGAGAGGTTTGCAAGAGTCCAGCTGGAGGTGTCCAAGCCATTGGTGTCGTTCAAGGACACCATCCAAGGAGAAGGTGCCGGTATAATGGAGAGCCTGAAAGCTTCACATGAATTTGTTGAGAGGACTACTCCAAATGGGAGATTCACTGTCAGAGTTAAGGTCTTCAGGCTTCCCAATGCTGTCACTAAGGTCATTGAGGATAGCAAAGAATTGCTTGCTCAAGTAATCGAGGGGGATTCAGGAAATAGTAATGGTGTGTTGGATTCACGGTTTTCGCAGGATGGCGGTGATTCTGCATCAACACTTAGGCAGCTCCTCATCAATGCCATAGACAGTGATCTCGAAGCGCTCTCTGCTCAGTTGGATGATGAAAAGACAGAGAGTTACAGAAAGATGTTGATTGGGTACCTTCAGAGAATCTGGGCACTTGGTCCTCTGCAAGTTGGACCAAATCTCCTCCTCTCACCTGATGCAACATCAAGCGATGGTGTGGTGACCAGCCAAGATGGAAGAGAAGGTATTCTCGTGCGCGGTACATGCCATGTTTCTGAGAGGTTAGGGCTTGTGAATTCTTCTGATGCAAAAACTACAATTGGCATCGACGGCAGTCAATCAGCAGTAGATGGTCTTGATCCTGAAACAGTGAAGAACAGCATTGCAACAGGATTTCAGCTTGCAACCAATGCAGGACCATTATGTGGTGAACCTACTTGGGGCTTGATATTCCTTGTTAAACCTTACATACTTCCGGATAGTGCAGATGCTAGCAATAATCAATCTGACCATTACAGCACCTTCAGTGGTCAGATCATTACAGCGGTCCGAGAAGCATGCCAGGCAGCCATCCTTGAGAGCAAACCAAGGCTTGTGGAGCCAATGTACTTCTGCGAACTGACCACACCTACTGAGCAGTTAGGTTCCATGTATGCTGTTCTTGGCAATTGTCGGGCGAGGGTGCTGAAGGAAGAGATGCAGGAGGGAACCTCATTGTTCACGGTGCATGCGTATTTGTCAGTTGCCGAGAGCTCTGAATTCTCTAAGAAGCTCAGGAATGCAACTGCAGGTGCAGCCAGCGCGCTTCTGGCCTTCAGTCACTGGGAGACTGTTCCTCAGGATCCCTTCTTTGTTCCGAAAACTCGCGAGGAGATTGAAGAATTCGGAGATGGCTCAAACATTGGCCCAAACCTGGCAACGAAGCTCATGAATTCTGTGAGGCGAAGAAAGGGACTGCACGTTGAAGAGAAAATTGTCGAGTATGGCACGAAACAACGAACTTTAGCTAAGAAAGTATAGTTATGTTTACTGGTATGTAGGAGCTAACCTGTTGTTTTGTCCTGGTAAATTGAGATATGTTAGTATACAACCAAAACCAAGTATGCATTTTACATGACTGTGCAGTTTTGATGTACCAAAAATGCATCATTTTACATGATTATACAGTTTTGATGTACCAATGATTTTATAGTGACATATGTATAGTATAGGTGACAATCAGATGACAAAAGAGTAGCAACAAGATGGTAATTTGCCGGAAACTCCTGTATATATACGTTGAAATTGTTGGATTATTCTGTGTAATACTGTCAGCTGTACGGATGGATAATCTTGTGGGTTGGGTGTATTTATGAAGAGAAGAAACCCTGCTATATTTTTTTTAACTTCCTGCAATGGTGTTTTCTCTGCTCTTTCTGCTTAGGCCGTCTTGCCGGTTCCTGTACAGTATCGTTTCTTGCGATTACTGCAACAATTATGCGGTTGATCCATTGTCTCTTTGCAACAAACAAAACAAAATTTCAACGTGCTGTAGTACATAACATGGTTTATGCAAAAGTCCTCAATGTGCATATCTTAAAGGTTTTCAGCGTGAATTGATTGAACAGATAAAATTATCGTTCCGCTCTGATTTTTTTTTTTTCATTTGCACAGAAGACAGATCCCCAATAAAGCAATAACTAGAATACGGTATCATCTAGGTTAAACTTCTACCGGTAAACTTGCAAACTAGATTGGAACACATCAGAGCATTAATAAGAAATCTTCACTAATGTATTAATACTAGTTCAGTACTTCAAGTTGATGAAGTATTTGGATGCTTATGGGGAGAAAAGGCACTTTTTTTTTTTTGAAAGGAACGGGAGAAAAGGCACTTGAAAGAAGCTACCAGTATAAAGCGTCAAAAGAAAATTCCAGTATGTATTATGATGATCAACTTGGACTTAGCAAACTTGTATTGCGCGTAAATTCTAAGAACTACAGAATTTCCACTTATGTTTGGACTACAAAGTGTATAAATGCATCCATTTGCGTAAGCTCTTTACATGATCAACTTAGAGGACCATATTACCATTTCACATAAAGCGGCAGCAATAAACTGAACTCACATACTGACGAACTATCGTTTCCAGTCATGCAAAATCTTTTGAAACCTAAATCAAGAGAGTAAGATCCAGAGATACAACCATGGATGATGGAACATAGTGTTAAAAACCTTACCAGAACCACCAAAAGGATTACCAGTACTAACAACCTGAAATCAGAAATTATGGGAATCCAAATTTGAAATATTACCTATTCATTACAAATGCACGACAAATATAGATATGTGGAGCTGGAGATACTCCCTAAATGTTTTAAAACATGGAAATCATGTAGTAGGTTCACAAATACTGTAACATCTAGTAGTAAACAATTAGCTGGCAAAGATTAGGTAACACTTTTTTATTCTTTCCACATTGTTTTCAGTATCAACAGATTGTTTGCAGAGTTAACTACAGCAGTCAGACTGCCTAACAACGAAATGAAACTGCCATGCCAATCTTTTTCAAATTTTCGGTTCTCATATTTCAAGCATTGATGTAGAGTATCAATTGTCTGCACCAGGTGAAAACAATCACCGCAAACCCAAGAACATGAGAAATAAAGGGCGAAAAAGTACTACCAGAATTATATCACTGCTCTGTGACCTGAAGTCAAATGCACGCACCATCCATTTGGATAAGCTATTTGCATGATCAACTTTGAGAATCATATTATCATGCATTTCTCATACAATGGGAGTAAATCAAACAGAACCCACATAATCATAATGATTAACCAGAAATTAGAAACTGTGGAAGTCCAAATTTGAAATTGCCAATTCATTACAAATGCACTACTAATATAGCTATGTGGAGCTGGAGATATGCCTTACACGTGTTCAAACATAGAAACCATGCAGTTGGTTCAAACACTGTAGCATCTAGGAACAAAAATCAGTAAACAAATACTAACTGAGGAAGATTAATATGCCTATTCATTCCTAAATGTGCACTGTCAATATCGCAACATGGTTTCAGAATTGAGTACAACAGGACTGCCTGACAATAAAATAGAGCTATCATGCCAATCATTTTTCAATTCTTTGGTTTACATATTTCAGGCATTGAACGTGCAGACTAATAATCAAATCAAAATTTGATACTACTTTCCTGGAACACACAACTAAAGCTTGGGCTTGACAATTTTCAAAGCACACGTATCATGTGCTATGCAACTGATAAATCACTGCAAATTTCATGAAGCATACATTTCATACTAATTGGTAAACTCAGTCAGCATGGCAGAAGCCTGAAATAACTAGTAGCTTCTGCCTATGTACTTGTGCTGTTGTGCAGATTATGATAAACAAACAAGACAAACAACAAAGGATGCAACACTATATATTGTGGTGAACAGTGGTTAGCTTTTTCATTCAGTATTTCAGTCCAACTGAAAATTCAGAAATTAACAGAGAGCATCTGTATCAACATGAATCCCAACCAGCATGCTTGCTACTAAATACAAAATGTCCAAATGACTTAGCAACAGCAACAAACCAATTCTGTCGAATTGATTGCCACAGGCAATTTCAAGCTTCTTCTACATCTACGGAAACTTGAACACACATCTAAAGCATAGATTCAGCAGATTGCAAAACCTGGTTGCTATCTAGCAGATTACGGACCTTGGAAGAACGGCGGGTCGCCGTCGATTGCATCTTCCTGCCGCATCGGAAGGAACGCATGCGCAAGAAGGCTTTCCTGGAGCATATATCTGGACAGGACGGTGAGGTGGCCGGCGAGGGAGTAAAACATGAGCACGTTCCCCTCGGTGTCGCACTGGAGCATCATCGCCGGGCACTGTGCCAGCACATTCCTCTCCTGGGACACGGCGAACACTGCTGCGGATACGAAGCCTTCGTCGTCGTAGCCACCGAAAACGTTGAGCAGATCCACCGGCAGCGAGATCTGGTAATGGTGTTCCCAAGCCTCCCCTTCCTGAAGAACCCAGACATCCACGGTGGTCTGCGAGACGAGCGTCATGGCGAGCCTCCCGTTGATCTCAAGCAGCTGGTCTCCCTCCACCGGGATCATCTGATTACCTTCCTGTTGATTCGGGGGAGGTATCCACCCGAAGGACTCGGCGACCGTGTCGAACACCAGCACGTTGAGGCTGGCCGCCTGCGCGCGCCAGTGCAGCCTGTGCGCGATGGCGACGGGCGGCATCTCGTAGGAAGGGGAGATCCCCTCGGCGAGCACGGCGCGGACGGCCTCCAGGTCGGCGGGGCGCCCGATGTCCCTCGGCGGCTGGTCCGGGAAGAAGCTCAGGGAGAAGACCCAGTAGCGGCAGCCGGGGCGCGCCGTGTGGTACAGCACCCTGTACTCCCTCTCGTCGATGGCGCCGTGGCCGTAGAAGCCGACGATGACGTGGTCGTCGTGGAGCGGCGGGAGGCGGCGCCACCGGCGCGTGGAGGGGTTGCAGGCGTAGAGCCTGGTGTGGTAGGAGAGGAGGAGGATGCCGTCGCAGGAGCCCTCGATCGTGAACACGCGCGGGTCGGCGCTGCGGAGGTCGGCGTCGGCGTGGGAGAAGCAGATGACCGGGTGGGTCTCGCGGGCGGCGACGTCGACGGCGCGGAGGTGGACGCGGACGCGGTCGGGGAAGGCCCAGTGGTCGAGGCGGTAGAAGAAGAGCGGCATGGGGTGGCGGGAGCGGTGGCGCTGGTGGCCGCGGCGGAAGGAGTCCGTGGCGATGAGGTCGCGCAGCCGCCTGCAGACGCCGCTGCAGCGGGCCACCTCGGCGGCCGGCATGCGGAGGAGGACCTGGTGGAGCGCGTCCACCTCGACGCGCCGCAGTTCGCGCGGGGCACGAATCCCTGCTACATTCGGCAAGTCCCTGTTCGCCTCCTCGTGTTCCCCTCCGTTTGCCGCCGCAGCTTGGTCGTTCTCCGCCGCAGCCTGGTCGTTCTCCGCCGCAGCTTGGTCGTTCTCCGCCGCAGCCTGGTCGTTCGCCGCCGCAGCCTGGTCGCCTCCGTTCGCCGCCGCCTCCGCCTGGTCGTCTCCGTTCGCCGCCGGCTCCTGGTCGTCTCCGTTCGCGACGATGGCCGGTGGGTGGTGGTCTCCGTTCGGCGGAGCATCCTCGTGGCCACCGTTGTCCGCCATGGCCGACGAGGCGAGATGGGGGTGCGGGTGGAAACGACCGTTGGTGGTGGGAAAAGGAGAGAAGAGGAGGAAGAAAGGGGAGGGCGAGATTTGCGGGGGGGATTTGGTGGAGGCGGCGAGATGAGCTGGAGGCGACGCCGCGTGGGCTTTTTGTACTACTACATTCGGTGAGAGGAATAATTGGACCGGATCTCAGTTTGCGAGTTTACTTGGGCCACAAGTATAAGGCGGTTAGGCCTTAGGCTGAAATGGCACTGAGCTGAGATATCCGAAATTCACTACTCCATTTATGCAGTGATTGTGAAAACGCATGTAGTATAGTGATTGGAGTGACATGAGTAGCATCTCAAGGTCCTGAGTTTAAATCTCTGTAGGAGCAAATTTCAAATTGGATTGTTTAAGGTATTAAGTTCCTAATTTAAAAGACTACATATATCCGATTAGATATAGAGACCGGGTGAAAAATACCCTTCCCTACAAAAAAAAAAAGTTATGCATAGACTATCAGATTGTCAATGTGATTTACTTTTTACTTTTTAGAAGTCCTGCCAACCGTCGTGACCATGTTGCTTAACGGCTTGTCTATCGTCCCTTCTCTTAATCATCATTGAGATTCTATTTGTGCTTTTGTTTATAGTTTTTAGATGTCGCATCAAGTGCCACCAACTTACTCCTTTACGGGCCTAATGTTTCTCTCTTCTTTATGGTTACCTGTCATGTTTGAGTTCTAGATGGACTTTTTTTTTGAAAATTCCATATTTTTCGTTCCGATATTTTCTTATTTGTAAAGTGTATTCCTACTTGAACTCTTAGAATTATTTTTCTATTTTTGAAATTTATTTTATTTTTTATTTTGAATTTTAAGGATTCATTTTTTAATTTCTAGAAGTCCCGCCAACCGCCGCCGGCTCCACACCATTATACTCCTATATGGTATACCCGTTATCTCCCCTATCTATTATCATTGAGATTCTAAAAAAAACATGATTGTTATTGTGTTTTATTTTTTTTTACTTTATATAAGTCCCGCCAACCGTTGTGACTATACTGCTTAACGTCATGTCTGTCGTTCCACCTCTTAATCGTTCTTGGGGGTTCTATTTGCAGTTTTGTTTATAATTTGTAAATGTCTCATCAACTGTTCACCATCTTACTATTTTACGGGCCTATTACTTGTCTCTTCTTTCTTTATTGTTATTTGTCACCGTTGACTTCTAGGTTGATTAATTTTTTGAAAATTTCAATTTTTTTATTCTGATATTTTTTTTATTTATAAAGTGTATTCCTACAAGAACTCTTATAATTATTTTTCTATTTTTAGAATTTATTTTATTTTTTAATTTGAATTTTAATTATTCTCGTATTCAGTTATATAAGCACTCTTCTTCATATATTAATTATTTTTAATTCCGAATTTCAGTTATATCTAAATTGTATTCCTGCTTTAACTCTCTTTTTCTCTTTTCTAATTCAGAATTTATTTTATTTTTAATTCAGAATTTTAATTTATCTCGTATTCGATTCCGAATTTCCGTTATTTCTAAATTGTATTCCTACTTGGACTCTTCTTTTCTTTTCTAATTCGGATTTTATTTTATTTTTATTCCAAATTTTGAATAATCACATATTGGGTTTTTATATGGACTCTTCTTTTAATATTGCTTATTTTTAATTCCGAATTTTATTTATTTTTAGATTGTATTTCTACTTGGACTCTCCTTTTCTTTTTCTCCGATTAATGTGGGAATTTCTAGTCCCCACAGCGAACGTGGTACCTTCTTTCAAGGCTGTTTTAATAATATAATTTTTAAAATCTCAATGATAATAAAAATATATGAGTATAGTAAAGCCGACAGTGGTTGGGCAGATTTCTAGAAAGTAAAAGATGAACCCCAACGATAGTTATGTTCAATTTTCAAAATCCCAATAACAATAAATGTGGGAGACAACAGACGGATCGTGGAGAATTACAGTATTGATGTTTGACAACACTCCTAAAAATTATAATAAGGGAACTTGACGAGACAATGGACTCTAAAAACTAGAAGGTCTATTTTTTAAAGGTTTAAAGGAAGATAAATAAATCCGTGATAGATTGGGTAAACAGATAAAGGGGTGATAAAAGAGTAAGAGGTAACGACTGGTGTGACTTTTAAATAAAAACTATAAAAATTTAAGGATGATAAGGTTCGATCTTTTAAAATTATAAGACAACATAATGGCTATTTAACAAATTTTAAGTAATATCAAATATAGAAAAATAGATAATTTTATATGGATGCTAGCCGCGCAATTGCGCAGGTCACCCAGCTAGTTAATAGCAAAGAACAGTTTGTGCATCTCTCCCGATCGGCCCCAACGTGTCCGGCCCATGAATCCCATGATCGAGGAGCCTAGCCCCCCAACCCGGAATTCCCGGCCATGCCGAAGCCCAAGGCAAAGAGGCCCACGCCGCCACGGGCTCACCGGCGATCCACCGCCGCGGGCGCGGGCGCGGGCGGGCTGGGCCTGGCGGCCGCGGCGTACGTGGGCGTGGACTACGCGCGCCGCCACCTGCCGCCGGCGTGGTGGCGGTGGCACGGCCGGCTGCAGCCGGCGCTCTGGGGGGCGCTGGCGCTGGCCGCCGCCGCGCGCGCGCCCTTCTACCGCCGGTGGGACGCCGAGCTCCGCGCCGCGCCGCGGTTCCTCGCCGCCATGGCGCTCATGCTCGCCGCGTTCCTCTGCGAGGCCGTCTCCGTCCGCTTCGTCTCCACCGTCCTCGGCCTCCATTGGCACCGGTCAGTCCCTTCTTCTTCTAGCCGGCCGCAGCGAAATCAGCGAGGGTTTCTTTTTTTGGGGGGTTTCGGGTAAAAATGTCGGGGGCTTGGTGACATCGTTTGTTCGCGTTCTTGCGCTAATCATCGTGGAGCCTGTGGATCGCGGTTGTTGTGATTAGGATTTTTCGAAGAAGGATGCTCTTGCAGCGGTTACTCGTAGCAATGTGTAAAACTGAGCATTGATTAACTGTGGTTCAAATGCTTGATTTGGTTACCCGCCAATCAAAACCATTTCGGTGAATTGCTTGCTGGTAGGATTGGGTTTTGCTTTCGTTTATATTTTATTTATCAGATGATTTGCAAGACAGGTACTTTTTACCTCTGGTAACGGATTGGTGTGAGAACTGAGAACTGTAGATAAGACATCAATTGTTTCTGAAATCTAACAATTGTGGGTTAGTGCATTTCTATTAGTTCGTGAAGATTAAGAATCTGTTCTTAGTTCTTGCTCACACTTTATTTGGATGATTAACTCAAGTCCACAATGCTTGGAAACTTTTTAAGGATCCTAGTGGTGCTTTGGATAGGAAATAGAATGGTTCCTTTAGGGGGAAAACACAGAAATCTATTAACTGTTTATGTGCATTTATGCAACATTTTGTTCCATATATAACCTTTTTCGCCTTGTTAGTTAAATATGTAGTGAGGTTAGCACCTTCACTTTTTTTTTTCCATTAATGGTATGTTTTTTACTCCACCCATGAAATTGAACTACCACTAGAAGATATTACTAGTAGTGAGGCAGTGACAACTTTTTGTCCTGACCAACTTCCTCCCTTTGTGCTTATGCTTATTTGACTGCACTGTTTATTCTGCACTTTTGTGCCATAAAAATCTTAACAAGAGATAAACTAAGACTGGTCCATTTTTTTCTCCACAGATCTACAGCTCCTCTTCCCGACACTGGGCAGTGGCTGCTTCTAGCATTGAATGAGAAACTTCCGCAAATTGTGGTTGATCTCCTCAGAGCACCCATCATCAGTCTTCATCACTATCTGATGTTGTTTATCATGCTGGGGTTTTCAGCTCTGTTTGACTGCATCAAAGGCCCTGGACTTGGCATAGCTGCAAGATATATGTTCACAATGGCAGTTGGACGTTCGCTGCGGACTGTAACATTTCTTGCTACGATTCTACCATCCGCGAGGCCTTGGTGTGCTGAAGCTCGATATCAAATACCTGATCATCCTCATCCTTGGGCACAGAAATACTATGCTCCATATGCCTCTGATCCAGATGCGATCCGTAGGGTCATACAAGAGGATATGCCATATGGTCAGCACATCCAACTTATAACCCTTACTGATATGGCTTCTTTTATTGGCCTGCAGTAGCTAATGTTCTTCCTTCCTAATTATAGCTTTCGTTAAAGAGTACCCTCGTGAGTATAGACCTAAGTGGGGACATATGAGCTTCTTAGTAGACATTTTGAGGCCAACTGTTGAAGAGGGGTCCTCATGGTATCATTTTCTGAAGAAGGCAAGTGGTGGCTGCAGTGATCTTATGTATAGTGGCCACATGCTTGTTGCTGTCCTCACCGCTATGGCATGGACGGTAAGCTATGGCTATTTTGTCTTCCAGATTGTCACAAGTCACGACCAAGATGCATTCATTTATTCTCCTTATGCCCTGCTAAAACCAAAACGGAATTAACTGGCTGCACGTTAAATCGAAAGAATGTTATACACTCATCAAGCCATCCTTGCTATATGTTCTTTTAAAAAATGCACATGGTTATGCCTGCTTTTATAGTTTCATGGCCTGTGTCAATGCATCATTAATTGGATTTATTTCTTTGCAAGTGACATCATGAACCAGTTTTAAGCATTCCCTAACATGCTCTGTGATAATTATTGTTAAATCAATCAAGCACTACATTTATGTGACAGCTAGGACTCTTGCGGTGAAGAGTTCAGTTTACCCTTGTCTATTTTCTTTTCGTAGGCATGGCCCTTCCTCCTGATGATAACTCCATCTTGATTAATTTCTGTGTTGGGCTGTTACTTACTGTTCAATTATCATAATAGATCCTTTTTCCATCGTCACAGGAAGCATATGGGGGATGGATCTCTGTTGTTATATGGTTTCTTGTCCTCCACAGCGCTCAGAGGGAGATACGGGAGCGCCATCATTACAGTGTTGATTGCATCGTGGCAATCTACGTCGGAATCCTCTTGTGGAGGATGACTGGTTTCATTTGGTCTGCGATAGACAACAGTCATGCCAGAAGGCTTGCAAAGCTCGACAAGGTTCAGAACAGACTATTTCAGGCTGCAAAAGATTCAGACATGGATGAAATAAGGGGTCTGCTGAACGAAGTTGAGCTGGCTGGCCAAGAGAGGAAGGGCTTCTCGCAGCGTGTCATCTTGTCTTTCTCCTCTGCTATGATAGTTTTCACCCTCTCATGTGTTCTCCTAGCATTCACACTAACCAGCGATGGATGATTTCTTCGCAGGCTTCATACTTTCAGTTTCATATTGGCAGATTGAGTTTTACTTTTACATGATCCCAGCTCTAGATTTTTTTTGTAGTGTAGGTTGAGAGATTACGTTGATGCTACTTACCTAGTAGTTGAATTAGCAGTGAAACTTGTTTCAGGGGTGCTCTCTCTTGGCACTAAATTTTTGTTGATATCTGTAGCAAACAAAATCTAGATACTTGTGAGGAAAATAAGGATTATCTCCTGTGTTACAGTTGTTGAGAAGCCCTTTGCTAATGAGATGAGATGGTTATGACGATAATGGTGGTGGATGTGTTAGAGAATTAGTGATGGGAAACCATGTGAACCATTGATGCAATAATGCATTTTAATTTGTTTTTTCAGTCCAAAGAAATGGTTCTTCCCATGGCAGCCTGAGCTGGAACATGGAAATGGACCAATGACTCCACGAGAATGTGGCCCGCTTGTCACCAAAATCATCTAAAAATATGATTTGGAAATATATGCTATATTCTAGACTTAGTCAAGCTAAGCTGGAAATTTTATTTCTAGACTCTTATTAAGCTGGAGATGTCTCTGTCAATTGATCGTAATTTGGTTTGAAAGTCAGCTCATTTCTACATCGTCAGACAAGTATTAATTGTAGTGCTTCTGGTGATGAATTTTGTGAACCATTTTGAAGGAAAAGGAAAGGGATAAGTTGCAGTTAACTTGTAAATTGCCAGACTGATACACATATTATCTATGCGCGCGGGAGATGATTTCATACATATATACGAGAGTATTTTACAACTGAAAAATGTCAAGTTTCAGATATATTTACTGTGAGTTGTTGTTATCTATTGATCGTAATACAGGCAGAAACTAGTGGAGTTTTCTTTTGGACAATTAATCCCCGGACGTGCGCAAGGCGTGCATTCAGACCCTTGACAGCGCCTCAAAGTGAAAACGAAAACCAGGGAAGGGATGGACAAATGATATCTACTACTCCCTCTGAATCCAAATGTAAGTTACTTTAGCCTTCTCAATTCTTTCCTAGATGTAAAATGTAAATCTTGTTTAAACTCTTTCTTTAATCTTTTCTTGTATATTTGCTTTTGCCAAATAAATGTTATCCTCCTCACAAATACACCGTTCTTCTTTTCTAATATAGTCAATTCGATCAAATAAAGGGCAAGAAAATTCTTGTGTACAAATCAGATTGCGTATACCGTGTTTTACATAGACGGTTCTGTGGTTTTGCATCGTTCCCGCGGTTACTTCCAGCACTGAGCGCTTCCAAATCAGCGCTCTGAATTTCTGAAGCCGCGAGTTCTTCCAATTCTTCGCTATGAAGTACTACCTCCATATTCATATTTTAATGTATGACGCCGTTGACTTTTTATCCAACGTTTGACCATTCGTCTTATTCAAAAAAATTATGTAATTATCATTTATTTTATTATGACTTGATTCTTCATTAAATGTTCTTTAAGCATGACATAAATATTTTCATATTTGCACAAAAAAATTTGAATAAAACGAATGGTCAAACGTTGGTCGAAAAGTCAACGGCGTCATACATTAAAATACGGAGGGAGTACTAGTTTGTACTACCTCTATCCCAGGACATAGCAATTTAGGATTGATCTACGTATCTTATACTACACCAACGAATCTAAACATATGGTATGTAGTACTCCCTCCGTCCCAAAATATAACAACCTTTAGCACTTAGGATTTGTCCCAAAATATATCAACTTATCCATCATCCCAACCAATCACAGCCCTCCACCATCCACTTTTCTCACCTACCTTCACTACTCATCCAAACACAACCCTCCACCATTCATTTCTGCCTACTTTTTTAATAATCATGTTCAACTCTAAAACTTATTATATTCTGGGACGGAGGGAGTATACCTGACACGCTTTCGATCTGCCTGGTCTGCATGATGATCTCTGGTTTCAGAATTGGTACAAAGGGCTCATTCAGAAAAGTCTTGAAATTCACGTTGTCATCAACGGAAAATAGGACGGTTGGCCGCTTGGCCCAAATCACACCGTGGGGCCATGAGTTGTTGATCTAATGAACTTTTTTGAAACCTTGATCCAATGAACTAGGCACTCGAATTTGCTAGGGGTTAAGGTATAAAAGTGGTTCGGTGAAAATATTTTACTCACGATAAAGGTAGAACAACAAGTAATTTCAAACGAAAGAAAAATCTGTAGGTTTGAACCCACAGGTACAAGTTAAAAGGATGTGCTTGAACAACTCATGCAGTTTTACCGTTCATTTTCTGAATCTTAATTTTTGTATCCTTAGCTCTGAAGAAATCAAGAAACCGAGTTCAACCTACTTTGTCCTGTCGGGCTGTCTCTATCCGGGCTGATAAGAACCGAGGGAGTGTGACAAAACCCAACTGGCCAATCCGCGTGTTGATTACATTTCCAAATCCTTGGTCGACGCTAACAACCATTGTCCATGTCGATGCTTAGCTGATGAATCTTGACTTTGTTTGCATGTCCTTCCACCAATTAAGGTGAAGATCTAGCAGATGAGCTGTAATAGCCATCACACTGCTTCATTTCTGAAAGACAATTCAAGCAGTAACAAATTAATGGCAAACTTATAACTCCTATGTACACCATTGTACTGTGTACAAACAACTAAACGTATTCGGTAATTTCAGTAACTAGGTTTCTGAATAATCATGCCAGTTAATTAGTAGTAGTATTGATGATGCATCTTAGGTCACCAGCTGGCACGTCCCATTCGGATAATTGCAGTGGCTGACTGGCTCTGATTAATTAATTGATGATCGATCGAGCGCGCCATTACGCGGTGAGTGACCATGAACGAGTCTTTATCAAATTAAATAGGCCATTAGCTAATTAACCTAATTAGATGGATATATCCATTATCCCAAACAGTATATCTCTCTCTTGATTCCTTGAGACTTTTGAGGGTTCATAGTTCATACCTGCAACAACAACTGCGCGTAACACATACCACACGCCCAAGTACGCCCTCCCCCTCTAAACTGAGATTTGAGGCCCAAACTAATGTTATTAGCAAGTAGCTGATGCTAGCCGCTCCTTGCTATAAATACATGTGCTTTGCTAGTTAGCTTTTGCACAGATCAACACCGGCAACCGACTAACTCTGTCTGAAGGAAGCTAAGATTATTAATCAGTGAGTAGCTAGCCATGGCTGAGGAGAAGAAGCACCACCACCTGTTCCACCACAAGAAGGACGGGGAGGAGGAGAGCTCCGGCGTGGTGGACTACGACAAGGAGAAGAAGCACCACAAGCACCTCGAGCAGCTCGGCGGCCTCGGCGCCATCGCCGCCGGCGCCTACGCTCTCGTAAGTCATTAATTAGTACATTTGACCACCACTATTACAAGAAAATCGATTTTCGCAGACGTATATGTCATCCCCCACTTTAACTAACCTATATGTTTTAGCCGCTTGGAAAAATCGATTATGTAGTGGTGAACTATGATCTAATGATAACTACCTAGCCATAGCTGATTAATTAAGAGATAATTAACGGAGAATTTATTTGTGGTACGTCGTTGCAGCACGAGAAGCACCAGGCGAAGAAGGACACGGAGAACGCGCACGGGCACAAGGTGAAGGAGGAGGTGGCGGCGGTGGCCGCGCTGGGCGCCGCGGGGTTCGCCTTCCACGAGCACCACGAGAAGAAGGACGCCAAGAAGCACGCCGCCGACCAATACTAGATCGATCCCGATCGAATGAACGCAAGAACGAACGGTTTATATGCTTAATTACTTTCTCCCCATAATTACATGTATGCATGTGGTTGATGGCTTAATTTGCTTCTTCTTGTTCGTCGTCATACGTCGTCGCTTTTACTTCGTGTTCATGTACATTAATTCTGTATCCGCACTGAGTATTAAATAAGTGCGTTTGTGCTGCACACAGAAATTTTGGTTTCGTTTTATTTTTCTTCTTTGAAATGAAGGGCGTAAGACACGGCTAAGCTTGTGAAATGTGCAATATCTCACATTCTCACCTAGGCTCTCCGGCCTATTAATTTGCATGGTTGAGAACTTAGAGATCAATCAATACGGCGCGTGTCATTCTCAACGGAGTGAATTTGCATGCATGGCATGGCGCTACCGATACTGACTGTTATGGAATGTTATTTTCGAACATAAATTCATTTCTTGTGAATCAATTAAGTCAGAGTAGAGATAAGATTTATTTCTCTTTAAGACACCTCTATATACAATGTATAAGGACAGGGTAAGAAATTTAGTTGCTTCTACTCAAGAACGGATCAATACTTAAAAAAAGAGCTACACCCCATATCTATGTCTCTTCACAACTCATGTAATGTTTGTGAGAGCAAAGAGAAGGACACGGTCTAATATTGTAGGAGAAAAAGAATTCGGTGATCCACTATTAGGCGTGTTAATTTAAACACTGACCAGGCACGGTCGGTGGATCGATTGTCGAACGATGGGCCGGATGGTGCCAGCAATGGGCCCCTGTAATACTAATGAATAAGCCACACAACCCACATATGAGATGTGTTTGAGCTAATTCGTCTTGGCCCAAAAGAGACAAAACCCGCCCTTTGATCTTCAGTAGGTGTAAGTTCATGTAGGTCCCTTAATTTGACAGCGAGTTCAATTTTTATCCTTCAACCAAAATACCAGATATAATGGGTCCCCCAAATATTAAAACCGGTGTAATATAGATTCCATGGCAGTACAGCGGGTGGTTCTGTCTGACGTGGCAATTTGAACAAGTCAACAGTGCTGAGTTAGCATGGGTTCCATGTATCAGACCTCTTTCACCTCTATCCCTATCTTCCTCCCTCGTTTCCATCTCAGCGGCGGCCGGTGAGGAGGACGGCGGCCAGTGGCGGGTAGTGAGGCGAAGAGAAGATGAGAGGAACAACATGTCACCGGCATCAACGTTGGGATGCAGTCGGTGCAAAGGAGTAGTCGACGAGGATGGGAATGGCATGTCAACCATCATCATCGCCACGCTGACCAACGACCTCCCTTGGGAGGTTTTCCTCCTGCTCCCCACCGGCACCAACCTCGTCCGCTCCTTTCTTGTCTGCAGGCCCTTCCTCCGCGTCGCCTTCCTCCACCGCTTCCACCAACTCCACGACCCCCTCCTCCTCGACTGCCTCGTCCACCACCCCAGCCATACTGACCAGCCAGCCTCGATGTTGGTCCCCTTCTCCCCCGCCGCCACCATTGTTACTAGGGCTGGTGATGTCTGGGATGGCGACTTCTCCCTTTGCTTCCTTCTCCGCGATGGTTGGCTGGCGACGGTGGCACTGGCACCGTGGCAGTTATCGGACTGTCACAATGGCCACGTCCTAATCACAGGAGCTCGTCATCGCCGACCCATTGGCTCCCCCCCCCCAATTGCTCAGCTTCGACACCGTGGAGAAGAGGGAGGACGGCGGCATTGGACACTCTACCTACTCACCATGCGCGGCTTCTGCGTCGAGGAGTGGGCTTGCGCAGAGGGAAGACATCGCCTACATGCTGACATGGAATGCGGGTGGAGCTCGTCCATCTCCTTCCTCCTGGTGTCGCGGCGTCGACGGTGTACGGCAAGCTCCACCACGGCAACCTTCCTCGCCAACTCCGGTGGCTGGGACCTGGGGGCCCTCCTCCGGCCTCTACTCTGGACTGCCATCGTCCTCCTCACCACCCAACGCCAGCTGCTGTCCTCCTCATATTGGGGGGGGGGGGGGGTGAAGAGATAGAATTGAAGTGACATGTGGGCTCACACTAACTCATCACTTTGGATTTGGGTAAATTTACCAGATGGGACAAAACCACCCCGCTATTCTGTCATGGGATCTATATTGCACCGGTTTTGATACTTGAGGGACCTGTTATATCTGGTATTTCGATTGAAAGACGAAAATCGAACTCGCTGACAAGGTAAGGGACCTAAAATGAACTTATTCCTCTCCAGTAACGCAAGCACCACACGACAGAGTGAGCCCAGTGGACCACCACCGCACTCAGTGCGCGGGCCCATCAATCGTGTCAAAATTGATTAACTATTTTCTTCTGAAAAATAACGCCACAGGGAAGGATTTTTTACACTCCTATGAACTTTTTTACATTGCATAAATTATAGACGTGTACACTGCTGCACAATTGTGCGCACAGGACTACTGGTGATTATGCATCGCAAATCCGTAACATTAAAGGTAATGTTTAACTTTAAGAAATGTGGCTATAAGATTTTCATTAAATCCAAAACTAATGTCACCTTAGTAACATAAGTTAACAGAATTTCTATAAAACGTGTTCGATATTTTTCTCCCCAAAACTTCTAAATTTATAACCACTTGATGGCTTTGTGATCATGCAACGATGAGGAAAAAATTCGCGAACGCTCGTGTCCCTACCGAGTGGACCAGTTTTGTTCAGTTATATGCAAAATTATGATTATAGTTTAGTTACAATGTTATTATACATCAATTACGCTATAGTTATATTTAAATTTTATTAATATAATCATTTGAAAGATTTATAAAAGAAAATGTTCAATGTTGTATAGCTACTCCCAAGTTCAAACCTAGCTTTACTACTCTATCCATTCTAAAATATACCATGAATTTTAGGGTTCGAAATTTATACCATAATATAATTATTATGTATTTTGGGGACGTTGAATCCAATACACAAAAATCCATATATTTTTAGCCATTTAGATGTTTGGGAGGAGTATAAGCAATTCAAAATTTAAAATTTTGATCGCATAGATGATTGAAAAGATGGTATTTTCTCTTAACCATATTATACTTGTCAACAACATATAAATGCTTTTATTTTAGAACGAAGAGGTATATGAGCTACCTCCATCCTAAAGTTATTTGGGCAAAAATTCTCATATTTTAAAACGGATATATTTTATTGATGCAGATTACGGTAGTTTATTTCCTTCCGTGAAGAGAGATCACTGAAGTTATACTTCTGTGTTATCTAAAAACTAATTGACAAGGGCACATGCTAGGTTTAAATTTTCGGAAAAATAAACACGATATTTCGTGGTTTCGATATGGGATGAAAGTAGATTCCAAGTGCAAATTGAAATGGTTTTTGAGAAATCAAATTTCAAATAGTAAAATTTGACCCAAATTCAATAAAATAAAAAAAAATCATACCGCTTTCAGTTAAATTCCAGTTCTCCATCGAAAAGTTGAACCTGGTCACATACATCCTAATTCCTAACTCCATCCCTCCAAGCACATGATGGTTAAGTTTCAAAATAAATTCATTTTTCACCCATCTAACACATACTTACAAAATCAAAAACTATAATACCCCTACTACTCTGCCTCCAATATAGTTATTCCCTACTTTCACTAATTTTGATGCAATGATTGCTCTAAAAATAAACTTATTTGGGACAAATTGAAAGAGCTAAGGGCCCCTTTGAATTGCAGGAATAACAAACAGAGAAATAAAAAAGGCAAAATTTGCCACAGGACACGCAAAAAACGTGTAATTGGCTGAGAGACACTGCGAAAACGTGACACGGCTGATGGACACTACAAAAAACGTGTAATTGGCTGTAGGACACTGATCGCATTATTTTATTATTTCCGGGTCAAAACAGGTGAGATATTTTTCTAAATGCCCGGATTGCCCCTTCTCTTTCCTTCTTTAAACACCGGTGGGTCCCATGTGTCATGGACAGTGTATGTTTAATCTAATTTATAATAGGTTTTTAACCACCTGGCCCCACGTGTCATGGACTAATTTTTTTCTAATTAGTAGGGTGATTACTATTTGCTAATCATAAGTGGGCTCACATCTCTCTCCTATCCTTCTTCTTCTTCTTCCTCACGCACGCGGCAGAGCAGAGGAACAGCGCGCGGCCGACGCGACGGCCTGAGCCAGGACGGCTCGGCGTGCAGCAGAAAAAGCGGCGGCGCTCCGCCATGGTCTCACCGCCGGAGCTCGTCCCTTACTTGACCGGAGACGGGACGGAGAAGCGCGGGTGGGTCAGGATGGCTGTCGATGCCTTGGCTGCCGTCTTGTCCGCGGATGAGGTAAACGAAGATACCAAGGAAGGTCTCATCAATGCCCTCATAGCCGGCGATCTGGGCCACATCATGAACACGCTCATCGCAGCTGTTCCCAGATCTGGTATGGGTCCTCAAGGACGCCAGCAATCTGCTGCATGGCGGCAATCGTGCAGGTGCGAGGCTGCCCAGCTCGCTCGTAGATGGTCCGGCCAGGCGCCATCCCGATGTTCGCGCGAGTTCACCGTGGGAGACGACTAGAGGATGAGAGAGGCAGTGGCATCCGCGCCGGAGGCCGTGGGAAAGTTGCTCGTGTGATGCAAGGACGACGACACTGTACATGGGCCCACATGTTTGCTGCATCGAGAAGAGAGGGGCATTCCCGTCATTTTGACAATTCTCTTCCCTCTTTCGGCACGGAAATTATAAAATAATGTCTTTGGTTTTGTAGTGTCCATGGGCAATGTCAAGTTTTTACGGTGTCCCTCAGTCAATTACTCGATTTTTTAGTGTCATGTAGCAAATTTTGCCAATAAAAAAACACATGCTTTTGATAAGAATGCAAGTGCAAAATAGAAGATTGCAAAATACAAGAAAAATATAGGAATGACTATTTGATTGGACCACAGGAAAGACACAGGAATTAGATAAAAGTGATAGACTCAAAGAAAAATTTTAAGAGGTTGGAGCTCTTACTAATTTTTCTCCAAAATCTTTATAGGATTATTCATTCCATAGAAATTTCAAATGATAGGATATGATTTAATCTTTTGTTTCAAAGGCAAAATTTTTCAATAGAATTGTAATTCTTCAAATTTTTTATGTTTTCCCTACGAATAAAAGGAGCTCTAAAATTGGACTTATTATGGGATGGAGGAAATAGAAGTCAGCGCTACTCCATCGGTCCTATTTTAAACTTAGCCATGAGTTTTCGTGCTCAACTTTAATCGTCTATCTTGTTTGAAAAATTTTTTAGAAAAAAATTAAAAAACACAAGTCACACATCATAAAATACTATTTATGTTTCATCTAATAATAATAAAAATACTAATCATTAAAAAAATTATAAATAAAAAATTATAGATTGACACTCATGGTTGCGTTGGGACGGAAGGAGTATTAAACAAGACGATGCAATGATTCTGTTTTGTCCGTCTGATTACAAGCGCATTATTACCAATGGTAATCCTCACACCCGCATCATGGCACCATGATTGAGCCCCTTTTCAGGCAGCTTCTTCTCCCGTGTCCGCCTCTCTTCTCACACGCCGGCTTCCATCCGATCGTGTATACATCAATCGTAACACATGTACTACTAAGGACTCGTTTAGATCCAAAGTTTCGATTTAAACTTCAGTCCTTTTTCATCACATCAACCTGTCATACACACATAACTTTTCAGTCACGTCATCTTCAATTTCAACCAAAATCCAAACTTTGCGCTGAACTAAACACAGCCTAAGAGCAAGTATAATAGTGAGATATAAGTCTACTATATAAGCTTATGTGGAAGAGAGATGTAACAAAAAGTTAAGGGTGCCAGCTCTCATGCAAGAGCTAACTTAATACAAGCTCCAAGACAAATACAATTTATGTACAAGTGAGAGATAGAGAGATGAGAAAAAAATTGTAGCTAATCTTATAGCTAAACTATTATATGTGTTGGCTTTAAGATAGGCTAATAGTAGGAAGTGAGCTATATTATTATCCTTGCTCTAATTTGAACATTACTCCGCGGGCTTAATAATTAGGAGTTGTAGTACTAGTAGTAGACGCTGTAGTTTTTGCATTGCATTGGGGCGACAATCGTCGTTGTGTTGTTATTGGAGCTAAAGCTCAGCCGAACAGTTTCAAACTACTTTCAGCACATAAAATAAGAGCGAAGTTGAGTGGAGCATTCTCGTAAAATGAACTAGAGATGTTGAGATGTGTTTTAATTGCTCCACAACTCCACTCCAGATCTAACTCCTGAAGCTAAATTTCAGAGTTAACCTCTGTTCAGAGCCACGGGTGATGAGACAGGCGAGTTGACAGTTGACAGCGGCGGTGCGCGTGCCGGCCATTGATGTCACAATTATCGGGCCCCAAAAGCGTCGTCCTCGTACTCCACGCGCGCATCGGAATCCCACGCCTCTGCCTGCCTTGGGTCCCAACTCCCAATCACCCAACCCAAAAAGTTGAATCCATTCCAACCGCGACCACACCATCTCCGCCCCCCGTCTCCTTGTCTGCGTCGTCACACTCTCACACACCTCTCGATTCATCATTCATTGATTAATTACTCGGTCACTGCAATCCAGGAGAGATTAGAGATTAGAGTAGCCCCTCCTAATCCACATGGAGACGAAGAAGATGATTACCGATGCGGGGGTCACTCAGATCGGCGAATCCAGGCCGCCGATTAACATAACCCTTCTGCCCATCATGACGGCCAGAAAGTCGCAAAAGGTGTCACCTCTCTCTCTCTCTCTCTCTCCCTCGCTTTTGTTAGTTTGCTACAGGCTTTACTTGCTCGGCCGATAGCACACTCTGCCCATTGGGCTTTGGCCCTCTTTTTTCCCTCTCTTTCTCCTTTGCTTGCTTTTCAGCCTGTACACCAATACGTCCACGCACACAAGTCGCTGCGGTGCAGTGAATTGAAGCGCAGTGCATGCGCCCCACCACCTCCTGCCTCCCTCCCTTCCTCCTCCTTGCTTGCTTACATTGCCGCCACCGCCACCTCACAGTCTCACACTGCCATTGCCGGAGAGGAGGAGAAGAAGAAGAAGAAGGAGAGCTCGAGGTGACGACGACGAGGCGGCAATGGCGGCGGCTGCGGCATTGTGCGGCGTCGCGTTGCTGATGCTGCTGCTGGCCATCGAGGTACGTATGGTGACGACACGTGATCATCGCGATCGATCACGTAGTAGCAGCGCGAGCTGACTTGCTTTGCGGGCGACGTGTTTGTTGCTCAGGTGCGCGGCGGCGGCTACGGCGAGGAGGAGAAGGTGCCGCTGTCGGCGGTCATCGTGCCGGACCCTTCCCCGGAGCTGCGGGAGCCCACGTCGCCGTCGCCGTCGCTGGCGCCCGCGCCGACGCCGGTGTCGGGAGCCGGCGGCGGCGACGACGACATGCGGCCCAGGCTGCCGACGGAGCGGTGGCGACGTGGTGGTGGGCGTGGCGAGGAGCGACACACCGGCGGCGGCGGAGGCGGTAGCCACCACGCGCACTACGCGCACGGGCACGGCCACGCCCACGCCGCGGCGCCATCGCCGTCCTCGTCGTGGGCACCAGCGCGCGCCCCGTCCCCCGACGCCTCGGCGTCGGCGCCGGACTCCGCCGCCCCGGGGCAGAGCGGCGGCACGGCGTTCATCAGGAGCAGCCCCGCCGTGCCCGTCCCGCGCGGCGTCACCGACACGGCCACCATCCTCCCCATGCCCACGCCCGGTGACAAGCACCAGGTACGAGTACATGCTATGTCTGCCATGCCATGCAATGCATCTCTCCTCTTCTTCTTCTTCTTTCTGCCAATCCTTTTGCACTTTCTATGTCTCTCTCTCTTTCACTTCTTTTCGTAGACAGTAGCTTTCGAGATGGCACCAAAGTTTGGAGGATCTTTTCAACTCAACCTTTTTTGCAGTCTTCCGATCCATATTTGCTTAATTCCAAACACCATTCAAGTTGTGTGTGTTTTTCTTTCAAATGTGTATAAGTCTGCCTGGTTGCTGAATATGTGTGTGTTTTTAATTTGCAGGAAGTGGGGGCAGCAGCTGCTTCTGCTCGAGCCGTTATGGCACCGGTTGTGGTTGGCCTCATCACCATGATGGCGTCTTTCTGGGCATTACACTAGCTGTTCTTTATCTATAGTATCTATAGTACCAGCAGCAGCAGTGAGGGTAGTATTAGCAGTGATAAAGCTTCTTTGTTTATGTATGTTCTTTATCTCATCTCAGTTTGTCTTTCTGCTCTGATCATCTGTAAACAAAGCTCGCCTTCCTTTACCTACATGGCCACGTTCTTGTCTTCCTTTTTTCCGGATTAGCAATGCGCACTCGCAGTAGTCGCAGAGAGGAACTAAAAGATGGGTGTGGCTGTGGCTGCTTTGAGAGAAAAGCAAAAGCATTTGCATGGTACTAGTGCTCACTTCACAGTATATACTGAATCCCTGCTGGTACTAGTACTCACCACTCAATTGCACAAACAGCAGTTGGCACATGCACGCGCTTTCTACTTCATGTCATGGGGAATTCGGTAAACTAGAACGCATTTGGTAATTGATTTCTTCATGCACTCAATGCATTATTACATTATCTCTAACAGAGTTTCTAAATGATTTTTCAAGTCAATATTTAAAAATTTTAATCGAAATCCGGCCTCCAACAGCCTTACCAACTGGATGACTAAACCATCCCGCTAGCCAAATTGCTTGCTCACTTCCAAACTTGAGAGTCATTTTGGCTTGCCAACCATGAATCCCACCACTTTATCCCATCTCCTCTCTCTCTCTCTCGCATAGGCCTCCGACATCTCTCTCTCAATGGCGTTGCAAGATCCACGGCTTGCGAGGAGGAGCAGGGGTAGAGCTCCGGAGATGGGTACTGATAGCTCGAGTGGACGTCCACCCGTTTATTGCATGTCATCTAAATGGCTATGAAAAATTTTTCAAAAAAATTGACAAGATAGATCAATATGTAATATATCACTCCACAAACATGCAAGTTCAAATTCAACTTCTATAAGTAGTAACAAAAATAACAAACAAAACTCAAATTACTATATGTATATTTACAATTAAATTTGTTGTTTTTGTTACAACTTGTAAAAGTTGAATTTGAACTTGCATGTTTGTGGAGTGATATATTACATATTGATCTATCTTGTCAATTTTTTTGAAAATTTTTCATAGCCATTTAGATGACATGCAATAAACGGGTGGACGTCCACTTGAGCTGTTAAAACAGTTTCCCGTAGAGCTCCGGCCGACGACGATGCGGTTGACAACAAGGCCGGCCACGTTGAGGACAAGGAAGTGGGTGAGTGCGGAGACATGGCAGACGACGGACATGAATAATCAAGAAGGGAGTAGAGGCTGATATATGGATCATGTTATATTTCGAATAAAATGATTGTTGGAGTGAGAGTAACAAGTCTGACTTGTCAAATCAGTTTAAGAGCTAGCTACACGGGTGTTCGGTTGAACCTGATATAGGTAAGTTGTTGCAGACTTGGAGTTGCTCTCAGTGAAGAATAGTCCCAGTGCAAGGCACTATCGGTGTTTTTTCATATTCCTGTCACCTGAATACCACTAGTACTCAATTTCGCGTGAACAAGTCTAAAACAACTTTACATTTAGAGGAAGTAATGGACAGATGAAACTATTGCAGCAGCCCAATGGTGGCCACCCATCAGCTTCAGTATTAGTACTCACTCTACAGCAAAACAGAGTAGTAATAGGAAGAAGAATGGTCAATCAATTCGGTCACGGACGCCGGGCGGGCCGGGTGGATGGGGCGCGTGGGCGGAGCAGTGAGCCCATTTGTTCATACAAGGTGCGGCCGCATTACTGGTGCTGCTAAAGCCACGCACAAGTTATTAGGTCGGTCCACACACAACATCACCGCCGAATAAATTCGGCAGTAAATGATGTTTGTTTGGGCTGAATTCGTTGATTGGTTGGGCCGCCAGGCCGGCCCAGAGGCGCCCCAGTAAGGAAAGTTTTCTTAGAATGTTACTTCTTCCATCATTTGACATGTAGAATCTGGTAAGAAATTTGAGACATTGGCTTGTCAAATACTTTTTTTTAAAAAAAACCTTGAGAAGTTCTATGATGGTCAAAATTTTAAAAGTTTGATTGAATCTTATCTTAGACATGTAAATTATTTTATGACCGGATGGAGTGGACTTTCAAAACTTTGAGTCAATAACTTCTCACATACTTAGTTATAAAATAAATTGTATGTGCTTATGTGCCTTGAAAAGTTCTACTATTTCTCTTCCAAATAAAATTCTATCTATTTTAATTTATACTCCCTCCGTTTCATATTATAAGGCATTTGACTTTTTTAAGTTTAATTTATAGAAAAAATTAGCAACATTTAAAATATTAAATTAATTTCATTAAATCTAGCATTAAATATATTATCGGAATTGCTACATATCTTGGGACAGATTTTCTGTTAAAAATCAGTCGATTTGTTGACCGTATGATTTACTTTGAGATACGTGCATGTGCCATTGAGTGAAAAAAAAATGTCGCTAGAACAGGGAATCGAACCCATGATGTCGGGATGCTACGACATGCATCCTACCAACTGAGCAAGCAGCAAACAACTAATTTCTTTCTATACGTAACTTTTTTTTTAAAACTTTCACTGCAGTTACACTACACCCACTCACAACATAGTTATACCACGATTAAAACGTAAGTGCACTACAATTACAATGTAATTTTAAGTATATGCGGGTGTAATTTTTGTTTTACATGTACAGAATTTTTTACTCATCGTTGTTTTGTTGCACTATAGTTAACTTAATTGTTTGAGGTGTGATTTGATATTTTTGGACTACATATACCGTTATATTTTTCATAAAAAAAATTTACATTGCAAGTACCCAAAGTTACATATGTAATTTTAGTGTATTTATATTGTAAGTTTTAAAATTACATATGTAATTTTGGTGTATTTACACTGTAAGTTTTAAAATTACATATGTAAGTTGATGTAAATAGATGTAAGTTGCTTGTTTTTCCTTTTCTTTAAGCATCATTGACGTGATTACCGTCCGGTGACTGACGTACGTGGATATGTTTTCATTTGAACCGCATGTCGTGGTGGCTTGAAAATCCGACTGATTTTCTACTAAAAATCTGTCGAATGACTTTTAGACAGTCCCAAATACTAATATATTTTTCTATAATCTTATTCAAACTTAAGAAAGTTTGACTAAAAAAAAATCAAACGACTTATAATATAAAACGGATGGAGTAAAATTTATGATCAAAATTTTAAAAATTTGACCAAATTTTCTTGGACTTGGAGATCAAATATTTATGACTGTATGAAGTGTTTTTGTTATTAAAAGAAAATGAGACTTATGTTATTTTGAGGCTTTGGAAGCATAATCCAGACTAGCACATTTTTTTTAGATAATCCAGACTAACACATAAATTGGAAGTCCAATCAACACATCTCTAAATAAGATAGAGCTAGTTGCTAAATACTAAATAGTTCATACAACTGGATTTGTATGTCTTAATTGAAGTTAGGCTATAAATTTGTAGGATGGTTCATGCATGATGCGTGCCAAGTTGCCAACCATGCTTCTCTATCACCAAATTTCTCAGTTTGTTCACAATTGTTTCAGCAGGATTTAAGGGTGCACGAAGCCCCTAAATTAGAAGGATCTACTACTTCACTCTGGAGTAGTATTTTCTAACGACAAAGCTTCAACTAAAAACTCATGCTCTTTCAAGGATAAGAACGAGCTGTTCTCCACAGATTCTTGCAAAGTGCTCCTACTGTGTAGTTTCACACGCTCCAAATCACAAACAGTATACTAAAATGTTCAATAAACTGAATACAGATTGATACACTCACCTAGAACACAAAACACAAAAAAAAGGGAAGAGTACCAAAACTCTCAAAGATTTGTGCAAGCAAGCACGACATATTTGAAACAATCTCAGACAATCCAAATGTGCATCCAGGTAGTAGTATCTCTCAGAAACAAGAAAAAGGAAACAAAACAAATGTCTTCAGAGTTCAGAGTTCAGAAAACGCTGAACTCGCGGAAGCAGAAGCGCAGAGGCGTCAGTTTTCATCAGGCGCCGCCGGAGCTGAAACATCAGCAGCAGCTTCTTCCTTGCTCTTCTCCTCCTCATCATCATCAGCTGATGATGGTGGTGATGGTGTTGATGATGCCGCGGCGGCAACCTGAACCGAGTCAGGATCCACGCGCTTCTCCTCTTCCGCTACCTCCTGCGCGCCGCCGCCGCCGCCTTCTTGGGCAGCTTCTGGTTCCGCTGCTGCTGCTTCAGCTTCTTCTCCGGTTGTCTCTTGCTCGGACGCCACAGGCGAGGGATCAACCGCAGTGATTTGCTCCACTGCTGCTGCTGTTTCCTCTGCTTCTTCTCCCGCTGCGTGTTGCTCGGGCGACACAGGCGAGGGCTCAACCACAGTGACTTGCTCCTCTTCTGCTTCTGCTGCTGCAGCTGTTTCCTCTTCTTCTTCTTCTTCTTCTTCTTCTTCTCCGACGGCTGCGCCTTGCTCGGGCGCCGCAGGCGAGGTCTCAACCGCCATGACTTGCTCCTCTTCTGCTGCTGCTGCTGCTGTTTCCTTTTCTTCTTCTTCTTCTCCGGCTGCGACTTGCTCGGACGTCGCAGGCGAGGGCTCAACCACCTCGGCTTTCTCCTCTTCTGCTGCTGCTGCTGCTATTCCAGATTCAGCAGCGGCAGCCGGAGATTCAGTTTCCACGGCCTTGGTTGCCTCTGCACTTGGAGCTGGAGCCGCCTCTGATCCCTCGCTCTCTGCATCCTGCGAGAAGAAGAAGAAGAAATCTCAAGCTCAAGCTCAAGCTCAAGCTTGCTACTGACGCACAACGAAACGGGCAGAAACCGAGCTGTTGCTTACCTCCTTGAGCAAGTCGCTGAGAGACCTCCGGCGACCGGCTTCAGCCGGCTCGCCCTCCACGGCTGCCACCACCACCGCCGCCGCCGCCGCCGCCGGAGCCTCGTCGACGTTCTTCTCCTTCTCCTCAGCGGCCGGCGGCGACGGCGCCACGGCGGCGTCCTCCTTGACGAGCGGCGCCTCGCCGCCCTTCACCTTGAGGTCACCGGGCTTCGTCGCGCACGCCCCCATTGCTCCCAAGAACCAACCACCACACCACCAGCTAGCTCACCGGAGACGAGGGAGACGACTAGACTAATGACAACTCCGACGATGCGAGGACGAGATGATAATCACGGAGCTTTAGGCGTGCATATGTACTCCAGCGAATGTGCTTTAGCTGGTGCTATCATCGAGAAATGCAGAGTTTTTTTTCTCCTTTTTTTTTTTTGGGTCTCTCCGACAAATCAGACGCCATGGCCGGGGGCACAGGACCCAGGAAAACCTCAATAAACAAAAATCGCATCACACACGCTATATTCCTTAAACCATATGGTCCATATCATATTACTGGCAGTACAGCGAAAATCTGCACACCATGGAGTATAATACAGTGGTTACATGTACGACAGTATACGTACATGATTGCAAGAAATAAGATGATTGGCAGTGTGCAAAGCCGTTACAACCAATCCATACTCGAATTATTCCTGGGCCTTTTTCATCTCTGGAGTCTGATGATGGATGGAATTGGCAGGCAAGGCCAGTCGTACATACATGTCGGACCTGAGTTGCATCATCAGTCGCTAGAATTAACAAAGCACTGCTCTCTCCTCTGTCCCATTTTAAGCGCAGTAATAAGTTTCTATGTCCAACTTTAATCGTCCGATTAAATTTTTTTAGAAAAAAATTTAAAAAACATAAGTCACGTATAAGTACTATTCATGTTTTATCATTTAATAGCAATAAAAATGCTAATCATAAAAAAAAATTAAATAAGACGAACGATTAAAATTGAACATAAAAACTTAGTTGTGCTTAATATAGGACGAAGGGACTATTAGCAAGCACACACGCTTCATCCATGTCCATGGCAGGGTTTCCCTTTAGAAAGCTACTATACGTACGATTATTTGCGTACGATATTTGTAAGATGTAACGTTTGCCAGCCAAATCCCATGGTATTTTCTGGCCGTTTCTAACAAAGCAACACATGACATCCACAATATGTTAGCAATCGTATGATGATCGTCCATATAAATCGTACGTATAGTATTTTCCTTTCTATTTATCATCAGTTACCATATAGTTATCGCGGTAACCATGACTTACCATCGGTGCGATAATGGTGAGTGCCCAGTAACCTTAACAAATTTATAAAACGTTAAATGAAAATTTAAAATTTTCTCATTGTTCAACATGGTTGCCATGCTTATCGCTGGTAATGGACACCTTCTGAACACTTTTGCTCATCCAAATAGACTCAAAATTTGTACGAATTATGGGAAAAAGAAAATGCCCCAAGCCAAGATCCGAATCATTTCGGACGTTACGGAGTGCGCCTCAACTTTGGGACGAGACAGCCCGGTTGGTAGGCTTTTCTCCTCACTCTACTTCTACTTGTTCCAGTTCGTCCTCCAACTGCTGCCCTGCTTCTGCTGGGCATCTGCAGGACAAATCACCAGAATTAACTGACACACAACACACCTGGGTTCATGTGCTCCCCTTGAGCTTTCGCATATGAAAAAACAACAGCAACAAAAAAAAATTGGTGCCTTTCCTCCGTGTTTTTATTCTGCCAAACCAACGACGCATTCGTGTGTGGTGCTCCATGGGACCTTTTTCTGGCAATGTGATGGCCAAGTGGCTTCCAATTGTTAAAATCTTCCTCCCAATCATGCGCCTGCACCAGCATTCCAGCAGGTCTCCTGTCTGAAAGAATGGTCTTTGTGATTCCTTTGCTCCACAGGATCATTGAATCATTGATGCAAATGGGTATATATAATATACTATGTGAATGCATCATTCGTGCCTGTATTTTCTTTTTGGAAAATGATCACTCTCATGACTCTAATTTGCTGCTGTGGTAGTAGTAGTTGTTGACAGGAAAGTCATTTATCTTGGTAACAATCATGAGCAGCTTGTTTCTCAGCTTGCACTATTCAGTTTCAGTCAACAGCAAACAGAACTGAAAATAAAAACCTGGGGGACTCAGCTTCCTCTTTCAACTGATGATGATATGATTCACAAATTACAATGGTGTGAGATAATTTACCAATTCAAGAATTTCTCAGACTTTGCTGGGCATATCACACTTACCTTACATGGCTGGAGAAAACAGCCAAGAATTTCTCAAGCTTGCTGGACGTATCACACTTACCTTACATGGTTGGAGAAAACAGCCGCAGTTGGAACGGAAAGGTGCCACCTGTTCATCAGTTTTCACTGAAACCAGGCATTCTGTCCACCACATCAGAAACCAGAATGGGATTATTATTATTACACAAAAAGACCACAATCGCATCAACAAGATGCCACAATCTGACCACACACATAGAAAACAATACTAGTACAATACAACTAGATTAGTGTTAATTTAGAATGGGAGAAGAGCTGTAGTCCACCAGTTGCCACAAATGCAGAACCTGCATAAATGGTAGTAGCTTATAGAGCTGAATTGCGGATACTGGTTGCCTTGCATGCTAATTCAGAAATATGGTTGATATAAGGATAGGAGTAGAAACTGATAATATCCTAAGCATCTGTGAAACACTTCTCGGCGACTTTCAACCACCTTAAATAAAACCAACCTGGAAAGTATGGTGAAGATAGACTTACTGATGTTCCACAAGTGCATTGTCGTATTGAGCCATGGCCTCATGTTATCACTCATCACACACCATCTGCACAGGCCATGACAGAGCCCCAACAAATTCCATCCAAAGTAATAAGAGCAGCAAAATAAAAGTAAACAATTTGAAGAAAAAAGACTCAGAGGTCAATAGCAACACACAAACAACTGCAGAAAGTTAACAGCAGGCATGTACAAGGACGGCTTAAACATTTATCATTTGAAAGGCCAACTAGTACCAAGTTTAAACACTTAACAACTGGAATAGCCATTCACTTGACCGATTGCAGTTAGCTAAGGTAAAATTCAAACAGGGGCACAGATCAATGTATATATAAGACCCTAAATCTGCAAGCTCCTGCAAAAGACAAAAGGATCACCAGCAACTCTAACCATTTCTAGTTCTATCATTCCAAGGCTTCAATCACTAAAAATCTTCTTTGGTTTGATACCCATCTCTATTTCTTTAAGCTTCAGCTCCAATTCCAACCGCTCATTCTCCAGTTTCATCTTTTCATTCTCCAGTCTCATCTTCTCCAATTCCCTGTCCTTCTCCTTGCTGAACCTCAGCCACTTGAAATGCTTCTGCTCAATTTTCAGCATCTGAGCTTTGATCTTCAGGCGGCGTTTTTCAAGTCGAATATCACGCATACCAGGGGTAGAGGGACTCTTTTCAGCAGTTGGACCACCAGATCCCTCAGAGAGCATTTTGTTCATGTCAATAACAGCAACTTCTGACAGATTAGACCCAAAATGCGTCTCCTCCTGATCATGCTTCAGCCTCTTGGCACCATGAATTCCATGGTGATGATCTTCAGCGCTGACCTCCAGATCATCGAATTCTTCATCTTCGTCGTCATCGTCAGAAAAATCCTCATCATCATACCCAAACGGGTTCTTCTTTGCATGCTCCTCTCCACTCCTAAGCGCCAAACGCAATGACTTCTGAAGGGCGGGATCATCAAACAGACACATTTTGTTCCTGTTATGGTACGAGCACATCTCCTCATAGTGCAGATGCTTTGAGTTCAGGTGCTTCCTAGCCTCCTCTTTGAGCTTTCCCGAGAGCCGCATCCCTTCAAGAAGCTCGGGGTGCTCGACGACCTGGCACGCCGTTCCCCGGCCAAGGATCTCGGTCATCCTCTTGTACCTCTTGTTGAGATCGTTGAACTTGTCCTCGCACTGCTGCGGCGACACCGGGAAGCCCCTCTCGGTCATCGCCGCGGAGACGAGCCTCCACTTCCCCTTCCTCTTCAGCATGGCGTGCTTCCTCCTCGCGGCGCTGCCCGTGCCGTAGTCCATGTCGACGTCCTCGTCGATGTAGGCCACGGCGGACACCAGCAGCTTGACCATGCCACTGATCCACTTCACCCGGTGCCACTGGGAGGCCTCCTTACCGCTGCCGCCGCCGCCACCATGGTGGTGGCCGTCATCCACGTCCTCCTCGTCGCTCGGCGAGGTCTTGACCACATTGCCCAAATCCAGCATCGGGTTCCCGCGGACGGGGACCATGCCCTGGTGGTGGTGGAGGTGCGGATCCTGGGCGAAGTGGAACGGCGGCGGCGGCTGCATCGTCGCCTCCAGATCGAAGGCGCCGACGCCGCCGCCATGGCCATGGACAAGGGCTCCTCTCGGCGGCAAATTCCCCTCCATCTCTCCCACTGAGCTCCCTCCCTCCCTCACTCTTTCCCCCACAAATTCCAAAGAGAAGCTCACACGAACCACGCCTAAAAACCTCAAGCGGCCTCCGCGAAATCCGCCCAAAAGACGCGGCTTTTCTTCAACCGTTTGCTGCAGAAAGGCAGAAACGGCCGAAGATTACAGCTTTTTCTCCTCCTTGGTGATGAAGGGGTGCACTCCACCGGAACGAACGGATGGCAGCTGTTGCAATCTGCAGCACGGCAAGAAGCCAGTAGAGGCGACGCCAAGAACAGCCACAAAAAAAAACAAAAAACAAAAAAGGGTTGGCACCGGAATAGTGTTGGGGGGAAGGAATCCACCGCGTGACGAAAATCAACCCGAAATCAGATCATACCACGAGAGATTTCAACCTCCTCGCAGAATCAAGAAGCAGCCTGAAATGCGATGCGAGCGCTCGAGCACAGGAGGAGGAGGGGGTGGTAATCTTGGTGGGAACAAAAGCGGCGGTAATGGCGAATCTAAGCGAGGGATTGCTGCAAGATTTCTCCTCCTCTCTCGCTCTTCTCCCCCCCGGGGCTCTGGCTGGTTAGTGGCAACTGGAAACAAACAAACACAGAGAAAGGAAGAACGCGGAGCAATAAAGTTTGCAACTAAAATACGCACAAAAGATGTTGGTAAAAACCAAGATATTTCCAAGATTGCACCAAAAAGGGGATAAAAGATAAATAAACAAACTAGGCCAGAGAAAATCGACATGGATTTTTATATTATGGTCCTCTTCTAAAACTTATTTTATAAACAAGCTTTGAAAGTTATGGACCTATAGTTTATCGTCGGTGAGCTTGGTGCCGAGATTTCATGTGTTGAGTCAGATACGTTGGAGCCAAATCCGGTGGTGATGCAAACATGGTAAAGGGGTCGGTGTTAGGTTGCTTGGCGCCGATGTCGAGCTAGTGCCGGCGAGGGCCGAGCTTCAAGACCGTGTGGTCAGAGGCCGAGCTTGGGACGAAGGGAATGGATGTCGACGCGGTCCACCAACTGGACGACCATCGCTAGCGGCGATGCTAGCCACTTGCCTTTCTCCTCCATGAGCATGCCAATGTGATTTGACGCAAATGATTTTGATTTTAACTGCATCCTCATTGAGTATGTCCACTAAGATTGGCACCTTCGTGGTTTGCAATAATGCGGCCTTCGCGTCGAACCCCTCAACGTGTGACGTAAAGGGGCCAAGAAGCAAGATCAATATTTGGTCACATACTGGTAAACGGCGGCAAGGGAACACAACTCTTAGAGTACACATCTAGTAACGAAGGACTAGCTACCGTGAGATGTTGCACTCTCTTATGTCTACCTGGTGCACAGTGTCACGGGATCTACCATGGGCTCAAGCTAGATCGGGTAGATGAACATCGTCGGCACCGCCTTGTTGAAGTCGGCCATCATCTTCCTCAGCTCGTCATGCTGCTTCCCTCCGTGATAACACTCTCTCGTGGCCCATTTTTTTGGTAAGGGGATAACTCTCGCTTTGATCGAGTGCGACGTTTGCGATATGGCTACTAACTAGAACAAGTCCAGGACGATGTCGTACCAACCATGACGTGCCGTTGATGATCCCTGCAATGCAAACTAGAGAACACTACAACAACAAGATAATGCAATCTAAATATTGCGAATAGGTGACTAAGCACAAATAAATAGTTGCGATTGAAGTGGTAGATCTAATCGACCCGGCAAATCACCAACTATTGGGGGCTCTGAACCTATAATCGCTGACTAATCGAGTGAGGGACTAGAGACAAGTTGAATGACACTTGGCAAAAATTCAACTAAACAAAACTTAATTGTTCTAGAGGGTGTACATAGGCATTTATAGATAAAACTAGAGCTAGGGTTAAGTGCTAATTCGTGGAGGTGGAGGGAGACACTTTCGAGATGGGCCTAGTCTATTACAAAGCCTAAGCCCCCAAGTTCGGTTTCAGCAATAACATTATCTTGTTTTAACGATTCCCGTTGACTCAATATGATTTTGGATATGAGATAAGATGCGTTTGAAAGGTGACGAGGTATGTTTTCCATCAAGTCCAAGATCACCTAAATAGGAGTTAGCATGAAGGTGCTAGGTCCGTTTGAAGTCAGTACTGTCTCCAGAGACCGAACTGGACTCGGACTCGGAATTATCATTGTAACGTGTAAAGTTGCGTGTATATCCGAGGAAGTGATGTCCTCATCACTCCGTCCCTCGCTGCAGAGTCCTCCAGCTCTGGGAAGAAGTACGGTACGAAGGCGTCCATTGATAAAATGCCGCCCACGCTGTTTCAAAGCTTGGCCTCCGCCTGCACCAGCTCAATGTCGATGCCAAACAGGAACAGCCCGACGATAACACCTTGGAACATCAACGCTAACATCTCCGGCATACGCACATGTATCCTCGCACCAACCTCGCTAACACCGAGCTAGGGATCCGTACCCGAATCGGTTTCCTTAGGGTCTACTCCCTCTGTCCCTTTAAACTTGACATTCTAGCTTCTGGTGAGAGTACCAAGACAATGCAAAAATAACCTGTACTGCCCCTATACTTCTATCATTACTACACCTTCATGTCTGCTGGTTTGGGGTGAGAGAGCGGTGAGTGGTGTGGCAGAACGTCAGACTAGCTGAGCTCTGGCAGAGTAGGTCTGAACTACGAAGACAGGCTCCCAGCAACACTCTTTGCGGGACATTGCTTCAGCGCTAAAACGACCTCCTTTTCGGGACGGAAGGAGTATTTATGAAATGGGTATTGCAGAAGGACCATAGTGTAAAAGATCCAGTAAAGTCGAGGAGGGGTCCCGGGTCCGTAGGCAAGTTGGAGAGGAGGAGGGTGACGTGTGGGATTCGGTGCAGAGCACTTGGCGCCGCCGCGCCGGCCGCGCCGAGAGAGGGCGCGCACGGCGCACACACGCACGGGCCCCGCCGCGCGCAGGTAGAGAGAGACGGCTTCTCCTTGGCCGGGCGCGGTGGCGCTGACGCCGGCGATGAATTGACCGCCGGTTCATGGGGGCTCATCGAACCGGCCACTTCTTCTGCAGGAGATTTCCATCTCTTTTCTTTTCTTTTTCTCTCCTTTTTTTTATTTTCATCATAATTTTCTTCTCCGTATATGCGAGTGGAGTGGACGCCTGCAGGAGGAGGCAAACGAGGCGTCGTTTTCGGCTGATCTCACCAGCTTCGTTTTCCTCCTCTAATTTAATCCCTTTTCTCTTAAAAAAATCACTCTCTTCTTTTGTTCTTCTTCTCTCCCTCTCTCTAACATGGACTAGGTTTATTTGGTTAGGTAGATGGTGGTGGTACGAGGCTGCAGTAACAAAGATGGTTATGGCTGACACCAACTGGAACTTGTATTTTTAGGATTCCACCATATCTTTAATTAATCTTCTTCAGCTAACCAAATCAAATGTTGGCCGGACTGTTCGTGCGTGTGGCTGGCGTCGTCTTCTTCGTGCCGCTGCTGCTGCGTCCTTGGAGTCAAAACACAAAACATGCGTGCATGCAAGTACTACTACTAATTACATGAGCACTTCGGCTGATTAATTAAAGAATAGACGAGTAGTAAAAAAATGGTTGTTCTAGAGAGAGCCAGTAGAAGAAAATGGCGTGTGGCGACCATGCATGAATCATGATGGGGTTAATAGCCCATGTGCGCACGGAAAACCAACCCTTGCTTCTGGGGGCTCGATTAGTTTTGGGGATTATCCCTGTCTTTTTCAACGACACCTTCTTTTCAGTCGTCGGCATGGCTTGTGATTAATTGTGATTAAGTACAAAGCTCCTATACCTAACAATGACTGTACTTTTAAGTTCATTGCCTATAGCTGCATTGACAGCAGGTTGAATCATTAATTTTATTGAGCACGTACGTACCCAAGGCTGGACCAGATGCGTCAGCTCACAACACGCAAAGGGCAACCTGAATTCTTCTTCTTCTTCTTCTTCTTCTTCTTCAGGTTTCTTTTCTTCGATTTCTTTTCCTACATCAGTGTTAGGCATGTCATCAGTGACTAAATAAGCCATTTGCCCAGCTATAAACACTTGCAGATTCAAAGGTTGGTCTCTCAAAATGGAGAGATGACAAAGGTTGGTCCCTAACACAAAGATCGACGGACGTGCTTGTTGATGCTTCTTGCATTTTCAGATTGATCCGTGCTGTTCCCTGTCAGGAGCTTGTTAATTAATCTTCGCTCGTGCCCCTTTTCCTCAGATTATTCCTGCTCCAAGTTCCGAGAGGGAGAAAAGAACTGGATGGATATAAATCTCGATCGTCAGCTAGTCTGTAGACTGTAGCGTGGATTAGAACAATAGAGCTTGCAATTGTGCTTCCGCCGGAAAATATTTTTAACCAGCCAATGTTTCAGGATAAAGTTGTGCTACATATGACTGTAGTTGCATGCTCTGGATTAAAGTAGTGCACAGGGAACATTATGTCGTCATGTACCCATGTGAGGTTATAGTCAACAATAAATAACATAAGCGCTTAAACATACTCCTTCCAATTCATATTATAGGTCGCCACCATTTTTGGGTGGCGGTGATTCATATTATAGGTCACTTTAACGTCGTTTTTGGGTGGTTATCGCCACCCCATGGTTTGGCAGTTACCATGTTAACCGCGTGGTTATCGTGAAAACCGTACGGTTACCATGTGATATACCATAGTTTCAAAAACTGAAAAGATTACCACACGTGATAACCGTGATAACTGTGCGGTAACCGCACGGTTTTGTAAACCTTCTTAGTTGTGGTTTTGTAAAACACACCACTACAGAAACAATTTTTCTGAATGAGAACTCTTTAGGTTCCAGGTGGACCACAACTGCTCGCACCCTGCAAAAATCGTTTCCCCAAAAAACGATTCATGGGCCACATGCAAAAAAACATTATCGTAGGCCGTCTACGAAAATAGACTTATTTTTCCAAATGGACCTCTTAAGAGGCGAGTGCGAAAATACATTTTCCTCCTCACTTACCCCTTAGCCTGTCCACCTCCTCTTTTCCTCCTCTGCCCTTCTCTTTCCTTCATTCTCAGTAACTTTCTTTCCATTTCACTTCCCTTCTCCTCCTCCTCCTCCTCCTCCACCTCCACTTTCCCCTCTTCCTCCTTCCTCCACTTCCCGTCTGGCACATGGCGGAGACAATGGCGTTGGGGGCAGGTAGTGCCGCCACGCGGAGACAGCCGCCGGCTCGAGGGCGCGTGGATCCGGCGGCCTCGGGCGGAGACCACAGCCCTTGTCCTTGGGAGCGGCGATGGCGGCTTCGGACTGGGTGGATCCACCACCGGCGCCCACAGGAGCAGCAAATCTGCCTAGTTCAGGGACGAAGGGAGCGGCGATGACAGCGACTATGATAACGGTGGCAGTGGTGGCTGCGATGACGATGACGGCTTCGGGAGCTAGGGTTTGGGGATGAACAGGGGAGCTAGGGTTTCAAATTTGTTTTTTAGAATATTTATTTTTTTCACTGAAATCATTTTCACATGCAGTTGGCATAAGTGACCTATGCGAAAATCCAATTTTTGCATGCGGTTGCACTGCCCACATAAAAAAAAGTTAATTTTTGCTGACACCTGGGTGCATGCGGTTGTTCCGCTCGCATGGAAAAAAAATCAGTTTTAGCCGTATGCAAAGATTCTTTTTGCACTAGTCAATTATTAGTCAATCGGTTAATCTTGTTTTGGTCAATTTTTTTTAAAACAATTACTAAATTTTATAAAAAAATATAAGCAACATCTATAACACTAAATTTAATATATTTTGTTTGTGTTAAAATGTTGCTTTATTTTTTTATAAATTTGATTAAACTTTAAAATGTTTAACTACAAAAAAATTCAAAATGACTTATGATATAAAATGGAGGGAGTAGTAAATAGTAGTAGTATTGAACTGATGTTGATTCGGGGTTTTCTCCATTGAAGTCCATACTTTCGCAGTTGTGCTAGCTGCTGTTGCTCATGACAAAAAAAAAAGTATAGAGAAAAATCCCCTGTGTACCTCTAAATTTTACGCAATCATTTCCATGCCTTCGAGTTCTGCTAATTTCCTTATATATCCGAATTTCAGTTTGGATCCCTTCGCACCTTTTTTTGTTATGTACCTCTAAAATTTTACCCAATCATATCCATGCCTTCGAGTTTTGCTCATTTCCTTATATTTCCCGAATTTCAGTTAGGTCCCTTCACACCCTTTTTGTTAGTTGACTGTTAAATTCATATAAAAAACGATTTTATCCTTGGGTATAAAGAAACATATATATTTATGGGGTATATTGTTGAAGGGTAGAAATTTGTTGCATGAGATTTTTATATCTATGAGTTTGTTATGTGGGATATTATTTATGGGATAAATTATTTGTAGATATAACATACAAAATTAATATTTATTTATTAGTTATTAAAAATTATTTATGTGTCATATAAAGAGATTTGTCTTATACATATTTTTTTGAACTTTGGCCAAGCTTATAAAAATAAAACAATATTTATAACACAAAACAAACAAATTATTAAAATATATTCAATGTCATATTTAATGAATCAATGTTACATTTAATGAAACTAATTTGATGTTTCTTTACTTGAAAAAATAATTTGATGTTGTGGATGTTGATATTTTTTCTATAAACTTAATTAAGCATAAAGAAATTTAATCAGAAAAAATTAAAATGATTTATAATATAAAACAGAGTAAGTATAATAAGTCCAGACGCCATTATAGCTTTTTGGGTTTATGATTTCCAACATCTGGAGCCGACTTGAAATGCACTCGACCTATTTTGTTCATTTGAAATTAACGAAAAATCGATGTCTCATTGGTAAACTCTTACTACTTGTGCTACCCTAGGGCAGCTCAAAATAGTGGTGGGAGATGGCAAAGCGGCAATCGGTTCGGCCCCGGCACCATGATTTGCACCGAGAAAACGAACGATATGCTACTCTCTAAGGTGGGTTCGGATAAAATGCTACTCAATACATTGCCTACAGGATGAAATGCCACTTTAGAGATTTTTGTGCCCAAAATACCCTGGAGAGAGAGGGAGAGGGGAGGGCCGGCCGGGCGGCACCGGAGGCCTCGCCGGGCAGCGGCGGAGGCCACCGGCGGTGACAACGGGGAGGGGAGGATGGGGCGGCGACGACAGGGGAGGAGGATAGGCCTTGCTGGGCAGCGGCCGGCGTGGACGACGGGGGGGGGGGGGAGGAGGAGGCGACGCGTGGGGAGGAGGTGGAGGAGGCGACACAGAGGGAGGAGGATAGCGCGGCGAGCAGCACCGCCCGGGCGGCGACGGGGACGACGGTCTGAGCTCCACTGCAGTCGCCTCTTCCTCTGCCCTGTCCTCCTTCCCCCGTCGTCCCTACCAGCTGCCACCGCCGCCCTGTCCTCCCCTCCCTGTTGTCACCGCCGGCCGCCTCCGCCGCCGCCCGATAGGCCTCCGGCGCCGCCCAGCCGGCCCTCCCCTCTCCCTCTCTCTCCAGGGCATTTTAGGTAAAAAATCTCTAAAGTGGCATTTCATCCGGTAGGCAATGTATTGAGTGGCATTTTATCCGGTGTATTGTATTGAGTGGCATTTTATCTGAACCCACGTTAGAGAGTGGCATATCGTCCCTTTTCTCGATCTGCACCATCCCCAAGCCCAATAAAAGAATGGGCCCATGAAGCACCTGTCATCACCCACCGGGCTTTCCTGACACGGCCCATTTACTAGTCTCCAACCTCGTCGCCGCAGCAGCAACGGAGGGAAAAAAAAAAGAAGACACGAGACGCCAACAGGAAAGCACTTCGCCTCGCCGCGCCGCGCCGCCCGTTGCTGCCGGCGATGAGCTCGCCCTCGCCGGAGCCACCCCCCAACCCTACACCTGTCCCTCCTCCTCCTCCTCCCGCTCCCTCAGGTCTCCCTCTCAGCCTCTCTCTCTCTCCGCACCCCCTTCGCTCTCTACCAAACCCCAAGCTGCTCAGTTTTTTTTTTTTTTTTTTTTTTTGGGCTTCAAAACCTCAAGCTGCTCGGGCGTTGGACCTGTCGATGGCTTCGGATTTTAGGTGGAAGGAGAGCACCGGTCCCTCGAATCGTAGCATTCGCTTTGTACGGCCCTAACGGTATCGTTTTTGGTTGCAGATGTCGTTGTTGATGTGCGCTTAGCTCAAACCCTAGCTGTACACTCAAAATTGGGTCTGAAATTCGATCTGTTTTTTTACTCAAAGTTGCAGGGAGAATAAAGAGTAAAATGTTTTATTAGGGCTTCTTGAAGAATGTGCAACGCGATTGGGTGTTGCAGGGAGAATAGTGCACTAGTGCCGGTAAATTATTGTCTTTCATCAAATTGTGGCATTTGCGGTTGCAAATTGATAATAGTGCCCAAGTAAGACCGTGCCACACTTAATAAACCGCAAGATATCCATTATGTTTGCACATGACTTTCTAGTTGATCATATTCTTGATTTTCAATTGTCCTATGCAGATACGTTTGCATTTTGATCATGCTTTTAGATTTAAATTCCTTCTTAAAATAATTTAGGTAACACAGCTGTTGAGGACAGCGAAGCAGGTCCTTGCATTCCCAGACTCCAAGCAGCGACTGGAGATTATACACCATGGTTAGGGCAAGAGTTTGCGTCTGAACATGAAGCATATGAATTCTATCGCTATTACGCATGGAAGTTGGGGTTCAGTGTCCGAAGAGAATATGCAAACAAAAGTAGGAAAACTGGTGAAATAACCTCAAGAAAGTTTGTTTGTTCGAGGGAAGGATTCAAAGCCCCAGACAAACGAACCAACCATACGAGGACTCCACAGCCTGATACAAGAACAGGATGCCACGCTAATTTAGTCATCAGGCGCAAAAATGATACTTCAAAGTATGAGGTATATGCTTTCGAGGCACAGCATAATCATCCCTTGTTCATTCCATCCTGTGCAAATCCACTGCAAAAAAAGTTAAGTGATGTTCAGTCTTCTGATGCTGATAACTCTGCTAGTGTAACACATGCTAGCGAACCTGATAGCAGAAATTCCATTCTTGCCGAGAAAACTATTAAGTCCCCAGAAATCTCTCAGCGCTCTCTGCATACTAGGCGGCAGCGGGAAATTAAGTGTGGGGAAGCCAGTGCTCTGTTAAACTACCTCCAGGATCAATGTCGAGCAGATCCTTTATTTTATCATGCTGTACAGCTGGATGCTGAAGATAAAGTTACAAACATTTTCTGGGCCGATGCAAAGATGGTAATTGATTTTGGTCAATTTGGTGATGTTGTTTCCTTTGATATTGTCCCCAGAAACAACATGAATCTCCGACCTTTTGCTTCTTTTGTTGGATTTAACAATTATGGGGAGACTGTTTTGCTTGGAATGGCACTTATGTATGATGATAGCCTTGAATCATTCCAGTGGTTGTTTGAGACCTTCTTGCATGCGATGTCTGGACAAGCACCGCGGACTGTCTTTTCACGCCAAGACGCAATTGTATCAAAGGCCATCTCACTGGTGATGCCTGACACATGCCATGCCATATGTACATGGAACCTGAAGCAGTCTGCAAAAAGTAACCTCAATCACCTTATTAGAGGGGATTGTGGTTTCATAAAGGAATTCAAGGCATGCATCAATGATTATGAGGAGGAGGTGGAGTTTTTTACTGCTTGGGAAGCTATGATCAGTAAATATAACCTTCACAACAACGTGTGGTTGCAGAAGGTATTTGAAGAAAAAGAGAAGTGGGCTAGGCCATACACAAAGTGGATATTTTCAGCTGGGATGAAGAACACACAATTAAATGAACGTCTACATTCTGACGTTCGGGATTATTTGAAATCTGATGTAGATATTATTTCGTTCTTGAAGCATCTTAAGAAATTGGTCAATGATAGACGGTACATAGAATTGGAGGTTGAATTTAGTTCGAGGCTCAAGTTGCCAGACTTCAAGATTAGAGCTCCTATTCTGAGACAAGCTTCTGAGGCCTATACTGGTATGATATTTCAGCTTTTCCAAGAAGAATACGAAGAGTTTCAGTCAGCTTACATTGTGACTCGTGATGAAAGTGGTCCCAGCCGTGAATATATTGTTGCCATTCTTGAGAAAGAAAGACGGTATAAAGTTCATGGAAACCCTTGTGAGCAGACAGTTACATGCTCATGTAGGAAGTTTGAGACACTTGGTTTCCTGTGTAGCCATGCTTTGAAAGTTTTAGATACAATGGACATAAAGTATATGCCTGATAGGTACATCCTGAAGCGATGGACCAAATATGGAAGGTGTTTGACTGCACCGCAGGTTGAAGGTCGAAAGGTTCAGGCAGATACCACATTAGAATTTTCTAGCCGCTATGAATACTTGTGCCCAGTATATGTTAGGCTTGTTGCTCGAGCATCAGAATGCGAGGAGTCGTACAGAGTATTAGATCAATGTTCAGTAGAACTGGGTAAGAAAATTGAAGAAATCCTGCAGAAACAAACAAGCATTGATGCGTCAGCTCCTCAGTCTGATATTGAGGATGTAACAATATCCTTGTCTGCGAATGGTACTGACAATGAATCAGAAAGAGCACTGGATTATTCAAGCAGCACAAGACCGAAGCGACGAAAAAAGAAAGGTCGTAATGCTAAAAGCCAACGAAAAAGTTGTATTGAGAAAGGTTTACAAAAAACCAAGAAAGTGCAACCAGAACAATCCCCAATACAATATACCATGTTGGATGCTGCTCAACCTGGAAATGTTCTATTTCAGGTAATTTCAGCATTGTTGTTCATTATATGGTGATGGCATAACGTGATAGTAATCACAAACTGATATTATTCTAAACGGTAGCCAGTTGGTGGTGACATCAAGAACCTTTGCTTTATGTAAACTCCCAACAATCCTATATTGCTACAGTCATTTCAATTGAGAATTCCTGTCAGATTGTTCTTTTTAATGTGATATGAACTCCATGCAAAATTGGAATCAGTCACAAAAACCTGTAACGTCAGGTTGTTTCTTTTTCTATTAAAATTTTATATTGAACAAGTTATTTTTCATCTCAATTTTGTAGTTCCTAAGGCCTTCTACAGCTTTTAAGTTCTGCAATGCAGAGGTTTTCTATTTAAAATCCTATGCCATACCACCATGGACTGTGGTCATAACTGATAGTAGCTCAAAGGACTATGATTATGGGTATTTTGGGCTGGAGAATCTTGAATTCACTATAGTTCATGCCTCAGCAACGTTTTAGTCCAACATTCCAATGCCGGGCCAATTCATCACGCCATCTGGATTCTTTTCAATATATATGCTGGGCATGGATGTTAGATGTACCTGAAGTTGTGTAGCCTGTTCTAACCCTGAGGTTAGTTATTGTATGTAACATGGTTAATTTTTAGTTCCCTTTTTCATTTTCAGGGTCTTGACATTTCTAATCCATTTCCAATGGGGCAACTGAATTATGGAGGAGTGCAGTCACAACCAGGCCTATGCCCAAGCTTACCTACTGTATCAAGAGTATTGTCAATTGCCTGTTACTCTCTTTTTGATAAGAAATGGTGCCCCTTGCGCCGTATCTGAATATTGAAAAAATTACTTACACGGTCATTGCTTTCAGGAACTTGGTTTTGCTGCATACCTTTCTCAGCCATCAAGTAACAATCAACATAATCAGCAGGTATAAATTGGTAAAGTTTCACAGTTGTCTCTTTCCTCACTTTCATGTTGATGAAGCTTTGAAGTTGCCACCTCCTTACTTTCTAATTTAATAAAGTGTTTAGATTTTTTAACTCTCGTGTAGCTCCATCCACTTTGGATTTTGCACTTGGCAATTTAGATTCTGAAAAAAACTATACATATAGAGCATTTTAAGGTACGTTTACATGCAGATATGATCAATTTGTGCTATACGAGAAAGAAAACTAAATCGTCTTATCTTTCATCAAAGAAAGAAAGCTGATCTATCTTTACATAATTTTTGTTGCACACCTATACATGATTATATCTTTACATAATTTTGTGTGTGAATATAGGTCAACATGCTATAAATGTTTTTATTTTCAGAATTTCCTAAAGTCACAATGTGCAAGAATTGAAAAATGGCTGTAGCTACACATGGGTATAGCAGGATCTTTATCTTTAATTAAACTCAGCTTTTTGTTAATCATGGCCCACGTCACTGCTCTGTTGGCCATTAAGCAGTTAATGGATGAAGTTGCTAGTTTATTTCTGCTGTTTATTGTCCATCTTTTCAGGGTTTGTAGAAATCAACAGCTCTGTTGAAAATCATAGTGCACATTTGTTTCAATCTTCAATATAACTCTTGGGACAGAACTGGCCCTCTGTTGAAGATCAAATCAACTTCTCAAATTCATATCAGTCAGTAATTGAGGCTACCAAGAACAGCCATTTACCTGGGTACATCCATCAGCAGCATGTTCAAGCCATGCTACGCAGCATGACTAGCTGACGATTAGCAGTGATAGCGCTCACCAAGTTCCAGAGTGACAGCCACTTGGTGTTGTGTTGATTAGCAATTTGAATGTTAAATTCTCCCGCATATCGCTCATCAATTGTGACATACCAAGCCACCAAGGACATTCAGAGCACATCCATGATCTATCGTCAGTAGCCAACGAAGTGTTAGCTCTCTTGCAATCGTCGGATGGTGGATGGTGCAGAACTGTAGACTATTTTGTAGCCTGTATGTGAACATGATTACATGAACCATGTAGGACTAGTCTGTAGAACAGAGTAGAGAACTAGAGATGATATCTTTGGAAGGATTAGATTTCATGCCACTCTTAGAGTTGCAGGTTTAGAAATATGCCATTATGATGGGGATATGTCAATAGCATAAGCTCATTTGTACAAGCTTGTCACACTTGTGCTTTGATTGTATAAATGCTAGGAGATGTGTCTATTTTGTCAAATTAGTATCTCTTGCTGACTTTCCTAAATGTTCGCAATTTGATGAAATGCAAGTAAAACGAATTCATGAAACAAGTTTCTGCATAGCATACGGTCCCTGGAATGTAAACATGTAAGCCTAAATTTCAAGGGTTAATTTCAACCCCTGCGGAAACTTTTTTTTCAGTTCAGAGCAAAATGTCAGTTCGCAAGATCCAACATTTCAAAAAATTTCAACATATTAGCACAAAACAAAATGAAACATTCCACTTTGAAGCATTCATTCAGTTCAGAAATACCAAACGGCATAGCATTTCCATTAAGATTAGCAAACCACAACGATTACAGCATCACATCTCCCAACCTACAGACTGAAATCTGGAAAAAAAAAAACGTGCCAGTTTGCCAGGAACACGGAAGAAGCCTCCAGGCAAGGCAAGGGCTAGGCCCCTCTTGCCTCTGATGCGGCGCGCGAGCTGGATGTCCTTGGGGCGCAGAGGTTGGTTGGTGTCCTCGAAGAGACCCATGAGGTATAGGCCTCGGCGGCCGGCCTCCTGCAGGGCGGCGACCGGCCGGAGCTCTGGAAGCGGAGGTGCTGCATGCGTTGGAAGGGGAGCTTGCTGCGGGGATCATGGAGCTAGCTCCGTGCTCTTCTGGTCTCGCGGAGCGCGACGGTGCCCGGGCGGAAGCGGTGCGGCTTCTTCGTCGCCAGCGCGCTGCTTCCTCGATCGGCGCCTTGCCGCCGGTGGAGACTTGGCGCGCCGTCTGCTTCGTTCGGCGCCATCTCTCGCCTTACTTGAATTATGTTTAGGCTCTGTTCAGTTCCCTTCAAACTTCCAACTTTTCCGTCACATCAAATATTTGGACATATGCACGAAGCATTAAATGTGAACGAAAGAAACCCAATTGCACGGTTTGCATGTAAATTGCAAGACGAATCTTTTGAACATAATTACGCCATGATTTGATAACGTGGTGCTACAGTAAATATTTGCTAATGACGGTTTAATTAGGCTTAATAGATTTGTCTCGCCGTTTACATGCGAAATATATAATTTCTTTTGTTATTAGTCTATATTTAATACTTCAAATGTGTATTCATATACGTTAATTTTCTTTTTGCCAAAACAACTAAACACGGCCTTAATTAGCACTCATCAATTTGAGCTCTCTTGAAGTTTCAATACGTGCAGTGCAGTGCAGGCTTGAGAGAGTCAGCCTGGGCTTCTCTTTCTTTAGTGCAAGCTACTTCGCTCTCTACCATTGCTAACGGATTTAAGTTGTATGTAGTCGACACAAGACAGTACGGGTGTGTTTGGCACCCTTTTTTCTAACCCCTCCTCGTTTTCCGCGCGCACGTTTATCAAACCGTTAAACGGTATGTTTTTTTAAAAGTTTTTATACAAAAGTTACTTATAAAAATAAAATTAATCTATTTTTGAAAATAAATTAGCTAATACTTAATTAATCATATGATAATGGATCGCTCTGTTTTCCGTGATTACTGTCCTTGATGGAAACAAGGATGCCCGAACAGTCTCTTCGATTCACTCCCAAAAAAAAGGCCAAAGATGCCAAAAGTTACGTCAAAATTTTTGTTTATTCGCTCCAAAACATTATTAGCATGCTACTTTTTTTACAAGCCAAATCAATCTATAACTATAAATACTTTGTTATTACTATTTCTTTTGGTATAGTAAAGTACACTATTCAAGAGCCCATACGTTACAATGGAAAACAAATTGTGTTTATAGCTTATTAAATCAATTAAGCATATATTTAGTCTAAGTAGTACTTTTATGATTTTCCTTATTAAACAAGTAGTTGATTTTAAAATTTGGGGAAAGCCAACTGCGAAACGAGAGATAAATCATTAAAGGATGGTGTAATAGTATAGACTGTGGAACCCAAATAATAATGGTAGGGGTGGTGTGACAAAACGAATAATACCACTATACCACTATAGTATAGACATAGCTTGGCATGCAAATACTCTGTAGAGGTATATCTAGTTGTGTTGGCGAACCCTTTAGATTTACGTCATGGTCAAAATTATGGCATATGGCAACATCTATCTGTATGTTTGTCTATCTATCATACATAACTAATATTAATTGATTGCTTTCATTGAGCTATTAATGTGTTCGTTCATCTTATGGCAATATACCGGTAGCCAACGTCATGGAGTTTCTATACAGTACATCCACAGATTACCTGTGGATGATGCACCCTAGTAGGAGACGTCATGCGTAACTGTGACGAGCACGAGGGAAAGGTGCTCCTCATTCTACGTGATGGTTGCATCCTCCTCATTCTAAATGATGGTTACAACATCATTCTACGAAGACAGTAGGGCAGGGGCACTGTGAATTTTTTTCTTTCGTGATGAACTGTCGGCACCAGTCCTCCATTTTTTTCTCAGTGGTCCACGCCGGCGCCTTTGACCTCAACCCACCAGCTGACGAGGCAGGGTGTCAATGCCACATGAGGCAGAGAAGCGTACATGAGCATATGAAAGCGGCGGCGGTGAGCGGGACTAAGGATGGGAAGGAGGAAAAAAAGATAGGTTTTTGGTTGTTGTACAAATCTCAAAGCGATCAAATAGACCAGAATTTATAAAATTTAGTTTTTTTTCTAACAAAAGCCGCAATCCCTTATAATAATTAGATGTATTAGTGTTCAGCATAACCCACATCCTGGGAGAAAGTTATAATAAACCTTTTGTAGTGCAATGCATTTTGAAGTAATAAAAGCAAGTTTAATTATACACAGTTCTTAATTACATTGCAAGGCAGCGAAAGGGTCATTTGTTGTTAGGTAGAGTACAAATCAGGCCAAAAGCTAGCAACAATGGAGTGATATGGACCGAGCTCAGCACTTCATCCCATAGGGTCCCTCGACACATTTCTTGAAGATGGTTCCGGGCGGCAGGCGGCCGTAGGTGTGGATGAAGTAGAACATATCGTCCCCACACCCATTGTTGAGGTCGTTGAGCAGCGTGTTGTGTGGGCACGCGATCTCCTTGAACGCGTCGCAACACTCCGTCACCGATGCCGCCTTGCACTTCTTTCCTAGCTCGGTGAATGGCCCCTTCATCTCGTCGAACCGCACTGGGCACATCCCTGTGTTGTGTGCCACATGCCACACCATGCACGCACGCGTTAGATCACCCATATATATCGCCAAGCTATTAACCACACATACATGGACGCGGTAGTATGGTTCAGGGTTTTCAATTTTGATTTCACCGGAAATTTCGGTCATTTTGGTACAACCAAAATTCTTGAAATTTTGGGATTTTTGACACCTTTTGGATTGATTATTTAACTAAATTTTAATCTAATTCGTAGAAAATTGAGAAAAACTGAAAATTTCGGTCGAGATAATCACTTGTACTGGGGGGTCCGAAATTTTGAACCAAAATTGCAACTACTAGTATGGTCGATTACCTAGCGGCGCCGGCGCCGGCGCGTTAGCGGCGCCCATCAGCTTGCGCGAGGTCAACTTGTCCGCCTTCAGGTCGGAGGACGCGAACTCTGCCGCTGGAATGCATGTCCACAAGAGTGTGCGTGATCAATATGTGCACCAAAAGGAAAGGCGATATGTGCGGAGTTAGTTATTAGCTGATCAGTATTTATTTATTTTTTTGCAGGAGTCATGCATGTGCTACTACCTGCTACAGAGTCTGCTTCGGTGGGGGGCAATTGGGTCATCACGATGACCATGGACAATGCGACGCAGTAGAAAATAGTGGCACCGACGGAAGAACCCATGCCTGTCAAATTTAATTACGAGAGAAAATTTAATGGGAGGAAGAAGGGAACGCTTTTTATTGATTGGTTAGTGAAAACTGACCAACCATGGAGTGTTTTTATAGGCTGTGAATATATGGTGATAAAATGTGGTTAATCCTGGTTTAGTGTCTATCGTGGACCTCATTGTTTTGAGGGCAAGGAGAAGTAGTTTTTTTTTTTGGCAAATACAGAAACAACAGCACCTATAATTAGTTTGCAGTTCTCGATGGTTTCTAAGTATACAATGAAGGAGATTTTACCATCTTTGAGAAGTACCAAGCACCACCAAATCTTGCTTGCTTTAGATGGTGAAGTGAAAACTATGAAGTTACTTCAAATGAAGTAATTGCTAATTGAGTCTATTATTAAGTTTTCAAATTGAATCATTGCTATAGAAAACCCTTTCGGTGTCGGTTGTCAACCCCACGTGGGTGTAGGATTTGGCAATTTGCACCCGTCAGGCTGCACCGTTGACTAGAGTCTCGGCTCGATTTGTAAAAAAAAAAAAGTGGCTCAACACGATTCGAGCCAATGATCCAAATCCACTAAAAATAAATCGAAAAGCAAGTCACAAGTTCATCATAGAAATTAAGCCATGATTGGAATTCCTCAAAAAATAAATGAAATAGATACGCAACAAAAAAAAAATCATAAAATAAAACATCACAGAACCAATATTGAATTCATCACATGGATTTGGAAATTCAAGACCACTCGCTACCGCTGGTCACCGTGAAGAAGTACGATCACCCACTGCCCCGCAGGACAACTGCTGGTGGCAAGATGAGAGGGATAGAGGATGGGAGGAGGGAGAAGACAAAATGGGGAGGGTGCACTGACCTTTAGCGTCGAGGACGATGCCTGCCATGGAGCCATCGCCAATATGTTGGACATTAAGATATAAAAAGTAACCTGGACAAGGTCAAGGTAATGGCTATTGAATGCCATTCACCCTCAGCTTCGCACTCTTCCCATTGCCATGGACTTCACCTCTGTAGCATGAGCATGTCCAATGACAATGGGAAGAGTGCAATCACAGGCATCGCTTCCTATCTAAGTACACGACCTCAGGGCCCTTCCTAACCAGCTTCAGTGAATTCTGCGCCACTGGCTCCTGCTTTTCCTCGTCTCATTTCCTCTTACCGTCCTGTTGCCGACCGGCACTCTCCTTGGGCTCCTCCTGCTCCCCATAAGTGGATGGCTCATCATGTTCAAGCACCGAGCGCTGCGGCTTTGGCACCGGCAAATAGGGGTGGGCGTTCGGTCTGACCGAAAAATTCGGTCTCGGTCTTCGGCCTTTCGGTCATTTCGGTCTTTGAAAAGTGAGGACCGAATTTCTTCCAAAAAAACTCAGGACCGACAAATTCGGTCTCGGTCTCGGTCTAACCGAATTTTGACAGAGGGGGACCGGCTCAAACGCGAACGCATCGAATCCCCCACCGCAGTCTGGCTGGAGACGGAGGCGACGTGGTGGTGGCGTTGAGGCAGAGGCGGGTTCGTGGAGGACGGACCGGCGGAGGCGGCGTCTGCACGATGGAGGTCGAGGACGGACCGACAGAGGCGGCGCCGGCGTGATGGAGGTCGAGGACGGGCTGGCGCCCGGCGGAGGTGGCGCGATGGAGGCAGACGGGCGGAGCGTGGAGGGCGGAGAGTGGAGGCGGCGCCGTGGAGGCGGAAGGCGAAGCTGCGGAGGTGGAGGCGGCGCCGCCGCAGTGGAGGCGGAAAGGCAGAGTCGGTATTGTGGAGGCGGAAGGCAGAGGCGGCGGAGGCACCGTGGAAGCGGAGGCGACGCGGTGGAGGCAGAAGGCGGAGACGGTGTGACCGAGCCGAGTGCGACGTGATGGGGAGAGGCGGCGCTGCGTGAGGCTGGTGGGAGGAGGGATTGGATGTGTGGTTGCCTCTAGGGTTTAGTAGTTTATTGGGCTTATTGGGCCTCCTAGGCTTATTGGGCCAAAATTCGGTTTTCTCGGTTAATTCGGTTAACCGAGGGCAATGACCGAATTACCCGAATAAATTTTGGTCTTTTAATGGCCAAGACCGAACTACTAACCGAATTTCTCGGTCTCGGTCTCGGTCTTTTCGGTTCGGTTCTTCGGTTCGGTCTTTGCCCACCCCTACAGGCAAAACCTCTATCATGGCCACCAAATCCATCATTTCCATTCATAGGAGCTATGCAAAACCTACCCAAGCTGCATCAGCCACTCTGCTCTCACATCGCTTGTTCGGATTCCACACCATCGCTAACAAATTGCACTATACCCAAAACCCCACAAAAAAAAAACCCTCCTAAAAGATCGCACACCAAATGAACAAATGCCCATTCTCTCACCAACTCCACCAAATCAACCCAACAAAAGTAAGAAATAAACCAAGGAGATGAAAGGCACAAGAGCCAAAACCTCACCGTTGGCAACTATGTGGAAGGTGACAGCGACAGGGGGAGAGATGGACAAGCTCCCGCACTATGGGCTCGCCGGCGCTGGTTCAGGAGACGGGTCAAGTAGACGTCGCTGCATTGGAGAATACGCAAGCAGCCAAGCAGGGGAAACAAAGAGGAGAAGCCCTTATCTGTGGTGGCGAGGTGACAGGATGGCAAGAATGAAGACCGAGGATACTGATCATTGATGCTGGGGATGGAAAGGCAACTTATGCGGTGAGACGGTGATGCATCGTGCGTAGGGTGACAATAATGTGGGAGCCACGCGATGAGGGGAGGAGATTGTAGGACTTCTTTTCCGAAGGACATGACATTTTGGGAAAGGTAGGAGGGGAAGGGAGCAGATCTGAGATGTTGGATGTGATGCGTTGGATGATTTTAGGATGTTGGATTTGATGAATGAAGTATGAAGTATGTAGGACCGTGTTGGTGAACTATATGGTAGAATAAGCTATACCAATGTAAGATGAGTGCAATTAAGTCACTTATTTTTCAAATTGCTCAAACGAGTCACCCATTTTGTTTCTGAGATGCAAATAACATAAAACATATGTTGTGTGGGACGTTAATCTTCTAAATTAGATGTCATATTAATTTCTTTCATAAAGATGACTACAAATAAGCCAATGGTGTAATAGTATTGATAGTAAAATCTAGTTTAAGATGAATTCAGTTTTTTATTGCTAAGCACTATGCAATTTTGTTGACCAGAAATCATATGCATATAGGAGCTCATGTAAGAATATGGAATTTAATTTGCATTTTCTAAACTTGAAACTTGCAACCTTGTTCTACCCATACGGTTCACAAGTGCATCATCTTATACCAATAGGGTTTTTAATTTAGCAACAAATATTCCATGTGACATGTATTCTATAATATTTGCACCCTCAGCACACAAGTTGAGCGATTTACTTGAGCAATTTACAAGATTAACGACTAATGTGCACTCACCTTACAAGTTAAAGTTATAGTACCAATGGTACATGCATTTTACTGCGTTTGGTATGCTAGGTTTAGACATTCTCTTCTTTTCATGGTGGTTGCCCATACATGGTCCAACAACCGGCCAACCATAGCCGAAATATCTTGGTATTAGTTGATACTTAGGTTTGTTGCGGAATATGTGGATGAATGTATGCTATACATTATAGAAATGGTAGATGTATATATCTAAATAATGTAAAAATGATGTGAATATAATAATTTGATATTCTTTCATATTGAGTTCTAAAAATTAAAAAAAAATGTAAATGATATGTCATATTTGTATGATATTTAAAATACTCTAGATAATAATTGCGAGTGGGTGATGATGCAGCATACTTGCATTTGATTTAATGTACTCTAGATAATAACTGCTAGTGGATGATAATACGACACAGTTGCATGTTAAATTTTAGGAGTTAGTGAACATCATCAAATTCATAATAAGATAGATTTCGGTTTAGGGACCGTTTTGGAACTCGACGAAGAAATGAGGGATCTCTTGCGAACGTTTCCTACCTTTGTGGCTCTCCTACGGGCCTACTAATCGGCCCATCTCAGCAGCTTCCTCCCCACGCCTGCCCACAGGGCCCGGCCCGGCCCGGCCCACCCAAGGGTCCGGAATCTTCTTCTCCTCCTCCTCCTCACCCCTCACCTCATCCCTCCCTCGCCTCCCCACCATCCTCCGCCGCCGCCGCCCTCCGCCCTCGCCGCCGCTCCGGTAATCCTTCCTGTCTACTAGATCCGACCGATCCCCCTCCCCCGCCGCCGTCGTATTCTGCTGATCAGCGCGCTGTTTATTTTTCTCTCTCTCTTTCCTTTCCCCGCTTTCTCTGATCGCCGCCGTTTTCTGCAGTTGGAATCCGGATCTTCCTTCGTCGAGGGGGTCGCGTCGCCTCGCCGGCGGCCGTCGCGAGCATGTGAGTCTCTCACCTGATCCCGTCCCCTTCAATTTTTTCTGTCTTGCTTGGTAGTCGATCGGTCGGTCGGTCGGTCTCCTGTTTGGTTGGAACGGATCGGGCGTGCTGCATTGGCCATGCGTTTGGGGGATTGATTGGTTTTGATTTGGAACGATTCGGGCGCCATGATCGTAGGGGGATTCAGTGAACTTGCATCGCGGTTGCTCCGACCGAATTTTCACGGCCGTATTTTTCTGTCGGTGGATGGCTTTTGTGTCGTGGGGAGTTGCAGCGAATGGATGCGATGTAGCCACGCGTGATTCTTGCGAGGTCGCAGGGCAGAGTGATATGGATCTAGTAAAAAAAGTGAGAGTTTTCCTATCTGATTATCTCGTCCTCCATATGTTTTTGTTTATGCTGTGCTAATTCTGGTTGCCCAGCACCCATATCCAATTCCCATGTCATTCATGAAGCCTAGCATTGGCTATAATTGATTAGGTTCCTTCTACATCTGCATTATGATGCTGACGCTTGAAGTTCTTTTGATTCATACTTTAGCAAAGCACACCTGCAATGCAAACACTTATAGTCTTATGTGATGATACCTTCAGTGCAAAACTTATTCTGAAGACCGAAAGCATCAAACTATGGTGCTTACCGTTTCATAGTTTAGCAAAGCACATTAGCAAACTCTCCTGTGTGCTGTTAACTTAGTAGGAACTGATTCTGAAGATTGAAAGCGTCAAATATTTATACTAGTGCCCATGCAGAAGTCAGTTTTGATTGTTTCAGTTCTATTGTTTTCTAACAGCTGGATATGAAAGCTCCTCCTTTCATATCGATGTAATTAAGAGAGAGTTTAACACACACGCTGACTGCCGATGGGGATCGAATGGGTGTGAGCACACACTCCAGCGCCTTGCCATCTGCATTACACCTATACAGCTTCTTTTTATTGTTGCGGTTTTATCGTTTTCTCATCTTTGTGCACCATGCGTGGACACATCAAGTAACTCTAGATTGACCAAAATGCAACTTGCTTGTTTCTGAAAAAAAGGTTGACTTGCTTTAAACTATAGCTTTACTGTGTACAATCTCATTAGATTAAACCGGTGTATCATATTTTGCGTTTGCATCCATGTTTTATGCACTGGTGGTTAAGGCGCTATTGGGAAAAAGAGAGTACTGCATAATATTGTGATTACTCTTTCCAAATTTAGATCTTATTGTTTGATTTATTGAAATGCATGGCAAGTACCCGGTATTGCATTTGGAAACTTGTCCTGCATTTTATGGTTTTCCATCAAAGATATTTGTGGTAGTTATATAACAAATAGTGCGACTTTTTGTTATTATATTCCTGAGCTTGTAGCCTTGCACTCTAATTCAGGTCGGATGAGGAGGTATCTGACCCGAAGGCACTCCTAGAGGATCGATCGAAGGCTAAGTGTGTGTACCAGTGGTATGAATATCAGGTATATGCTGTTTTTTTTTTTCTGTTGGTGAACTCTCATTTTGTTTTTATGGTCTATGTGCCCAGCTATCTCAACTAGATAGCAGTATTAATTTGCTATTAATATCCAACCGATACATTTGGCGTTTTGTGCTTAGTTTTCAACTTCACAATATTAATGTATCAGTACTGTTATCTAAATGTAGTCAATCCGAGCATTATTTGGAGAAGCTCCATGCTATCTATATTGCTGTACATTATTGCTTTCTGAATAGCTATTCTTCTGCACCTTTGGTACTGCTGGGCCTGGATCTTATCTTATGCTACTCTATGTTGTGCACACAGAAATGTGTCAAGAGAATTGAAGATGATGAGACTGGTCAGAAGCATTGTACTGGTCAATACTTCGATTACTGGAAATGTGTCGACAAAAATGTGAGTGCTTGTTGCCATATATACACTTATATTTGAGTGAATTGTTGATCCAAAGAAACCACTTGTCTCTATTTTCTATTTTAACCTTCCGAAAATCCCAGCCAACTAAGTGAACAGGTATGGGTACTTAGTACTCACATCAAAGAGATGTACTAGCCATGAAATGTCAATATCTACTTCAATCTTGACTGGCACCTTAATAAGATCCACCAAAATTGGCGACCTAGATATTCTGTTTTTCTTCTGATTCCTTGTGGATCATGGTAAAAACTATCTTGCTCATGTTGGTTATGTTTTACCATGCAGGTTGCCGAGAAGCTTTTTGATAGCTTAAAATGACAAGGAAAATGTTCTCTCTTGCTACCGTTTACGCAACAGTGAGAATAATCATATCGTTTCTGCGCCCTGTAGACATGTCAGGTGCTTAATATCTGTAAGAAAAAAAGTTTTGCCTGTCGGATAATACGACAGTTTTTCAACCGCCACTTTACTTTTATTTCTGCCAGAGGCATTGAACTCTCTACATCTGGGTTCGTACTGCGTTATTGGCTCATGCTTTTTCCCTTTCGGTTCATAATTGATATATCCCCAGATTGTGAATGAGCACGGAATGCTGTCATTTGCCTTTTCCATATTGCTTCTGTCTTGTTTTTTGCACGTATGCCAGTGTCTGGATTTGTGTATCGGGTTAAAAAAACCACGAGCTGGTAATAACGATTTCTTATCTTTGGTGTCTACATAATCCGAGTAGAATGCTCCAAGATGTTGTGATTTTGTGGAGTATATTTCAAACTGTTGTGCCATGATGTGTACTCTATGTGGGACTATGAATCCATTTTGCACTTCCATTATTGACTGTTGGGGTTCAAATTCTCGCAAGATACTGATTGGGTTCAAGTTCTCGGATGACGAGGCCCATCTGGTATGTCATAGAGGAGGCTGGTTGAACTGCTTGCAGCTTGTGCAAATGGCGACGCAGCGACAGCTCATTTGCTGACAAAAGAGACCACTTCGATCCGATTTTCTTCAGCAGATGTGCAACGTTAAACCAGTTTGTCCCAGGTGAATTCTCCATCTGGATGCTGGATGCGTCGCACACATATTGTTTCTGACCTTTCCCTTCAGTTTCAGTGGTGTAACGTTGTGGATCATATGGTAAGTGGCCGGTGTGCCCTGCTCACACGTTACAAAAAGAGAGATTCTGATTCTCTGGTGCTCGTCCAACTCGTGCGATGATGCACGCTAACATCTTTCGTGTACGACAGTACGAATGAAAATGCCAGGACATGGACGCTGCCGAAGCTCCTTTTGGCAGTGCGATAAGGTGTGGCACCTTTTAGGTGTTTGGGTGCTTGGTTTACTGTTTTTCATTTTTGATCTAATTTGCATTGTATTACTGTGTGTCCAAAGAGTGAAAATGTTGCGAGGGACACGATGGTAGGATAACATACATACATTCGTGAAACAAAATTTTGAGCACAAATAAGGGCTCAAATGTTGTATTGATCATCATTGTTGTTTTGTTTCACAAATGTTAGACAATATACGTTATCCAACCATTGTGTTCTTCACCTTAGTGGAGTCGTGCAACCACTACTAGTATACATCAATGCTGATTGCTCGGCTAATTGCATCCCATAACTGTGAAAGTCAGAAAGGAATTGAAGAAGAACAAGATCCGTGGGAAAATCAAAGACGGCTTATGTGCTATCCTCCAAAGTGAGATTTCCTACACCATTATTTGGTAGTTTTGCCACAGTACCGGAATGTCCCTTTCATCTGAAAAGGCAGGCAGGTGCCATGAGCAATTGAAAACTATCACCATAACACAGGCCATTTTCCCTTGGTCAGTAGCTTGATTGGTTAACTGGGCCGAGATCTTTTTGTTAAAGTTTTTAACTCAACCTTTTCCTTTTTCAGGTGCATGTTTTCAAACTATTAAAAAGTACGTTTTTTTAAAAAAAAATTATATATGAAAATTGTTTTAAAAAACCATATTAATTATTTTTTAAAAATATCTAATACTTAATTAATCATATATTAACGAGTCACTCCATTCTACATGCGCGAGGGATGAGTTCCCACCAACAAGCAACAAAATTAGCCTAAGCCAGTGGTGATCCTCTCAGTTGTTCTGTATTCACCTCGCTATTGTATACTACTTCCTCTATCCCATAATATAAGAGATTTTGACATTTTGCTTGCACTGTTTGACCACTCATCTTATTCAAAAAATTTGTGCAAATATAAAAAATGAAAAGATGTGCTTAAAGTACTTTGGATAATAAAGTAAGTAAAAAAATAATAATTCCAAATTTTTTTTGAATAAGATGAATGGTAAAATGTTAAAAATCCTTTATATTAGGGGGTGAAGGGAGTAGCTTTTATGATGACATCCCCGGACATTGCTATTGGCTAATGCAACTTTTAAGCATGCACACACTGCACCTGCTCTCAGAAGTAACCATTCTATTCATCCAATACCGGAGATTATGATTTGTTTCAAGGAATCCCATGTTTTGTGGTAAAATGTTTCAATAAACCTCATATTTTATTTTTTATTGATATGATTATTTTGACATAGATTCACATCAGTTGACTCAAAGTAGACATCCCATTTCTACTCATCTTTTTTTTTCTCAATTTTGCACTACACAAAAAATTGTCATAATCCTAACCTGATAATGATAGGATAATCGGTTAAATATGTACGTAAACAATCAAACAACGATGTGATAATGATCAATGCTTGTTGAAAAGTATATACGTGGATATGCACTTAAAAAAATGTCATTCAACTTTTTTCATTAATTATAGAAAAACTTATTAGTTAAATGGAACAATATAAACTTCGTATCCAGGATTTTATGAAATATTTTGTCCCAAAATGTGGGGTTCCATGAAACAAATTATAAAACCTAAGGATTTGTGTCATGGACACCCCAAAATTTGGGGTTGGGGTTTTGTGAAACTCCCTCTTGAAGAAACGTTGGAAAAAATGTAGGAATAACCATTTGAATGAAGCACAGGGAAAAAAATGCAGGGATCAGAAAATAGAGATAGACAAAAAAGATATTTTTGTTCCTAAGAAATTAGACTTCATGTTAAAATTTCTCTAAAATCCCTTTTTTTTTTAGCCAATCCAAAGGAATTTCATACAATTTTTTGTAGCTATTTCTTTTATCCAAATGACCACATATGCGTAGGATTAAAAACCTCCAAAATTCAAGAATCCTTTGTTCCAAAGGAATCTTTATTCCTTATTTTTTACCCATCACCATCCTCAAAAAACTTATGGCTCCTTTAAATTAAAGGAATTTTATAGGAATTCTAGAGGATTCAAATCCTAAGGAATTTTTTCCTAAGTAGGTTATTAGGAGCATAGGATTGCATATTGCCAAATTCATTTGGAGTGCATTCCTATACCCTTAAGTAAATAAGGTCAAACCCCATTTTATTTTTCCTTTAAGAAGTTCAATGCATCTTCTATCTTTATCTCTCCTATCTCTCTCTAAAATCCTTCCATATTCATGTGTTATTTTCCTTTCAGCTCTCCAGACATATCATCTTTCAATTTTTTTTGTGTTTTCAATTTCTACGGGATTCGTTTACATTGCATTCCAATCTTATGTTTTTTTCTATTATCGTATTTAAAAAAAATCAACCTTCCAAAAAGTAGCCCTTAACTTGAAGAACATCAGTATATTTTTAATGAAAAAGTATATTAGATACGTAAGAAAAATATGGTAGATTTTTCTTAAATAGTACTTGTAGAACATTATAATATATCATTAGAAATATCAAATAGTTTACAATAGATAGTAGTGTTCAAAGTTTTTCCGGTAAGGTATGGGATATACCATAGGTTCTGGAACTGATGAATGGTCACAAATTAGTCAAAATTTGGGAAAGAGTTGCGGCTAAGAGCAGGTACAATAGCAGATGCTATAAGCCAACTATAAATACATATTGGGAAGATAAAAGAAAAGAGTGAAGAGTAGTAGGCTACATATTTATAACTAGATGCAGCACGGACTCTAAGACACAATGTTTGTATGACAGATGAGACCATGTATTAATAGTGTAGTATATATTCATAGATAACTATTGTATGAATTGGCTATTAAGTTGACTATAGGTGATTTGGAGCTAACAGTAGGCTATACTATTAAACTTGCTCTAAAGGGTGTATTCGAGACGAGAGGTTGGGAACCTCTCACATGCACGGAAAACAGGATAAAAGATTAGCACATAATTAATTAAGTATTTAGTTTAAAATAACTTAAAATGGATTAATAAGTAACTTTCCTATAGACTTTCTTTGGAAACAATTTTAGAAAGTGTGCGCGTGGAAAACAAGGTTGTAAAAGTTGAGAAAGGATAGAACACATAATAATGGAAACTAGGGTGATGACATGCAAAAACTCTAGTTTCGGTTGATTAAATCGGTTGTAATTGACAGATCTAGTACTTGTCACCCTCTAAACTAAAATACCATTCACCCAATGATCTATAGATTAAAGTATCTTCCCTCTGTTTTAAAAATATAACTATATAGATTTCGTAGTAATAGGATACGTCTCATCCAACTAAAATCTCTTATATTTTAGAGAGGTTTTACAGTGTTTGTGAGGTACTTAGAGGTATTAAGAGGTAGAGTAATATGCACCGTTGATCAAAAGAGGGGCAATGTATGGAATAAAAATTATCATAACCAATGAAAATGAAGTAATTAACTAGTGAAATATTGCCATTATTGTCGAATATATTGAATACCTTGCTTCGTTGATCATTACTGTACGATAGAGAAAATGTAAATCTACCTAGGCATCAATTAGATCTACACGGAAAAAAAATCAGGTTGTGTCTTCTTTCTCGTCTCCCACATCGCTTTGTTCTTACTAGGGTTTGAATTGGTTCACTAGAAAAAAAACAAAGGGAGAACTATCAACATGGTTGAGGATTGAAGCGGAGATGAGGTCGACCGATCAATGGCAAGGCGAAGCGCATCCGCTAAGATTCCATTTACACAGTTGATTACTGATTTACATAGCTCACAATTTCATTCAGAGTTCTCCCCTGTTCTTCTTCAAGGGTTTGAATAAGTGCACTCGCAAGGAGACACGGTCGTCATGGTTGAGTATTTGTGCAATCTACAACGAATATATCTCTGGATATTTGGCATGTGGTGCGGACGTTGCGGCAATTGCATGCCTTCTAAAGTGGCATGCAATCCGTGGATGCATGCATGCACATATATGCCCAATAAATGGACATGCAATCGGGGGTGGTTTCCATTTTATCATATATGAGGTAAATCAGGGAGATGGTTATTTTCAGGTCAGTATTAAAATCTAAGTGTATGGATGACATTATAAAATAAGTTATTTAATTCCCTAAGACATAAAATTTTGTTAATTAGTGAATTCTACAAAACTTGTAAAAAACGAAATGAATGATTACTGTGCGAATCTATTCTTAAGGAAAAAATGTAAATCTCAAAAAGAACACGTAAATAATGTCATGGAGATGACAACTACCAGTACCAATGCGGTACCTATATACCAAGAACTAGACAATTATACCCTTCTCTATCTACTAGAATATTATCTTTTTACCCTTACTACCTAAGTACATGTGCCAATATTAAAATACTTTTTAAGTGGTACCTTTTATTGTGGAGCGTTGGATCTTTGCCTTTTTAGAATGCAAACACAGTAAAACCGGAAAAAATTTTGGTGAAGACCGGATGTAACCGGCCGCATCTATAGCCCTGCTCCGGATGGATGCCACGTGAATGACCTAGGGATCAAACGGTTAGCTCGGCCCGGCTCCCGGCGCTGCGTGACGAGGACACACGCACGCAGCTTGGCTCCACGAGCAGCCGTGTCTTTCAGGCTCTCCGTCGGCTTGATTCGACACATATATATCGCGCGCATCTCCTTTGCCTGGTGAGCAGTGACCTGCGTCTTCCTCCGGTGCTGCAGGGATCGTCATCTTCCTCCTCCTCCAGCACCGCGGAAACCATGGCCAATGTGCCGAGCACCACGGCTCCACCACCGACATTGCTTCTGACCAGCTAGAGGTAGAGGCTACAGCGCTTGAACACCGTTTAGACTCGAGGAGGGTCAGGTGCTGTCGCCGGCCGCTTCTCCATGGCATGAGAAGAAAACATGCAAATTAAAACGCGCTGCAGGGTCATCGTCGAAGCCGTAATCGATCAAAATTAAAGTGCATCCAAACGCGCCGCGGCTCACCGGCGGCGGCCGCCTGGAACGGGAACGGAGAAAGACGGTCGTCGATGTAGCCGATATCCAGGCGAAGAGACGCGATATGTGTTGAATCGAGCCGTCGGCGAGGCTGAAAGCCGCGTCTTCGCTACGCCTGGAGCCAAGCCATCTGCATCCTCCTCGCACAGCGCCTAGAGCCGATCGGGCCACGTGACCCGTTCGATTCTTAGCTAGTCCACGTGGCAATCATCCAGTGCGGGGCTGCAGATGAGGCCGATTACACCCGGTCTCCACCAAATTTTTTTCCGTAAAACCTCTATTTCTTGGTACTGAGAGAGTACCACTTAAAAGACAGAACCATGCATATGCATGAGTTGAAATGAGAAGACTCGAATAACCCATTCGATGGACCGAACACCCAGAGAAGCAAGTAACTCACAAGTTCGCCTCTAATACAAATCTTGTTTATCTACAATTACGCCAAACACCACAAAACTAACCTGCATAATAATAATGCAGCCAATAATTATTGTCTAGTTTAAAAATCGTACGGCGTGACGAAGCCTTCCGGCCGGAGAGGCGCGAGGAACGGCCGGACCGGCGGCGTGGCGAACAGCGGCTGCCGGCACGTCGGGCAGGTGGAGCGCGCGAGGAGCCAGCGGTCGACGCAGCGGACGTGGAAGCCGTGGTTGCACTTGGGCAGCACGCGCACGCGCTCGCCGGGCTCCAGGTCGGCGAGGCAGATGGCGCACGCCGGGCTCGGCCCGCCCGCCGCCGAGTACACCATCGTCGGCATCGCCCGCAGCGCCTTCCGCCGCACCCCGGCGGCCTGCGCCGCCGCCGACGGACCCAGCTCGCCGTCATCTCCCGCCGCCGCCGACGACGACGAAGACATCATCATCCGGCCGCCGCTCGAGCACCGGAGCGCGCACCGCACGATCGAGTTGAGCCCCAGCGCGCAGATGAGCGCGCACAGGAGCACGGCCAGGATCATCACCACGTTCGCGTCGAAGCTGCTCGTCCCGGCGGGCCCCGCCACGACGTCGCCGCCGGCCGGCGCCTCCTGTCCGGCAATCACCTGGCTCGCCCCGGCCGCGGCGGCGGCGGCGGAGCTATCCCCGTGTCCGTACGCCGGAGCCAGCAGCATCGCCCTCCTCGAGTACACGTAACCTTCCTGCATTCTCTTCTTTCTTCACCTCACAACACTGAACTAAACCTCTCTGCTTAATTCCTAACCAATCTGTGATTCTATTTCCTTTCCTTCCTAAGCAAAAATCCCTCTTGTTCTTTGGAACACAAAGACTGTAACTTCTTGAAGTCTGTAGTAATTGGTAAGTCTTTGATGAGCTGAGGCTGAGCAAGTATATATAGGCACTAATAAACAGCAACAGTGAAGGCAAACAGATTTAAGCAGTAATTACTGGGTGGTGAAGTGAGAGTAAGACTGAAAGCAGGGAGCTAATGGAGGCAGGGGCTTTTGGGCATGCAAAGGTCAGAATGCTAATCACTACAACTAGTAGCAAGCAAAGCACATTTGTGAATTATGATCACTAGGGTGATGGGGCTCTACTCTGCCTGATTGGATTAACAGTGGTGGCTTTTCTGGGCATCAGAGGGCACTAGCTAATCTAGTGTTGTGGCACCAGATCTTGTCTGCCTGATGATACTGGTGTAAAGTACTCCCTCCGTACTCGTAAAGGAAGTCATTTTGAACAGCGATACGGTCTCCAAAACACAACTTTGACTTTTTGTTTCTATAAAAATATTTATTGAAAAGTGATATATGTATACTTTTATGAAAGTATTTTTCAAGACAAATCTATTTATATAACTTTTTACATTTTCAAACTCAACAATTTGAGAGTTATTCATGATTTATATTCCTAAGGTTTGACTTAAACATTGTCCTAAACGACTTCCTTTACGGGTACGGAGGGAGTAGAGAGTGTAATGAAGCATAGCACACATGCAACAAGGAGAGGATTAGAAAAGGAGAGAACACTGAATTATTTGTGTAGTTGCATCTCTTTTTGCAGAGAGATAAAATAAAAGCTGTTTTGGCAATGTGGGGGAGGATGTATCTTTGACCTTTGCTTGGCCAAGTGGAATTGGGGGGTCAAACCAAGTCAGTCTGGTCCAGGAAACAGAGCAGATAGACATGGTCTTTGAGTCTTCAAGATTGGACAGCACTATAATTCCTATTTGTCCATGCACTGAACCTGAATTATGAAAGCCTTGATCACAGAAAAGCCTTAATTGTGAAGCCCTGAAGGCTAAAAATGTAATGTTATGCTGCCAATGTAAAGCTTTCTTGTGTAAGATAATTACATGAAACATTCTTGTCCCTGCAGTGAAGGAAAAACAACTGTGGTCCAGATGAGTGAATCAGTGAAGCACCTAGCTTTTGGGGAGTAAAAGTTTCAGTAATTGATACTTATTAAATCATATCTTCATGGGCAATCATGGAGGCAGTAAAATAATGATCAACGGGTCACATTTGTGCAGTATGCATAATGGTGAAGATAACAAAGCCACTACTTACCAATCATGGATCATAATATTTGCAATTTGCAAATGTTTAAGCCTCCACTCTGAGAGCACCTGGTTCCATCAGAGCTGACAACTCCTGATGTGTCACCTTGCCTTTGCCCAGGCCATCAACAGCAATCAATCCTACTTACAAAGCATAGGTCAAATTAACTTGTGGTTACTAGTTAGCCAATGACAAAGTACTTTTACTGGTCAATGGCTATCTGGTTATCCAGTGACAAAGTACTTTTACTTGTCAATTAGGCAATAGCTAAGAAGAACTACTGAGAATGAATGGACTAGTCCAGAAGATCTATAAAGGAGAAGTAATTGAAGGGATATTCTAGCATCTGTTGGCTGTGGCTTAAGGAATGTTTGCCACAAGCACATTGCACTAAGACCCTGTTCAGCTGTTCTGTCTGAGATGATGCTGCTTGATATCTACGTGTAAGTCATTAGGTCATCATCTTTCCAAGTTGTCCCTAAAACCTATCTAACTATCTGCTTTATTATGCTCTAGTATAGCCCTTGTAACCTCTGCATTTATTTTGTGTGCTCTTTTTGTTTATTTGTGGGGATATGTAACCTCTGAAAGTTATAGGGGGGGACTGAAATGTTTCAGAACTACAGGTTAATCAGGTACAGCTTGCAAATACCTATCCGAATAGTAGGAGGAAAACCAGGATCTGAGAGAGCCCCACGAAATTATAAGACAATGCTAAACAAGTTCAACAGCATGAAATGCCTTGTATTGCATCTGAAGAGGGAAGAAGTTGATACTGGGATTACTGTAACATGAATGCCTTTTAGAAGCAACTGAGGAAGATCATACTTAAAATACAACCTCACCGATTCATAAATTTGCATATCACTGTTTGTGCACCACCAACTCTTCTATCTCCAAATGCGATTACTTTCGATAAAAAGTTTTTGTAAAACTAAAGCAATGGTGACCTTTGTAAGTGACTTCGAATCACATCCTAGATTTTTCACATTTTGGTCCTTTTAAAAAACTTATTTCGCAAGTAGATCTCTAGAAAAACTTATCCCAAAAATGGTCCTTTTTAGGGCGCCAGAGTGGCTGGCGCCGTCCTTGAACGACGGCGCCAGCCTCTTTGGCGCCGTCCCACCGCCAACGTGACGGGGCGATATTGAGGTGGCTAGGGGGAGTGCGCCAGAGTGGCTGGCGCCCCCCCCCCCCCCCCCGAAATTTTTTATTTTTGTTTTATTTGTTTGATATTTTTTTCACGCTTAGGGACACACAAGAACCAACCATAGAAAAATTGAACTCAAATGGACGTAATATGTGACATGTAGAATTTTTCCTCTCCTCTCCTCTCTCCGAACTAGTGCAGAGGAGAGAGATGTGCAACTTTTTTATTTTTATTTTATTTTTTTGATATTTTTTTCACACATAGGAACTCACAGGAACCAACCACGTAAAAAATAAACTCAAACGGACGAAATATGTGGCATGTGGAATTTTCCAAAGCTCCACCGAAAAACTTCTCTCCTCGAAAACACAATCTTGCAAGCGGAATTTGGAGGTTTTAATATCGCCGAACCCGGAAAAGCTGGGGAGAATCGGATGTAAATTTTTCTGTAGATGTCCGTGCATATATTATTTGCCTGATTCCGAGTCCGTATGAGAAAGTTACGCCTATTTTAATAGATGGCATATTTTGTCCGTTTCGGTAGAGTTTTGGAAAATTCTACATGTCACATATTTTATCCGTTTGAGTTTATTTTTTATACGGTTGGTTCCTATGTTCTCCTAAGTGTGAAAAAAATATCAAAAAAATAAAATAAAAAAAAAATTGCATCTCTATGTACTGTTTAACTTATATATGTCATTTCATGTGGTTATATTTTGAATTAGATTAAGTAATTTCATATAGTGGTAGAGTGCATTATGTTTAACATGCTGATCAAAGGGTTTTACTAAAGGAGTTATGGTCTAATTTTAGTGAAGGTGCAAAGTAGACTAAGTGGTATACTAGATATTTTCAGACTTAGCTAAGTGGTAGTTCGAGTTTAAATTTTTTTTGTGGTTGGTTGTATCATGATCCTGAGTGTGAAAAAACATCCGAAAAAATAAAATAAAAATAACACATTGCAACTCCATACAGAGAAACAGGAATGGAGGCAGCGGCGCCAGCCATGCTGGCGCCCTCCTCCCTGGGGCGGCGCCAGCATGGCTGGCGCCCTCCTCCTGCCACGTCGGTTCGCGTACGCCACGGTGGCAGGAGGACGGCGCCAGATGACGGCGCCAGCCACTCTGGCGCCCCAAAAAGGACCATTTCTAGGATAAGTTTTTTCAGGGGTCTATTTGCGAAATAAGTTTTTCAAAAGGATCAAAATGTGAAAAATCCAGATCCATCTATCACATCTTGATATCCAGATTTTATCTGTCTGCTTTTCGCAAAGATTGTACAAAACTAAAATATTCAGATTGGAATGGATGATCGGGCTAAACTATCTTAATTACTTCCTTGGTTTTAAATTACTTATCGTTCTATGTTATACTGAGTCGAACATGTCCATCTTTAACTATTAATTCTTATAAATCTGTGTAGTTTAATACCATATGAACTGTATATTATAAAATTATTTCTCATAGTGAATCTAAAATATAAATTTTATAATATTAAACTGTATGAGTTTAGAAATTGATGGTTAAAGATTAAAATGTTTAACGTAAGATAAATATAGAACAATAAATAATTTGAAATGGAGAAAGTATATATTATTGTAAGATCCAATGTTGTTCATATCTAATCCTTTACCCACCGCATTGTATCAGCTACTTCATTCATGCATTGCTTGTTCAGCAAATTTAAGTTGACATGCACACTTTAAAAAAGATTATCCTTCCAATACTTGTGACTTGGCCAACAACGAGGAGGAGAGCAAATGGAGGATAAATGGAGACGCACTCAGCAGTTTGATGGTGGCTGTAGCTGGCCCCACAAGCTCAGAATTTCAGCTAAAAACGAATGGATATAGCCACATTACGTGCAGGAAACTAATAACGACTGTCACTAATCATGAGTGTTACTAGATCAGAAGGCAACAGAGCAACCAAATAATGAAAGTGATAGATGCCATTAGAATTTCTTCTTTTTTTTTATCTGGCATTTCAATACTGCAAAATAATGTCTGATTGTTAGCAACTAGTATATATTTTATAATAATTGCTGTAAAAAAGGCCACAATCCTAATATTAGTAGACTTCAATTAAAAATCTACACGTTGGGGTCTCATATGACAATTGTCTCCGAAAAAAAGGGCTAATCTTGCTCCTAAATCTCAAGCCATCCCTCTGAATAAACAACTAATATTAACATGCAAAGCTAATCCAATCAGTGAAGCATATCCAGAAAATCATCTGCTTTTGTTGAGCTTTCAAGATCGAGTAGTCCAGGATAACGATGAAGTAATATATTAGTGCTTGCAAAGCCTCCCCAGTCTTATCTGATACTTGTTGAAAGATTGCTCTTTTTCGCTACTTGTTGGCAGGTCAGGATCTCAATGTGGATACAGCACGTTGTGCCAACTACGGCCTAGAAGATTGAGGATTAGCAGTAACCCACTTTCTTTCCACATTAGGCCTAATTAAACTTTTCAACTCGCTTGACTCTAGACAGCGAAATCTGCTGGGAGCCTGGAAAATGAAGGTATGACTGTAAGAGGTCAAAGTTACTACTACCAAGTTACCATCAGGAGCAGTAAAAAGTTTCTTCTTGAAAAAAAGATGCAAAAGTTAACTTCCACAGTTAGACGTACTTAGTTTTTTTTGTTAAAAAAAAACTGATCTGGCCACTTAATACAAAGTAAAGTAATCATGTCTTGCTTGCAACCTTCCACTTTAATTAAAGGAACTACGGCTAAGATGTGGCAGGCAGGTGTAGCGTCAGTCACAATCTGTTTCCCTTCTATCACTAAGGCCTTGTTTAGATCTCAAACAATTTTAAGTCAAAAACATCACATTAAATATTTGGACATATGTATGAAACATTAAATATAGAAAAAAAACAATTACACAGTTTGCATGTAAATTACGAGACGAATCTTTTGAGTCTAATTACGCCATAATTTGACAATGTGATGCTACAATAAACATTTACTAATGATGGATTAATTAGACTTAATAAATTTATCTCGTAGTTCATACGAGGAATCTGTAATTTATTTTGTTATTAGTCTATGTTTAATACTTCAAATGTGTGTCCGTATACTTCAAAAACTTTACACCCAAAATACTAAACACACCCTAAGTTTCAGCAAAGCCAGCAAAGCACCAGCAGCATCTGAAGTTCTACAGATTTTACAGTCTTTGCAGAAGCATCGAAGAATATAGCAAATGGAACCATCACATCAGGTAGAGAACAGAAGAGGTAAAGATGATGCAATTTTCATCCCATCAATTTTAACTTAACTGTAATATCCTGACGATAACAACATTATAAGCTGCACTGACTGCATAACGCATTATTACATACAGAAGGCATCGGGGTACAACACAACGCATTAGGAGTACTAACTTCAGGCCACGACAACAACACAAAGCTACACTGCAACATGGCTCCTTGTTATAATATATAAGCTCCTCTTCACTTCTTGTGGATGCTGCAGAGGCAGTTCTCCTCGCCTACGTCTTTGGCGAGGCAGGGAGGCTGGCATGATCCGTCCTGGTACCAGGTCGCCCGCTTCTCCGTCAGCTCGTTCAGGAAGTAGTCCAGCTTGTCGATGGTCACACTGGGCATCACCACGACATGAGCGATGTTGCCCTCGCAGGCGAGCTGCCACCTCCGGACGAACTCCTCGTCCTTGGGCCTTTCGAACACCACGGTGCTGCTCAGCTCGTTGAGCATGGCGCCGATTCCAGCTTCCTTGAGGCGGTCCTTCAGGTAGTGAGCGTTCCTCAGGCACTTCTGGACCTCCTTCTGGAAGCCCCTGTAGCCTTTCCTGTTCAGGGTGTACCAGAGGAAGATCGGAGCATGGCCGTTCCTACTTCCCATGATCGTCGCATCTCTTGATGCCAGATATTCAACATTGCTAGAAAGACGATTTATGTGCTCCAGTCTTGTTATCTGGACACCACATGGCATGGGACATCCTACAAACTTGTGCCCGGAAACGCTCACACTCCCGATAGGCTTCTTAAATGATACCTTAGGTGCCTAGTGAACAAATTTACATATATACCACATCAGGGGAATGAACTATTTGAAACCATTAAGGATAGCTGTGCAACAGATAAGGCACAGGAGGGACTCAGCGGGAAGAAATGGAAATTACCTTCTTGACAAATGGTATCATCAGTCCAAAAAGAGCACCGTCACAATGGATATAAAACCGATCTTTAAAGCCACCTTCTTCAAGTGTTTTAATAACCAAGTCAAGATCATCGACAGCCCCCTTAACAGTTGTTCCTGCATGTTAAATTCGTTTTAAAACAGTCCATATGTGCTACAAAAGCACTAAGCTGGGACATGGAGGAATGAGACCAAGCTCACCAATGTTAACATTAATAATGGCAGGTTTGTCTCTGTTTAGCAATAACTTTCTCTGAAAATCTTCACAATCTATTTCCCCAGAAATAAGGGTGTCCACCTTAACACAATCCATCCTATACATCCTTGCTGCCTTGAATACTGAATAGTGAGACTCACGGGAAGCATACAGGATTCCATCAGGGAATACCTCTCTCCTGAAAAACAATTTGTTGAGAAAGATTCAGTACAGATTTTACAGAAATGACATTTTGACAGGAAAAAATGCACTTTGCAGTCAATAGAATAGGGTCTCTTCGACTACTAACCCAACAAGAATACCATGCAGGTTTCCTTCTGTGCCACAGTTTGTAATGTACCCCCAGTACTCATTCTTTTCCAACTCCCAGATGCGAGCAAACCAATCCAATACTCCCACCTCAAACTGCCTGGAATGTACACCATAGTTGCTCTCGATGAAGGGATCACCAAGGTTGTTGATGGAGAAGTGTTGCAGCTGGCCAAGTGCACCATAGTCGAAGTCCAGGTTATACGGGTAACCTTCATCAGAACAAATGGACATGTGAGATTAGCTTCCAAAGGAAGAAGGATTATGTGATATTTGAATGGGTCAATTTATCCCACTGGATTCCATGTTTATGTCTATGCTACCCTTTTCTAATTGATGAATTGTTCACATTACACAGTATTGTTTTTATTCCGAAAACATGAGTTGCAGCTAGCAGCAAGTGATTGAGTTCTGTAATTCCTCAGAAAATTATTGACTAGAGATATGGTAATATAGAGAACACAAAATTGTTTGAAGCACCCACGGAACCGGAATCGCCCCTTGTTCCAAAGAGGAGGCAGCCAGGTTAAGCTCATTTTAGAGAAAGAGCTTGACTAGCAGAGTGGCTTTCATTTATGATGTTGAATGACATTATACAATTATATATGATGTGTATGGTCCCGAAGCTTTGCAAGACCAAACATACTTATTGAATTGAAGAATTTCCAGTTTTTCATTGCTGAACATTGAACTTCTTACAAAATGTTCATTATAAGTTCGAGGAAAAATTTTGTAAAAGGGGTTCATGTGCAGCATTGTAAGAGTTTCATCAATTGGCATGCACATTAAATTTGTAGTTACTAATCCAACATGGACATACCTAATTACATATGCAAAAACCTCTGAATAAATAAACAGTCAATAAATATTGGCACATGCCTAAGTTGACACTGGCAAACCAATTGCAATTTGCTTTCATTAAAAAAGGGTCAAGAGCAAGCTACTGATAAAAAATGCCACCTTCTTATCCCTGTAAACAAAAACATGTGATGCTCAATTGCATACAGCGCGTGCTTACTGCTACAGTGTGTTGTCTGTCAGTGCTCGCGTATGCAACCTCATCCCAATCATAAAATTCGATTCCACGACGAATGTTGTGGAAATTGAGCACATAGCGCTTGTGTAATCTTACACGTTGCGCGAGTGAACTTTTAACCATTCCTTATAAGTATAGGTGGCAATCAAATTAAGCAACAAAAATGAAGCATGCCGATGATGTCCAATTCGATTACGCACGAAAGAATCGCGCGATTACCACCTGATTGAAGGTTCCCCTGTTCGGTTCACGAGTACACGACGAGGCATTTGCAGAGCAGAGCCGAATTTTGTGAAGGCGTCATTTACTTCATAATTTCTTTTAGAAAAAAAAAATGTAACATCACAAGACGACAACCTGAATGTCACGATCTGGACAGCAACAGCAAAGGGCAGCGCCAATCCGCCCCCAAATCGCCGCGCCCACACGCACACGTCACCCAGATCGGGGCCGCCGCGAACCAGATCGGGGGGGAGGGAGAAGGAGGTCGGGTAGTAGCAGGGGAGGGAGGGGGGCGGGGCGTACATACCAAGGTGGTGCTTGGTGCGCTCGACGAGGTTGCGGCGGTAGAGCGCGAGGACGCTGGCCATGGCGGCCTCCCGCTCCCCGGTCTCCTCGTCGTCCGCGTCGGGCTCCTTCACCGCGAACGACGCCGTGTGCACGTTCCTCCCCAGCACGATCTCCCTCCTCGTCGGCGACCCCTCCCCCTCCTCCTCCGCAGGCCTCGGCGGCGACTCCACCTCCATCGCCACCGCCACCGCCTCGGGGCGCATCCCCTTCCCGACGCCGTTCACGGCCACGGCTGCGCCACCCAGGTCGACCAGGCCGTTCCCGACGCTCCCCACCATCCTCTTCGTCGTCGTCGTCCGCCGCCGGTGGAATCTTCTCGGAGGCGCGGAGATTTTGGGGGACGAAAGGGGGGGGGGGGAGCAGCCGCGGCCGGAGGAGAGAGAGAGATAGTAGAAGAGGGGTTACGAGGGTTTCGCGGGGGCCTATTTATAGGAGCTCCGCGATAAAATCGCGTCGTCACACTGTAGCCGCCTCGGCTCGGGCTCGGATCGCACGAGGCTTTCACCTTCTACACAACGACGCTGACGTGTGGGGCCCAGGTGAAGGCCGGCCCGCCGTGTCGGTGGGCGTTTGTCACGGAGGAGGGTCGGTGCATCGGTGCGAGTCGGTCTGAGCCCGACAGGTGCCACGTGGCCTGCTTTTTTTCTTTTTCATTTTTTTGGGTTTTTTTTTACAGAGAAAGAGAGGGGCTCTCTCGTTTTGCTTGCCCTGACATGCATGGCGCGTACGTGTGGGGCTTATCGCTAAGATCCGGATTTGGTGATTTTTTTTTAATGAAAAAAATGGACAGTTGGATTTGTGGTCGACCACGATTGATAATCACGCTAAGTACAGGTACAATAGCATACTATTAACCAACTATAAACATATCAGGGAGAGAGAAGCAGTGAGCTACAGATCTGTAGCCAGCTACAGCACAGACTCCAAGATAAAATATGTGTATGATAGGTAGGACCATGTATTATATGTTTATATGTAACTATTGTTTGAATTATCTATTAAATTGACTATAAATAATTTAGAGCTAGTAGTTATTTACACTATTAAACTTGCTCTAACACGTGAGAGGATCTGGTGTAACCATGATTAGATCTTGTTTTAACAAATCAATGATAATCTCGCATCTACTACTGGTAGCAGCAAAGTTACGCTTAGTAAGCAGCAATTTATTTAATTGTTACATTAAGCAGGATTTGTGCACAGTACCAGTAGGCAGTAGCGCCCTGCTCTACGGCTTCGCTTGCAATTTGCAATACTGTGGTGTCTTTTTTTTGTTTTGTTTTGTCGCGACAAGTCAGTAGCGCGCTGTAGCGGAGTAAACTACTACAGTAGTATCTCTTCGGCCCACATGTCTGACAGGTGGGCCCGGCGGGGTGTGCGGGCCATGGAAAAGGGGAAAATATCGAGATTCCTGAATCCGGTGGTGGGGCCGAGCCCGTGGGAGGCGAGGCCGCCACCACGACCACGCAGCCAGCGTGGGAATCTTCTGGGCCCACCTCTGGTCACGCCACGGACGCGCCTCGTCCACGTGACGTGGCGCCAAGCGTGTGGGGTTTGCTTTTGCCGTTGCCCGTTCACGCGCGCCAACGGCTGCCTCCTCATGTCTGTCTTTCCCTGTCTTCCTCTATGGTGGGGCACTGCTCTTCTACCTACCTACTCCCTCCGTTTTTTAAAAAAAATTCCTAATATTCCAATGTAAATTTAATAGTGAGTAAAAATGACTAAAATACCCCCTTATTATTAAATAAAATAGTAATAGTGATAGATAGGTAAAGGGTATTTAAGAGATAAAACTTCTTATTTAATGTGCAGACAGTAGGTAAGATGGTGAAAGTTGTTTCCTGTGAGACAAAATTCAAACCACATAAGTTGAGTATTTTTTGGATGGGGGAATGCTCCATCCGTTCGCGGTACTTCATCCGTTCTAAAATGCTAAATCAAACTGGATAAATTTTAACAAATATTACACTAGCAATATAGTTTTGTTAAGTATTACGTATATTATATCATTATATTTGTATTTTAAAATACTTTTATGTGATATTAATTTTTTTAGTTGTTTAATAACATACTATAAAATAAAGTAGTGATCAAAGTATATTAGTAAAGGCCGTGTAAAAACTATATGCCTTACAATTTAGAATGAATGGAGTATAATACAAAAGATTATGTCATTTTCTGTATATTAAGAAAGTAACAACATTTAATAGTTCAAAAGAAAATAGGTAAGAGGGTATAAATGGGAAATAAAATAATACAAAGAAGTTGATATGTGAATAAAATAGGTAAAATTTGCTTCAGAACGCTCAAAGTTTATGATTTTTATTGTATAATACCCAAATAGCTTGTATTTGTTATAGGAATCACGAAAATATGGTAATTAGCTGTTAGACACTGAGCGTATTGCTTTATTGTATCCGGTCCAAATGGAGAGAATCTTTCAAGAAAGACAAGTTTGCCCATAGTGTATCTTTCTTTATAAACCGATCAGGTTTAGTTCGCTAACAACTACACCAGTGAGAATGACTGCATCGAGGAAGTGGGAATGGACTGAGCCTGGTTCGAATGAGACCGAGCCATCTTACAAGCCGATGGACACAAGGGCAAATATGTACTTTTCGTACTGTTTATCTCTCTATTGCACCGGATATAATAAAATAATGCATTCAGGCATCCAACAATTAATTACCATGCTTTCATGGTATTCTACAGTAAATACATGTTATTTAGGTGTCTTGCAACGAAGATCGTGAACTTTGAGTGCTGCTCCCTCCGTCCCATAATATAAGGGATTTTGAGTTTTTGTTTGCACTGTTTGACCACTCGTTTTATTAAAAAAATTTGGAATTATTATTTTTTTGACTTACTTTATTATCCAAAGTACTTTAAGCACAACTTTTCGTTTTTTATATTTGCATAAATATTTTGAATAAGACGAGTGATCAAACAGTACAAGCAAAAACTCAAAATCCCTTATATTATGGGACAGAGGGAGTATATAGCAAATTTTATTAAATTATAATAATACAAGAATAGATGAAAACTAATATGTTGTGTTGGGAACACAAAATCTCAAACTCGTATATTATGGGTCAAACTACATAGGTAAAATCTCTTACATTATGCCACAAATGAGGGAGAATTTTTTTAACCTTTTAATTTTAAAAATAAACTCTCCAAAAATTAGTTCTAAATGTGAAGATATTTTTTAAAAAGAAAATCAAAAGGTTCAAAATTAATGAAAATTCACCTACCTGCCACCTCACTCTCGTCGACGTCAGATCACTGGTGCACGATAACGTCCGAGAATCAAAATATCAATGTGTTTTCACTCGAGATTTTGGTCCACGTGCTTTTCTGTTGTTTTACATACTCTGGCCTGCTAGCACAACATATCACAAGGAAAAAAAAATCGTATCCTCCATTTCAAACAATAAGAGGTGCATTTCCAAAATATAATAACCTACGACCGCACGTACTATAAATCTGGGATAGGCTAAAAAATGACTCATCCTATTCTAGATTCTTATATTTTGTAATGGAGAGAGTATATTACATTTAAACTGTATTTAAAGGGTCCATGGTTTTAGTCTAAAGAATATGTGTTTAATTCTCAACAGACTCATATTTTTTTCTAATTATTTGATAGCCAAGTTTTTTCTTGGTTATCTTTAATATTACACTTTGATGGTTAACTTGTTATAATGTATTACAAAAATATTAACATCATATGGAATAATCTCCTAATATGATACATAACGCTGAACTACATACACTTATTTAGCTTAATTATTACAAATTGTTGACTTTTTAAAATCATGTGCTTGACAGGGCCGAACCGAAGACGGAAACCAAATCTCCCGTGTCGCTCTCTCCAGGGCAACCCGGGAGGCGAGGCGACCGTCACCAAGGCCAGCCGTTCCCACGCGTACACCGCCTCGTCGCCACCGGCGACGCTACGCCCGTTGGGGCGGTGCCGCCGCCGGCGCCCCCCCTCCCCCCACCCAAACACCACGACCTCCTTCCACCGTCGCCTTCTTCCTTTCTCTCTTTTCCTTTTCCACATCCAAAACTCTTCTACTCGGTGTCTTGTCTCCCAGCCCTGTTGCAGCCTCCGGCGACGGCAGCCGGCCGTGGTGGTGGGTGGGGGATCCGCCTCCTACCACGCTCCTCCTCCCCTTCGGTCCCGTCGGAGTTGGAGCTTGCCGACGGCTTGCTGCTTCCGCCTTCTGGCGAGGTTGTGCGGTGGGGATGGGCCGGACGGCTTGCTACCTGCAATGTCGTGCGGTGGGTTGCGACTCCGCGTGTCGCCGGTGGCCAGATTCACCTTCCCCGTTTTGGTTGGATCAGCAGCGACCGAGGGGCTGTGTGTAGGGCGGCAGTGGATGAACTCGGGCTGCTCCACTGTGGAGTCGTTGGGTGTGTGCTGCCGATGTGGTCGCCTTAGTGACAACGCTGCCGTCTTTGCCAATGTCTGCTCAATTCCCTTTTCTTCTTGTCTACCCGGCGGTTGGAAGCATTTTGAGCCTTGCCACGACCAGCTCAGCCCAAAATTGCATGTCTAGGAGTTCGCTGGTGCTTGTTGCCTCCTCTAAATCTCCTCAATTCTAGCATGCTTCTCATTCGTTTACTTGGGTCTGTCTTTTCGTTGGCACACATGCTTCTCCAGCGGTTGTGATGCTCCCGATCTAGGTTCTTCTCTCATATTGATGTTCCATCCACCAGTAAGATCCCCATCTGTTTCATTTCTCTTTTGTTCAGCCCCCGGATCGCCTTCACCCTCTCCGCTTGGGTGTCCCTAACTGCAATGTTCAGCGGCCCTTCCTCCTTTGGGGCTTCCTTCCCTCGAAGGGCGTTAAACTGGCTAGCAATTTGTTAAAGCCCGATTGAAGACGACTTCTTGAGGGTGGCCTATGACCCCATCCTTCAGTGGCCTAGCCTCCTTTGGGGCTTCTTTCCCCAATTGTCGTTAGTGGGCATTGATTCAAGCAGCGACATGACTAAGTCGTATTTCTGACGGCTTGATGTGGATGGTCTTGGATAACCACAGTCTTTCGACTGCCAGAGAACCGAGCCGGCATGCGCGTGGCAGTGATGCCCTCTGGCACCTTCGATTCCTGGTGTTTCAAGTCTGCATGCGAATTGGATGATGTCGAATTAGGGTTCTAGCATTAGTTTGATTTGGAATTTGGTTGGGTGTTCTTGCAGGTGGCAAACGTCAAAGCTTCTCCGCTTATATCTATGCATTTGTGTGTGTACTTAGTAGGGATGTTGTGATGCATTTGTATTCTCTTCTCTGTATATCTCCGTGTATTTTTTTTATTATCCTCCAGCGCTTCTGTGCTTGCGCAGACGAATCTGCCCTGTGTAAGATCGTTGGAAGTAAT